TGACCTCTTGTGTCTTATGCATTGTTTCCCTTGGAAAATATGCTAGATCTTATGTAACATATATAATATCTTCTTTCAGAACATTGATCTTTTGTTCCATGAACATGCTGCAGTTGACAGAATATATACTGTAAAGAAAACTAGAATCTACCTACATAAAAGGTCTATTTAAAAGAATAATATACATCCAATATATTCTTTCCTGTATTGATTGGATCTGGAGTTTGATAATGTTTCCCATAACTTATACATTCTCAAGGTATAAATGACTGGAGTTGTCTTCATTGGTTGGGCTAGTATTCTCATATTTGAACATCAATCCCCCTGATACCATGTCACAGTGACATATATTTGGGATTATCCCACAGTGATACTTGGTATGATACCATGGGAAAATACCAGAGGGGTGGTATCAGTCCACTTTTTATTAAGAACAAAGCTTGAAGGAAGTGTCTAGCCACTTGCTGAGAGCAATCAGGGACTGGAACTAGAGTCCAATGTGAGTAACTTTATTATTAGAGAGTATGACAGGTATACAGTACCTAGAGTCCAATATGAGTAACTAGAGAATAGGAAGCATTGGACTCTGCAGTACTGTCCGATGTTTTGTAAACAAAGGTAAACAAAGCAGCCACAAAGGCGAAATAATAGAGAACACAATCAATACTGAATGATAGAAGAATAGATAGAGAAAGGAATGAAAATATATAGGTAGCACAAAGGTGCAGAATCACCAAAACTAACACTTTTGGGATGATCCCAACCTTGCTGCAGCACTTGGGATGATACCATGAAAAACAGACTCTTAGCTTTATACATTTACACAAATAGTTGAAGCTAAATGCCTATGTTGTGGGGGTGACTGAAGTGGTCCCATGGTCTAACTTGGATACCCCATGGTCTGGCTCATATGTCTCATGGTCTAAATTGGATGTCCCATGGCAACACTGGGATTTTTCTATTGTATCATGTGGTCAGATTTCCTATGGTGTACTAAACAGATGCTCTAGAATACCACATGGTACAATTGGAATTGTCCACGTCTCATGGAACTACTGTATTAATCAGAATTCATCACAACAGCACTTCACCAACTAATCAAGCTCTTTCCACAGGATTAGTCATTATAAGCAATTGGTAATAATAGACAAAGTGACAAGCTTTAGTGGTGGGCAAGCTGCGGAGTCACCAATGCTGCCAGTGACAGCTACAGTAGTATGTATATGCAAATATCATCTTTCCAGGGAAAGTAAGTCTGCATACATCCTAATATATATCCTGCATCATAGCTATCAAATCTATTAATTTTCAATGACTAAGATGATTGGTATTGCTTATGATGCTTGGTTGGAGATGTATGTAAAAACTAATTCCCTCTATATTGGGTGGATATATATGAGCCAATTTTATCACAACACAATGGGATCTGCACCCGTGTACAGTGATTCTGGACCTTCTGGGCATGCAACCAATCAGTATGCTTTCCAAGTACGCCTTGGTAGCTTAGTTGGTAAAGCACCAGACCATGAAAGCTGGAGTCCCAGGTTCAAGCCCTGGCCAATGCATGTTTTCTCATACTATAAACAAATGTCATAATTTGTCAAATCTAACCAGTGTTGTTTCATAGGATCCTGTACTTGGTACTTCTGCTGGTTTTGGAAAATTCACTGAGATTATGTGCTTGTCACACAAAATAGCTGAAAAACACCAACCCAGGTCTTCAGAAGGAGTCTCCATATCTAGTTGTATGTGTCACAAAACAAAACAAAGCAAAATAAATCTCTTCCTTCTAAGGCATGCCTTCTGCGATATTCCAAGCCAATTCTCAAAAGGTCCACAATAGCACTACTGGATTTTAATCTCAGGTCCATCCACACTCTGCTGCAACATCACATGATGCTACATTGACATGTTCACTGTAGTCTGTGACATGTGACAAATTCCAAATTCCAGATAGGCCTGGTTTGGGCTCAGTTCACCATGCACTGGTTTCTGCCTTGGAACATCTTGTCACTATTTTAGATTATTTAGACTTGACCTCTTTGTGACTGTTACACCAAATGTGTTTAGTTGATTATTGTTGCAGTAACACAATGACAAATATGAGGTCAAAATTCAATAGTAATTTCTCAAGATTTAGATTGTTACATATGAAAAGTAAGATACTATTCTAATATTATTAAGATCTGGTGTTGCATTGCATGGTTTGTTTGATTTGTGTATTTGTTGAGTATGCTGATAAGGGACAAACCTATTATATGATTATCGCTATAATCATAAAGCTCAGGAGCCAATTCAGAGTATCATAAATTGAACTTGTTACTGAATGTGGCATAATAATGCATATTTGTCCTATTATATATGGTATGACTAATTTAAGGTTGTAATAAACAGTAATATCATTTTAGGTATTTTTGATCACATTATGATATGGTAAATCCTTCCCTTTGCATTAATAGACAAACAAAGGTTATTGTTCTTTCTATCCTATAGCTTGTAAGATGTATTATAATTATTGCATCTTTACAATATAAAGTGTATGGCAATAGATATATATACCCATTTATATCTTCAATCAGACTTGTAAGTAACACATATCTGCCATAGAATAAATTATTATAGGGACCCCAGACACCTCTGTGATTAAAAGGATATCTCAATGAAAGTTGGACCATTGGTCTATCCCAGATGTCCCAGCAGGATGTCCCACTGAAAATTGGACCATTGGGATATCCTACATGGTCCAATGGGATGTCCCATTAGGCTTTTTGGATGTCCCATGTAGCTGTCCCAAAGGACGTGGTAAACCACATGCTCCAGGGGGCTACTAGCCCTGTTGGTTTGGAGATTATGATCAAGCTAAGAGCCCCAAAATTTTGGCTGCCTGAAGTGCAAATGGAAGTCAAGTGAACAGCATGCCAGAACATTCTGGGATACACCACTTTTGCAGTTTGGGGACATGTGGCATTTGGAAGCGGGGGGACTGCAAGGTACGTGGGTTTTATCGGTTACACCAAATGCATCTGCAATGTAGGGAAATAATTTGGGGTTGGTGGCAATTTCTGGTGGTGTTGGATCTGTGGCTGATGGTAGACGGACGAATGTTGTGTAAATGGGCTTTGACAAGAAGGCAGAAATAGTTATGATAGATGTTAGTAGATATAGATAGAATATGGGGAGATAATTACCTAGATAGTGTATTGTTGGAGCATTGGAAACACTCACCAGGGTGTCAAATTGTGAGGCCAGTAGCACATCCATATAGAAAGATGGCAAGCTTCTCGAGGTTGACATGCTTGTAGTCTGTATACCCTGCTTTTGGTAGAATGTGAATGAGAAACTCAAATACTGCTATGTGTACCCCCAATGCACAACAGATACGCTTTGGATGTCCATCTATGAACTCCTTCACCCACTGTTGTCCGGTCAGCGAGGAAGTATGATAAGGGTATTTATTGTAGAGGCCCTTGCTGTAAGACACTACTGCAAGGCTGGCTATATTGGCAGCAAAAACACTGTCATCCTGTTGTTGGCACTTTAAGATTAGTTGGAGACAACAAGATATTGTTTTAAATGGGCCCAGTGATTTTCACTTCTAGCTAAGGTGTTCATTGATTCAGCAATGAAGTGTTACTTCCCAATTGGGTAATTGAACTCCGACTCAATTCTGGAGCTGTAAGATGTGAAAAAATGCGCGCCCAAACAGGTTAGTAATATAGCAGCTCCTCCTTGAATTCTTGATGCCGGTGCTGGGCTGGCACAGAGGCCATGCCAGACCTCCCTTACTATTAGTCTCCAGTTGCTGACCTAATTCAAGAAATATGACAGTCAATATATCTTGCTAATTAAGGTCTGCTCCAAATGAAAGGCCTCTTGGTGGGAGCTCGCCTTCAGTGTCAATAGCCACATCATCAACACTTTCGAGAGCACAGCATGAGCTTCCAAAAGCACTCCACAAAACTCAGACCAGCCTTTGGGCCTGCTCCACAAATGAGCTACTTAGGTGAAAATAGTAAGTAAATTGTTGTCTATCATGCTGGCAAGGCCTCAAGTGTAACAACCAAGAGTTAGTTACTCTGGCGCACACAGGAACACACTATAAAGAGAATGAAGAGGGAGTGGTTACCCCTTAGGATGCAGAGAGTTAGTTGGTATACAACAGGAGGACTCGCTGAGGAGTCTCCTGGATCTATTGGGGTATATATACTACTACAGGTTTGTTTGTACATCTGTACTATACAGTTGATAGAGACAGTGGCTGATGATGTCATGGGGCCTAGCCCGCATGGCCAGCTCCACTGTGTGAGAGAGTTGTGTCCAAAATAAGAAGAAAGGCAATGTGGCGCGAGAAAGGGGAAGTGCCGCGTGGCACAATGTGTGAAAGCTCAAGTTTAAAGCGGAGAATAAAAGTAAAGGGAAAGTCCGAAAATTGTGTTATCGTAACATCAAGGCCACGTCTATCAGGTCTGGCATTAGTAGTTGTGATATTCCAGCAAGCAAATAAGCCTAGCTATTGATTTTAAAAGGCCATGGGGGTAGGCCATTGGCCCACTGAGGCATTTGCTCTTCTGTGGTGCCACAAATTACTATACACCATATTGAAAGCTGCTGCTCATTGGGGATGAATGACGATGTTTAGCTGTAGAAGGCATGTATTGTATTTTGAGAGCATAATTGTGCATGGCTTAGTCGCTATTGAGTCAGCTCTACTACTTTTTTCTTTCGAGTCCTACCCCATGATCCATCAATGCCGCCTGATGCCGAAGCTCAGCTGTGGCACCACCTATTGCTTATTGACACCGAAGGCGGGCTCCCCCCAAAAGGCCTGTCATTCGGATAAGACTACCTTACTATGACCAATTTTTCAGCCTGAGAACAACAGCACCGGAAACGTCCGAGAAGGCCGAAGGCCACCATCACGTCCTTCCCAAGCTGACTTTCTTCCACCCACTCAGGACATTCCAGGTAGTTAACTTTTGGTTTGCATCATACCGTCACCCATGATTCCGAGGCAAGCTCTCAGGCATTTCCCTCATGCAAGGTTGGCGGCTTGTGGTGGTCGTCAACTCCTTGTACGGGCCCTGGCTACTCCTGCATCTCCACCTTCTCCTAATGACCCTTTTGCCAACGGCACTAATGCATATTATGCTGAAGAAATGTATAAGCACTGGAGGAATGACCCCAAATCCGTTCACGCCTCTTGGGACGTCTATTTCTCCGGACTGGATCAAGGACTACCCAGTGCCAAAGCCTTTCAACCACCTCCGAGCCTCATGGCCCCTCCAGCTGATGGTGCTCCCGCTCTTCATGCAGGAGGTGGGGCAGAACTTGATGATCATTTAAAGGTCGGTGACATTTATTCTTACTACACATGAATTACCGACAAATTTGTAGGTACAATTGCTGGTGCGAGCATATCAAGTTCGTGGACATCACGTTGCTGAACTCGACCCGCTTGGTATTCTCGATGCTGACTTGGCCGATGTCCACCCTCCAGAGCTAGAGCTCAGCCGTTATGGTTTTACGGAACGCGATTTAGACAAACAAATTGCTCTTGGCCCGGGCATCCTTCCGCATTTTGCTACTGAGGATCGTAAAACTATGTCTCTAAGGGAAATCATCAAGTTACTCAAACGCATATATTGTAAGTCTCGGTGTCTTGGTTGGAATTTATCTTATTGTGTAAGCTTAGGTGGCGCTGTTGGCATCCAATACGTCCACATTCCAGACAAGGAACAATGCGACTGGATCAGAGAGCGGGTTGAAATCCCAAAACCGTGGAATTACACCTTAGAAGAAAAGCGTATGATTCTTGATCGACTCATATGGTCGGAATCATTCGAGAAATTCATCGCCAGCAAATACCCAAACGAGAAGCGATTTGGGTTGGAGGGATGTGAAGCACTGATACCTGGTATGAAGGCCTTGATTGATCGTTCTGTAGATCATGGAGTAAAGCATGTGACCATCGGGATGCCTCACCGCGGACGTCTCAACGTTCTGGGCAACGTTATCCGAAAGCCTACAGAAGCTATCTTGAATGAGTTTTCCGGCTCACAGTCGGATGACTCACCCGCAGGAGACGTGAAGTACCATCTGGGTGCTAATTATGTGCGTCCTACTCCTTCTGGGAAGAAGGTCTCTCTTTCCCTTGTCGCCAATCCGTCACACCTGGAAGCCGGCGATCCTGTTGTGCTTGGGAAGACTTTTGCGATTCAAAATCTAGAACAGGACGAAACTACCCACAATACAGCAATGGGCGTATTGTTACATGGTGATGCTGCCTTTGCGGGACAGGGTATAGTTTACGAAACCATGGGATTTCATAACCTTCCGAACTATGGCACTGGCGGCACCATACACCTCATTGTAAACAACCAAATAGGTTTTACAACGGATCCGCGTTTTGCTCGCTCTACTCCTTATCCTTCCGATATAGCGAAGTCTATAGATGCTCCAATCTTCCATGTTAACGGCGATAACGTTGAAGCTGTAAATTTCGTCTGTCAACTAGCCGCTGACTACCGGGCCAAGTACAAGCGTGATGTCGTCGTCGATATTGTCTGCTATCGTCGCTATGGCCACAACGAAACTGATCAGCCTAGTTTCACACAGCCCCGAATGTATCAAGCCATCGAAAAACAGCCCACCCCACTCACTCAGTATGCTAAGTTCTTAATTGGTAGGGGCACTTTTACCGAGAAAGACATTGAGGAGCACAAGAAATGGGTTTGGGGGATGCTGGAAAAAGCTGCTGGTGCTGCGAAGGATTATGTTCCTACCAGTAAGGAGTGGCTCTCCGCTTCATGGCAAGGGTTCCCTTCCCCTCGACAATTGGCAGAAGAGACATTACCCACGCGTGCCACGGGTTCGGATGAAGAGACCCTCAAGCGCATTGGAAAGGCAATTTCTCAATATCCTTCTGGTTTCACTCCACATCGTAATCTTGCTCGCATTCTCAGTACTCGTGGGAAAACAGTTGAGGAAGGCCGCAACATCGATTGGTCCACTGCAGAAGCGCTCGCGTTTGGCTCACTGGCGCTAGAAAAGATACACGTTCGCGTGTCTGGGCAGGATGTAGAACGAGGCACATTCTCTCAACGTCACGCTGTAATTCATGATCAGGTCAACGAACAACAGTATATTCCACTGAATGATCTCGGGTCGAATCAGGCTCGATTCGTCGTTTGCAACTCGTCACTTTCAGAGTATGGTACACTTGGCTTCGAGCTTGGTTATTCTCTCGTCTCTCCTAGTTCATTAACTATTTGGGAAGCTCAATTTGGTGACTTTGCCAACAACGCCCAGTGTATCATCGATCAATTCATTGCCGCTGGGGAGCGGAAGTGGTTGCAACGAACCGGTTTGGTTATGAGCTTACCCCATGGTTATGACGGTCAAGGACCAGAGCACTCGAGTGGTAGGATAGAGCGTTTCCTACAGCTCTGCGATGACCATCCTCACTTGTATCCGACACCAAAGAAAATAGAGAGGCAACACCAAGATTGTAATATGCAAGTTGTGTATCCAACGTAAGTCAATTCAAAGTAAAGTTTCGGTCATGGTTCTCACATCGTCAACAGGACTCCGGCTAATTATGTAAGTCAACGCTCGATGATGACACGTTGAACTAAACTCATTGTGTAATGTAGTTCCACGTTCTTCGCCGACAGATTCACCGCGATTTCCGTAAACCTGTATGTTCCCCTCATCTTTCCCTTTCGCTCTTATTGATAACACTTCGCCAGCTTATTTTGTTTTTCTCCAAATCGTTACTTCGCCATCCTCGGGCCAGGTCTGATCTCACGGAAATGATCGGTGACACCCACTTCCAGCGGTATATTGGTGATCCCCATCCAAATGACCTTGTTCAGCCAGAGAATGTTCGACGTCACATCTTATGTACTGGTGAGTTGGTGTTTATCCTGTTTTACTATTTATTACCTTGCTTAGATTTTCTTTAGGTCAAGTGTATCATGCACTTTTGCAAGAACGTGAAGATAAGGGTATTAAGGATGTTGCTATCAGTCGAATCGAACAATTGTCTCCCTTTCCTTACGATCTTGTGTGTATATCTCATGTAATATCCATTCTCATACTTATTAGTTGTGCAGATTACTCCCCATCTCGACAAATATCCTAATGCTGACCTTCTCTGGTGCCAGGTAACATCGCTTTCAATGTTTGCTTTTACCCTACTTATTTATCAACGCAGGAGGAGCCGTTGAACAATGGAGCATGGACGTATGTAGGCCCACGTATCCTTACCGCAGCCAATGAAACTCAGTACCATCGTGGTAAATATCCTTACTATGCTGGACGAGAGCCTACAAGTTCAGTTGCCACAGGTAGTAAAGTAAGTTCTTATCATTCTCAATTCTTTCGATAGATTTGACCTGTTACTTCAGATTCAGCATAAGAAGGAGATCGAGGAGTTCCTGGCGGCCGCATTTGCTACGTAGATAACTAGTTTCGACCAGTGGTTGCACCCTGATGCAGAGTAGTTCAAGGCAACGAGGACGCAGAACCAAGCGTTGAGGTATACTTTCAATGTACTCGTTGCCGTGGTGAAATATGTAAATGGAATCTAGATAGATCGACTGCAGATTAGGTAAACCACACGCTTTCTATTCCATGGCCAGTTGCTATTCTGAGATAGGCGAGGCTTGAGGCGTTCGTAGGCAATGAGTTTAGGATGTATGTAGCACCCCCAGTCCACATTGCATCTTTGGTACTTCCCCCTCTCTGCACTACTCTCTAGGGTGTTACAGGCACCCCTGTCTCTTTTGGTCATTGGCAGCACCACTTTGTGTGGCACCCACAGTCTCAGCCACTCCATTCAAGGTCTACTCTGAGCTCCTGTTTTGTACTCAGCTCAGGGTCAGAGGACCATGAAAGAGATCCCACATGGGACACAAGTATTGCCGAGCTAAGTGACATTACCCTCTTGTCTGTTCTACTTTATGATAGTCTATGTATGAGGAAGTGATGTGGTGCATGCCTCTTTGTCTGCTACTACATCATACTCTTTTTCTAGTATAATTCAATACCTCTAGCTTTTGTTTGATTTTTTTTGCTATCTTGCACCAACTGAACTACAATGCCAGTGATTTCAAACAACCCTCACAACACCATAGCTCCAGACTTTGGAGCAGAAGAGTATCAGGAAGCCAGAGAGGAACTCAGGAGTGAGTTTATAAATGAAGAGCAAGCAACCCAATTTTTGGCAAACCTATGGTTGTGGTATGAAAACTGCAGAACAAAGCAGAAAATTGTCAAGCAGATAGAGAGACTACAAGCCAAAACTGAGGCAGAGCATGCCCACCAGATCCTTGCAAACAGGCAGGAGGCAACTTGTAGGGAAAAGAGGAAGAAAAATAAAGCAAAGTATACACCAGTCAGAGATATAAATATTCCATCAGAGCTGATCATTGTCCCTTCCTCATACACTACATGGAAGATGAAGGCAGGCAAGCCCTGCAATTTGCATTACTTTATTAACAAAGGTATAGAAGATACATCATGCACTTTGACGACAGCAGACTTTGCACTAGTCATAATGCCAGCCTCAAATGGCTTGCATTTATGGGTCCCCAGCAGGAGCCATTTGTGACTCAAAGATTCCCATCACAAAAGACAAGAATTTGTCCTGGGAACAGTTTAATGAAGCTGCCCCCAAGATAATCATGTCCATGCAGGAATATGAGTGGCTGGAGGAACAAATCAATATGCATATCCAGTTCTGGTTGGTGTTGCAAATACACAGCTGAAGGTATTTGTTTTATCCTTGCAGCAGTGTGTGCTACTTTTATACCAGGTGCAACAGTGGAAGTGATGGCACCTCACCATTGGCTCTTCTCAAGGTTAGAGAGTGCAAATCAACAACAAACTGTTAATTGTGGCTGAGGAGGATTTTTTCAATGGGCAATGCTCATTGCCCATGGCCTCAGTATTACAGGTAAGCAAACAATTATGCCCCTCACATCTAAAAAGTTTATTAAAAGATGGCTACCCTTATGCCCGTTCTTTATTCTCTCTCCACATCTTCCCCCCTTCCCTTTTCTTTAATGCTGAATTTATTGCCCTATGCAATCCATAATGGCAACATGTTTGTCTTAAACACGCAAATCCATGCATTGATTTTTGACAACCCAGCTGGGTGAGAAGGTGCTTATCTTAGACAACCCAGCTCGGTGTCAATGATGGTACTAACCATCCTGGGGTCTCTACCCCGCACATTATATGTATATACTCCCTCATGTAATATGTAAAACATATTCTCTCACCACTGCAGGACAAAACCCCATGATTCAGAAACTTCCCACTAAATGCAGCAATAGTTCCACTACCAAATTTGAAGCAAAAATTTGCCCCAGTGAGCTCCAGAATGGCCTCATCATAGTCCCCCACACTTGCCAACATGTCATAGCACTCTGCTTTGGAGAGACAATACCAGTGTACTGGCATCTTTCAGTTGCTGATAATAGAAATCACATTGAAGACTAAGCTTCATGCTTTTAGTGTCGTCACATCATCCATATACATATACTCCTTAACTCATACCAGCACCTCCTGGGCCAAGTTATAGAGCGCGGGGTGAGCTACATGCAAGATTGCACTCACAAGAGCCCCAGTCTCCACAAAGGATTGTAACCACAGTTCACCAGTGCCCGGGGATGTAGATTTGTGCAAGGACCAGGAAGCTTGTGGGGCCTCTCCAGTTTCTCTGGTGAAACTTTTGTTAATTGTAATATATAAGATTATAACTCAATAACACAAACTTCATGACCGAGTTGCAACCACACCAGGGATAAGCCTATCAACCCACAAGGGAATAGCTGACACTCCCCGGTGTCAATGATGAAAGCTGTAGTTAGAAAACCACACACAAAACAAACAAACACACAATCCTCCCAGATTCCACAGAACTTGTGTATGGGCTTTGCCTCCTAGAACAGTGGGTGCTCTGGTTGTTTGTGGGGTGGTATGTATGACGATCCTTCAAAGTCAAACCCAGAAATGTATGGGTGTGGGTTTTGAGGAGGAGGGATAGTTGAATTATAGAGGATAGGGGCTTAGTGACAAATATGGACAAGCACTACCTTGCTAATTGTAGCACAAGGTAGGTTTGAGAACGACAAGATGACAAGGTGACGAGGTTCCCAGTGATAGCAGGCTCCTGATGCACAAACTGTAGTGCTCAGAAGGACTCTAATCGAAAGGGATAACAATGACTTCAAAAGTGGGAAGTGACGATGACAGCAATTAACAGTGGTAGCAGTGGGAAGTGTTGTGACCACACTGGATCACAAGTAGCAAAGTAGTGAACTTGAGATTAGAGAAGAAGTTTGGATTGGAGTTCTTGTTCTTTTTTACGGAGTAAAATACAGGGGTTTATATGGTAAAAGAAAGGTAGGCTATGCACAGTATAGCTGTGCAAAAAGAATGAGAAAGAATATGAAGGAAGGAATGTATGCTGACAAATCCTGCATAGGTAGTACAGGATAAGATTGTTAAAATAAGGAAAAAAAAGAGATAGAACAATGAATACTGTGTAAGTAATGTCACAGGTTTGTACAGCCATAAAATAAAGTCCAATAATAGAAAGAGAGCAAGAAAATCATGATGTCATAGGAAGATGCAGTAAAAAAAGGCAAGGCAAAACAATATCAGTATCAAAATAGTTCCTTTATTGTCAGTCAGGCATTCTAAAAAAATATGTGTCCATAAAAATGATTCAAAAATCAAAAATAATTGCACTGTAAATAAATGTTCTGGTAAAAAAAAAAGGAACTGGAGCCACCGGTCCACCACCTAGTCCAAATCTGACGGTTCTATAGCCTTACCAATGGACTGGTTGTATTGGACCACCTGGTCAAATGAGGGAGGGAGGGGAGTAGTTTCAATCTGGAACAGATGTGTCCCAGGCAGCGTGCCGTAGGTGTAGCTGTAGCGAAGACAATGGACAAAAGATAAGTGTACCCAAGTAAATGGGACAGCGATGTACATAGGCGAGGCAAGGGGATGAACCTTCTCCAGCTCAAAAACTACCCACCCAAGCGACCAATGTTTTGATGGTTGGTATATGATGGAAGATCAATGTCATGGAGATGGACCTGTTGCCCAACTTGGACCGGCCGCCGGGGCTTTGCTGATATCAGCAGTGGCACGTGGTGGTCGACGGATTGGTGATGGAAGTGGATAGAGAGTGGTGACATCAGATATGGTGGAGGAGCAAAGAAGATGAGGAGGAGGAGGGTGGAGGTGACCAGGTGGTGAACTAAAATGGGGATCCAGAAGCGACTGTCAGGTGAGAATAAAAAAGAGAGTAAGGGTCCCATGGTGGGGCTAAGTAAAGAAAAAAATAAGGGAGAATGACAAAAGCGAGGGTAGCATGGACAGGTATCAAAAATGAAGCGAATATTCAAAAACACTCGCCTTTGCGCCACACAGGCACAGTTCCACGTGGAATAGTAATTAATATTGCCTTTTATAAACTTGTGGCTGATCAGCACCACCTCTATTAGGCAATCCAGTCGCGCTCACCTTTGCTTTTCCATTTGGTACTTTCCACGTTTCGGCATTTTGGCAAATTTTTGCATCGCCACTGGCTACACATTGTGCCCTCGCTTTTGTCATTCTCCCTTATTTTTTTGCTGTTAACCTCTAGAAGCTTGGCTTGTAAATCTTCTTGGCCTTTTGAAGCATTAATGAGCCTTTTCCAAGAAAATTTGGAGCGGCAGGTAGGTGGAGGGAATCTTTCTTGTGCCACAACATGCAGTCTCATGACAGCATGCCCAACAGTAGCAAGATCCAGAAGATGACTGGAAAATAGATCAAGGGTGATCCTACGCCTTTTCCCTATCTTTAGCAGTAAAGTGAGAGCTGCACGTATAAAAATAGAGGTAGAGGTAGAAGACATCCTGGACAAAGGCGTAGAAGACTTTCTGGACAAACTAGTCCTCTCCTGTATTACAACAGGCCTGGACTTGGGCTGCTATATAGGCTGTTAGCTTTATGAATGTAAGATGTATTCAGAAACATACTTGATCATCCAGAATAAGTCCATCAACATCTTAGTAGCACATAAGTATTTTCCTCTAGGAATGAGTATATCTTACCATCTGGTCTAGCACCCTCATCCTCATCATAATTATCACTGCTTTTATCCTCACCTATGTATAGCTTTTGAGTTAAGACCCCTTGAAAATCTTCCTCACCAGAATTATCATTGATGGCTTGTCTTTCTCTTGGAGGGTTTGGTGGTGTAAGTTGGTCAACATCATTAAGATCCTGTTCTTTTTCTTCCATTAAACTAGCTGCTCTTTTTCTCGTTGCTGAGGGAGATGAGTGTATTCTTTATAAATTCAGAATACATGTCTTACCTTCCATTGCCTCTTTCTGAGCTGCCTGGGTAGATTATACCTTGGCATTCATAGTTATGAGGTGCTGGTACTCCTCAGCACTTAAAGTAACTGCGTTGTTTTGCCCCTTGGAGGCATTAGCTTTAGATTTACCCTTCGTATTTTTTTTGCCTGCCATTGTAGTTGACCAGCCTATGAGAAAGTAAACAGGGAATCAAGTATAACAGAGAAATGAAAATTTACCCACAGAGTTTAGGACAGGCATTCTGGTCAGAATATGAATAACTCCTGACAATACCTCTGAGAATTGCTGAGAAATGCATACAGGAGTAGTATAGTAGTACTATAGACAGTGTATTTATGCAAAGGTCCTCATGGCTTCATTTTCCTGCCAGCCATTTTTATCAGTAGCCCATGAAACAAATTCATGATCAGTATAAAGTACTATGGATGCTTGTTTACCTTAATAAAGGTTGAGATGAGTGATATCAGATGACCTGAAAATTGCAAAGTCCCCATGATTCAGCTCAATAACAAGGCCTCTCTCAACCATCACAAGGGTTGCCCCCCTGAATGTTCTAATGGGGAGAACCAGGAAAAACTCCTGGTCCTTGCTGTCACAGTGAGCCTTTGTCTGTATGTTAATATCAATGACCAGTGAGAGGAAGGGGGAGGCTGGGGAGTTGTGGTTTCCTGGTAAGATGGACACAATTTGCTCAAGCATCTGGCACCCTTCAGGCAGGTGGGTTTGCATCTAATACATTGATGTGATACCTGTGAGAAAATATTGAGAACCACTTACAATACCATGTATCCAGTTAAACAGCTCTTTGAAGATGTCCTTGAGGGACTGAAACATTTTCTGGTTGTCTTTGACGTCCTTGGAGATGTATGGGATCATCTGGCTGTGGTTGGTACATACACAGCCAACTCTGTCAAGCATAGAAGGAGGGATATCAGACGGAGCTTCATGACTCTGTGGAGCATCAGCAATAGGGAACATATTATAAATAAACAACTCCACCTTGGTACAGTGGCGGTTGTACCATGACAAGTAAAGTGCTTAAAAGGTAGAGTCAGCATTGACACAGGTGTTCTTCTCTGTCAATAGATCCAGGGTCCCAAACACTGCTAGTAGGTTGTTTGTAAGAGAATTTTGTATTTTTTCTGGAAGACTCGTGCAGATGAATGCCATTAGTGTCTCATCAGAGTTACAGATATCCACCAGGGAGCTTCAGACAAGTGAGAAATCAGCCATTGGAAATTTGTGAAAGACGTACTTGGGAATAGCATCCATGGGGATACAAATGTAGGCATCATTGAATATTTTCATTCCTTCTTTGTAGTGCCCGCGGAGCTGACAACAAATGAGCTATTATATGTATTATAGCATACTGAAGATAGATTACATACCTATGATTGCAAATCATCTACATCATTAATTCTGTTGCCCTTCTCAACATGCTCTCGTTCACACTCCATCCAGACATTGTTGGCTTGACAATTATGCTCTGCTCGGAATTGCTTATTTTGAGACAGTAATTGGTCATAGGTGGTGTGTATGACTATTTTCTCCTTTTCCACGTCTTTTTGCTGAACAGTTAGATGTTCATCTTCACCATCATCTTCTGGGGATTCCAGATAGTCTTGTGAATCTGATAGAGGAGGGCTGTAAGGTCTAGGGAAGAAAGATGACATTGGCGCAAGGAGCTCATAGCCAAGCTGATGGAGCAGGATAAGCGGGTTAAGGCTGGTGTCAATGGTAGTATTGTAACATGATGCCCAATGTTGAGCATTTCAATTGTGTAGTGTAAAATTGCTGTGTATAAAAAAATCAGGCAACAATGTGAATGCAAGAAGGAATGAGACAGATGAGTGACTTACTTAAAAATCACCGAGTCAAAAAATCTGTTGGAGGATGCAATGTCAGTGCAATCAAACTCCTGAGCAACTTGCTGTTCTGAAAATGTTAATGGGGAGAACATTGAGGCCATACTGATTGGAAACAGATGGCACATGCGACTGATAGTGGGTATGATATGATCCATTATCAGATTACCCTCCATGGTTCCTGACTGAAATATTAGCCAAACAATATCCTTTGCCATGGTACAGGTTAAACTCACCGGGAATGGGAGATCGTAGAAAGTTGGCCAAGTCCCATGGCAGGGTGTCTTCCATTCTGGAGATGGATACCCTGAGACCAAGTCCTGCCACCAGAATCAATATATAGACTGACCCGCCTCCGGCGATTGCAGTAAATTTACTGCCAATTGAATGCCAGCCTTGAAAAGTTTGTTTGCTGGGCTTTGTGGGGAGATGGGCAACTTCTGTACTGTAAATACCGTTGAAAGACTGTCGGGTACAGAGTTTAATGCTAGAGAAAGTATAACGTACTAGATCAAATTCATCAGATGCTAACGGATATGAAAATGACTCACCTCTGACATTTTGTCACCAGCTGCATGTAGTGTATCATCAACAGGAAGTTGACACAAATACCTCTACACCTCTGCACTACGGAACCTAAGCTCTCATCCAGATACTCACTCCCCTCAATTGCCGACTTTACGCTATCAATCCAAACACTGGGGTTATGAACGTCTGAGTCCCAGTGCGCAGATGACAAAGTTGCAATGATGGCATTGACGTTCTCACCAGAGTTGAGCCAAGGATTGGCTCGTCTTCTCCAAACACCACCACCATCTCTCCTCAACAATGCAAATGGGACACCCCCCTCGGACACGGCTGTTTGGACTTGGCAGGTTTGTTAGATCCCCCACCATGTTTGCAAAGGTGACATTGCTTTTTTTGTAGGCTATGGCGTGTTGCTGATGGCGCTGACACTGTTGATGCTGCTGGTGCTGTAACACTTGGACACCTCTTATCCAAATGGCGGCAACTACTAGTCCTTCTTGGCACAACTTACTGGGAAGGTGGTGATCCCATATCTACCTGAGGCAGTGAAAAGCTGGACATGGATCATTGTGAAGGAGTGGCAATGAGAGGTGATGGCAGCAAGGATATGGAAGCATAAGGTGGGGAAAGGGAGACATCAATGGGTGCATTTATGGAAGCAAGAAGAGCAGGGTTCCAATTCACTGATGGAGACTGCCAGGGCAGGAGGCCATCCCATAGGTGTGTCGCATTCAAGTTCTCTATGCCACTAGGATAGGTCATATTTTGATTTGCCACCCAGGTGGAAAGCTTCTGTTAAGGGATAGGATTGTGAGCTTGCTCACCTTGACCCATAGATGATGCTGAAGACGTTGAAGATGTTGAAGATCCATAGGTGACCAGTACAGACAAATTTGAACGGAAATTTGTGAGGTTGGTGGTAAGTTTTGGCTGTTGTTGAGCAAATGAAGCAGAAGCTCCAAGTCGTGAGTATGCATGTCAAGAACACGGAGCAATACCTCGGTGTCGGATATAGATAATCCCATTTCTGGGACATACCGCCAAAACACTGCTATGGATGCAAATACGTCCCAGAATAGCAGGTGCTTGTGCACTCAAGCACCTGCCATTCTGGGACGTACCGCCAAAACCCCGCTATAAATGCCAATTGTCCGACAACATCCAAATATGGGATGAGGTCAAGCGCCTACACACTTTCCTGTTACAGATATACTGCTGCAATTTGCGACAGGTAAGTCCTGAAAAAGTAATATCTGATTTTTCGAGTTATTTTAAGTGCAATATGGAATTTCCTCTGGAGATGGCAAAGGAAGATAGAAAAGGGATGGCAAATTACCAGGTGCATCTTTCCTTCACCTTGCTGCTGGATATACCGTTCTCATTTGCCTTTCTGAAACAGCTTCATGCCAGAGATGTCTACTATGTCCACATCTATCACTGCCATATCTCCTAACACTTTGGTAAGTCCTTTTTTGATCACATTGTGCCTGGATAGGCTTATAAACTTACTCCAATAGCCGCTGCTGCTCTGCTGCACCATGCTTTTCACCCATCCAAAGGTATATTTGCCATATCTTACTTTGCTGCCCCACACTGACTACCTGGTCTTTGTCTTCTCACTGTCTAGTTCAGCGGGTTCATTATGAAGGGCCCAAAACAATATTTCCATAGGTTTATGGACCCTCTTTTGAAGAAGGAGCTGCACCCCTTAAAGCCTACTTACTGCACACTGGAGGATTTTCTTTCGGTAATTTTCCCTTTATCTCACATTTTTACAGGTCAATATGGGACAGAAGCCATGCTACACAATACGCTAATTTTTTTTTATAGCGAAGGTTATTACAGCTCTGGGGATTCTTTCTGGACAACAACAAGTGGTTATCCAGACGTTACCAAACCGTGGAGTTCAGGAGCCGAGGAGGAGTGTGCTACATTTCTCAACAACATTGTTTTGAAGGTCGACTCTGCATTACCAAGTGGTACAGCTGCTGCCTTGCGATGGTGGACTGCCGCCAACTCAGTACATTCAGTAGAGGATGGTGGTGGCAGATGGCGTCCTGACTTGATCTTGATGAGCGCTAGCTCTGATAACCCCACCAACCCCAAAGCCCTTTTTCCAGCAAATTGGAGGAGTGTCCATGCATTAGCTGAACTCAAGGACAGGGAGAAGAACTCGGTCCACCTTCACGAGCAGCTTTTTCAGCTAATGGGGTGGGCTTCATTCCTCAGAGCTGCATAGGATCACCGGCTCCATATCTTGGGCTTTGCTTTACGTGGAGCATCATTTACTCTCCTATACATAGATCAAGGTGGTTGTATCATAACATTCAGCATGCAGCTCATCATGATCTCGAGTCATTCTATTATATTATTCTAGCTATGTGTGTGTTACTGGAGCAGCCCTACCAATTTAAGGACGCAACATTCATAGAGCAAGAGGTCATCAGGAAATGGCTCAACCCTGAATTTGAAAACAAGTTTACTCGTGTTGATGTAGCTTATCATAAATTTACAATGTTTGGCAAGGCCAATAACCTCTGTAGTTTTCTCAACAGACATATTTCACACTAATTTGCATTTATAATCCCCTACCTTGAGCAACTGCACAGCACAATTTTCAATTCAGCAATGTTTGTTCCTGAAAGATTTGTCAAACTTGGCCCTGCCCTCTTCTTTGTGTTGACTCCTACCACCCATACCTCAGTTTTGCAAATCCTCCGTGACACATTATGTGCTATACAAGGTAGCAAGAAGAAGTGGAGAAAATTGAGATAGCTATTTGCAAGGCTTAAAGGATTTGTATCTCACTTGGATCTCTTCCGCTCAAGTGACGATAAATTCAAGTTCCTTGCTCCCCCGCTTGTGATGTCGCATGTTGCAGGGGCCGGTAGTGGGGGGAGCATACCTAGGTATTCTGCATCAGCCAAGCATTCTAAATCAACTTTGTCTGATCTTTTGGGGTCAACTTGTGCACGCACTCTGGCACTCAATGCTCTTAAGAGGAGAGAGAGCATTCTGACTGCTTATATGTCTAGTCTCCCTGACTCTTGTAATCACAAACACCAATGTTGCGCTTCGTAAACTGGTACTTGTAAAATGTTCTATTGTTTTTGTCCCTGTACTACTGTATTTGTATTACTCTGTACTTCTATACTTCAAGCAGAACAAGAATTGATGCTTTTGACTATCACTGTATTGCCACAAATAGTAAGGTCTATTGATAACACTTTCTTCACAGATTATTGGTGAGCACCATGTCCATTCTAGACTTGCTTTCTACTAAATCCATACAAGTGCACATTATGTCCTTGCCTATACATTGTGCAGCATTAGTCAACAAAGATGCTTCTCACATGTGTCCTGCTGAATGTGGAAAGTCATTCGCAACAGCTCATGCTGTTAATGCCCATCTTGGCTCTGCAAACAAATGTCTATGGTACCGCAAAGGAAAGCTACAAGCACTCACTATCCCACAGTCAGAAGAAGATCTTGAAAAAGCCAGTGGATTAGACATGTTGATAGATGATGATGGGGAGGAGGAGACAACTGGAGACGTACTACAGGAGCTGCAAAAAGACCTATTTTCCTTTGTTCCCATCCAGCCTCCTAATATTATAGAAGATGAGTAGAACATAGCAGGCACATCCCTTCATCCAAACTCAATTGTCTTAGATGATGATGAGGATGAACGTATAGAGGTGGAACATCTCATTGCTGGCAAGGTCATAAGTATGGATGAGACTTTACATCAGAGGTGGAGAAGAGAATTTTTTAGAGCAGGTGGAGGTGGAGATAGAGGTGAAGACATAGAAATGGGTGAAGATCCAGATCCCAAGTTCTTTCCCTTTGTCTCAGAGATGGATTGGAGGGTAGCATACTGGGCAATTCAAGATGATATAGGGCATCAGTCATTTGATTGACTGCTAAGTATTCCAGGTGTCAGTGATTTCACAATTTCTCTGTACTTTGCTCATACTTTTTCCCAGGTCAAGGAGAAGCTTGGCTTGTCATATCATAATATACGTGCATCACACAAGATTGTCGACCACAACATACCAGCCAGGGCTGAATGGAAATCAACCATGATCTCTGTCCCGGATACTCCTGACAACACACACCTAATTCAGTACTGTGATGTATTGTCAGCTATCAGAACTCTCCTGGGAAATTCAGCCCATGCTGAAAATATAGTCTATCGTCCCAAAAAGATTTTTACAGATGCAAGTAGAGATTCAAGGATATACCATGAGATGTGGACAGGGAAATGGTGGCATGCTATCCAGGTGAGCATGGCCTGTGTGAATCTTCTACATTGACTTATACAATCTTTGACAAAACCCAGCTCACGCAATTCTCCGACTCTAAATCAGCTTATCCTGTCTATCTCACATTGAGAAACATACCCAGAGCCATAAGACGCAAGCCAAGCCAACATGCTTGCATTCTCATAGGATATCTGTCAGTCAATAAAGTTAGGGGATCTCAGCTTACAGCAAAGGCGAAGTCATCAAGAGTTCAGTGTTTATTCCATGAGTCTATGGGGGTCATACTAGAACCTTTGAAGAAGGCTGGCATTGAAGGGATGGACATTACTGGGGGTGATGGGGCTGTCAGGAGAGTTTATCCTGTTTTGGCTTGCTACATCGCAGATTATCCAGAACAATGTCTAGTGACATATACAAAGTACAGCACCTGTCCCAAATGCAAAAGGTGTTACAATTGACATACCAGCACCTACTTACGCTTGCTTCACTTTTTGTACTTTTACTTTTCTTTTTTCCAAGTCACATGACTGATCATGTGACCACTTACCTTACTTTACATTTTCGGACTTTTCATAGTCACATGCTAAACATCGGACTTTAAACTTTATTTACAACTGTACAGTACCTCATGTATTTTAGTATATATACAGGAGCAATACATGGGGAAGGACTCAGCAAGTCCTCCTGTTGTTTACCCACAACTAACTTGGTCGCACCTTGAGGGGAAAATCCCTCCTTCTCACTACTCTCCTGCCTGTCTGTTGTTGTGTTCCAGTGCCCCTAGACTGTGTCTTGTTGGTGTTGTCACAAAAGGCCTGCTTCTGAGCTTTCAGAATCTACTCCTGGAGAGCCACGTACACAGAACTGGACAGAAGAAGTCATTCAGAATGCTAGAGCTAATACAGATTCCTTCAATCAATTTCAAGAGAGATGCAAGGATAATAATGTCTCTGGTGGTGTTTATGAGTTATTCTCGCTTAACTTCCCTTATTATGACATTCATTTATCTGTTTCCCCCGACATTCACCATCAACAATACCAAGGGAGTCTTCAAGCATATGGTGAACTGGTGCAAGGACCTTATGGATCCCAAGGAGCTTGACCAGCGCATTTCCTCCCTTCCTGTTTGCTATGGTGTTCGTCATTTCAAAAATAGGATTTATGCATTAGGCCAGATTGGTGGAAAGGAAAAAAAAGATATGGCCCGCATATTGCTAGGATGTTTGATTGGAAAAATTCCAAGGAGTGCTATACTTGTATACCGATCCCTCCTAGACTTCATCCAGATAGCACAGTATCCCACTCATGATGATACCACTCTGGGCTACCTTTCAGATGTTTTGGACACTTTCCACAAACACAAAGGTATATTGGTACGACTCAACATAAGAGAACACCTGAACATCCCTAAATTCCACTCTCTCCTCCACTACTGCCAGTTCATCACATAGTTTGGAACCACCAACAGTTACAACACCGAGATGTTTGAGCGCTTCCATATTGACTTTGCAAAAAAAGGTTGGAGGGCTTCTAATATAAGAAATGAAGCACCACAAATGGTGACATGGCTTCTGCGTCGTGAAAAGGTGGTTGCTTTCCAGAGCTATCTGAAAACGACCATGGATAATGAAGAAGACAAATTCCCTCACTCCAAATTCCAAGACCAAAAGCTTGTCATAGCAAAATACCCTAATAAATGTCAGCAAAGCATTTTGGATATCATGGAGAAGCATCAGTGTCCTGGATTTGAATCAGTACTCAAAGTCTTCCTTAACAGTAAACTAACTCACCCAAATACATGTCGTGAAACCAGATTACTACCCCTTCCATTTCAAAACCTCAATATCTTCTATGGCTTCAAATTCTGTTTAGATAACCTAGGCAACAATGTGGACCTGGAGAATGACCAGGTAGATTCTGTCAAAGCCAGGCCAAATGGAAAAAACAATCTATTGTTGCAGTTTGACACAGTGGTTGTGATAAATTCTCCTGATTGTGAGGCTACAGGCATAAAAGGTAATGTTTCTCTTACCCTATGACCACAAGCATGTCTAATACTAATGACTGTATTTAAAGGACAAGAATTGGGAGATTGAGAGTAATATTTAAGCTACCTGAAACACTATACAGTTTCCATGCATCCCCAAATAATTGGCCAAAACATCATTTGGCATATGTATAGTGGTATAGCAACCTCAAATCCACAGTTGAAAAGGACCACTTAATATACTCTGTTAATAAGGTACCTCTAAACCCTGAAGGTTTTCCTCCAGGACAAATCATCCCTTTATCCAGTATTAGACAGGTTTATCAGCTTATCCCTGCTTTTGGTGGTTTCCACAATACATGTCCTCATCATTGGACTCATAATAATGTTCTGGATGTTTGTCACAAATTTTATCTTAATAACTTTAGTAGCAAATATGCAAATCAAACATTATGGTAGTCATATATAGCATTTTAAATTTTGTGTCTATAATACTATTATTGCTTTTGTTGCTCCCATTGCTTTTATTGCTCATATAACACTATGGTCGCTATGATCGTACTATAGTTGCTCTTATAGTGCTATAAGTGCTATAGGTGCTATAATAGGCTTTATTTGCACATATGTACAAACCCCTCTGCTATATAGCAAAAGGCTTTTTCCTGATGTACTGAGTCTCTTCCAACTTCAAACCCACCAATAACCAAACAGTGGTTCCTTGGACCACTCCATTTCTTGTTTCCTGTTGCAATAAATGCAGCTGAACTTCTGCCCTGCTGGGTAATTTTGCTATAAAGTCTTCATATATATCCATGGCATCTTCTTTATGCAGCTGGTTTTGCTGTGCCTTTTTTCCCTGGGCAATCCAAGCCTCTATGTCCTCAGAGCCTGCAGTGGAACTGATCTTTTTGGATGCCAGCTTGCTTGATTGCAAGCCTTGTTGAACCTTTTTGAACTTCTTACAAAGTGTCAGGACTAGGCATGCACTTAATCATGAATATGTGTTAGTTATCGAAGCCCAGGACCTACTTATGTGTATAAGTTTCTTCCAATTAGAATCACTCATGTGATTGTCCAATATTTCTTGCCTATATGACTTGCTTATAGCCCGGGTGCTTGAAGAGACTTTATTGAGGGGAGCCCAAAGTGTTTCTCACCATCAACCTGCCCAGCCCCAAAGATAAAGTTAGAAGCAGATGTCTTGGTGTCCATGCACATGAAATGATTCAATGCCCTTGTAAATGGATACACCCCTGGGGATCTGAGGATACAGACCCTCAAAGACCCTCTTTAAGAGGTGTTGACTGTATTGGCACATTATACTGTAGAGGACTATGACTGAGTCAATCCCAGCCAATGAGGACAAGGCCTGACACAGGGAATAGTCCTTGTTTATTTGGCTATGAAGAGTGAGCAATTGCCACAATCACAAATTTGTGGGCAACTCACAGTTCACCTTTCTGAAAATCCACTACGGCACCTGGGCAAAATACTTGATGCTAGGTGCAGGCAGTAGCACCAATCCCAGTAGCATTAAGGTGCTGCTGGTCTTTGTTTGCTAGGTTTACAGCTCTGTAGTCATTACAAGTAGACCCCACTTTATTTTCTTTGGCAATTTTGAGGTGCTCCATGTATGATTAATTTGCTGTCAAGAATGTTGTGCCTGTAACAACCAAAGTTTTTATACTCTGGTGCACATAGTAATCAGTAAAGAGGATAATAGGAGGAGTGGGTAAACCCCTTAGTGTTAGAAACAAGTTTGTTATAGGTAAATAACAGGAGGACTTGCTGAAAGTCTCCTTGATCTATTGGGGTTTATATACATCTATAGACTATTTGTACATATGTACTATACAGTTGATAAAGGCAGTGGCTGAGGATATCATAGGGAGTAGCCCTTGTGACCAGCTTCACTGCATGAGAGACTTATATAAAGAAGGGCAGCGCAGTGCGAGAAAAGGTAGTCTGAACAAAAGGAAAGTGCCGCATGATGCAACTGTTGTGAAAGCTCAGAAAGAAAGCTGGAGTGGAAAATGAAAATTCAAGGTCCAAAAATTGTGTATTGTAACCCTACCCCCCTTCTAAGGTTTGACTGCCAGGCAAGACCAAGTACCAGAGGTAGTAGTTAAATTTTTGGGTATAGGTTGAAAAAGGGAATTAAAAAAGTTTGAATCCATGTGTTTAAGCTTTCTAGGAGCCAAGGGATTCTTCAGAATAAAATTCTCAAATAGCATGGTGGGAATTGTCCAAATGGGCTTCTGGTTCCCATATTCTGTCCTTGTCTCCATAGCCCTTCCATTGGACTAGGAACTCTAATTTTCCATGCTTCAAGCGTGCATCCACTACTTGTTTGACCTCAAACTCTTTTTCACTTTCCTGGGTAACTACAACTGATCCAAGCTAGTGTACATGCTGTCTGGGAAGCGTCCCTTTACAGTGACTCCAAAAACCCTTTCCATGTTGACTCTGGGTATCATGCATGAAGCATACCATCAAACAGCTTGAGAATTGCACTTAGCTTTGGTGGAATTATAAATAGTACAAACTCTTGGCTATAAAATGACCCCATAGGTCATGTGATTTGGTTCACATGCTATAGAGATATGGCTGATTTAAAATAACAACACCATAGAAAGGGTTTTTTCACTTTTAAACTAATGACTAGAACCTTAGTTAAAACATTAAATATTTGCCAATATGTGTTAGTACAAACAAAGATATATATACAAATAGTATGTATGAGCTTGAAAAATTCACACACTTCTGATTCTCAACCACCATCATGGTCAAATCCCTTCCTTTTACTCAAAAAGGCTCTGTCCTTTTATTGCTTGATGTTGACTACTCTGGTGAAGCCATTGCCAAGCAGACTGGTGTAAGCCCTTCTATTATATCCAAACTTTGCTCCAAAGAGCATTCTACCCTACCTAAAGCTATTAAAGGTCATCTTTCCAAGCTTTCCCCTATCAATATTTGACATGCCCAACATCTTATTACCTCTGGAAAAGCTGAAAATGCTGTTAAAATGACCAAAGACCTTACCAGCATCATCAACTAGCCCCTTTCATCCAATACTGTTTGCCTTCATTTGAAGAAATCTGCTATAAAGGATGTGGTGAAGTCCAAACATCCCCTTCTCTCTACTAGGTATTACAAAGCTTGTTTGGATTTTTCCTATGCTCACAAGTATTGGACTCTGGAGGACTAAAAAAAAGTAATATGGTATGTTGAGACTAAAATTAATCGCATAGGGTCAGATAAGCATGAAAAAGGGTAGGTAAGGGGCTTAGTGATAGGCTGGTAGATGGAATCCTCGAGTTTGGTTCCTTAATGATGTGGGGCTGCTTGACTTAAAAAGTGGTTAGATTTGCTACCAAGATTGATGGTAAAATGTATGAGGACCTTTACCTTCAAATTCTTAAGGATAAGCTCCAGAAAACCCTAGAGTATTAGTCTCAATCCTTCTAAAAGTATCTTTCAGCAGGATAATTACCCCAAGCATACCTGCAGGAAGGTCAAGGACTGGCTACAGGAACAAGCATTCAACACCATGGTTTAGCCTGCACAGTTCTGACCTAAATTCTACTGAACATCTCAAGAGGAGGCTTGTAGGGTATAAAAACCCCCCCAATATGATTCATGAATTGTGGGAAATGACTTTAATGGAGTAGATACCAGTTGAGGAATGTCAGAAGTCAATTAAAAATATGCCTAGAACAATTTAGGCAGTGTTTAGGGCAAAAGTAGGCTATACTAAGTACTGATAATAACCAAATACACTCTTCAATTCAAAAGTGAAAAGACCCTTTCCATGGTGTTGCTGTTTTAAATCAACCATATCTCTATAGCATGTGAACCAAATCACATGACCTATGGGGCCATTTTATAGCCAAGAGTATGTACTATTTATAATTTCACCAAAGCTAAGTGCAATTCTCAAGCTGTTTGATGGTATGCTTCATGCATGACACCCAGAGTCAACATGGAAAGGGTTTTTGAGGTCACTGTATAAGGTTTTACATGGCTAATGTTGACCTTGGGTACTACCTTCGTTCATTTTGGGCTCTACTGCATTGGGTTTAACTTCCTTAATCTGGTAAGGCCCAATCCACTTTTTGGTCAGTTTTCTAGATTGCTGATCTTTTAATTTTAAGTGGTCAGTATCTAACCAGACCAGGTTGCTAACCTTGTAGGTAGGTGCCTTAGAGTGTCTACACTCTGCCCTGTTCTTCATCTGCTCTGCAGTTGGTGTTTAACAAGTTGCTGGAAGTACTGGAAGTATTGGAGAATGCTGGACACACTTTGTTGAAGTACATTGGTTTGGATAAGAAGCTGGCTATTTTTTTGTACGCTAGCATTACAGGCCTCACAACAAGGCACCTTGGAGAACATTTTCAGCATGCAAGCGACGCTATCTCAAGGTAAGTGCTTTATTTTACATGATTATACCTAGGCGCTGTTTACAATGATAGATACTTCAAGGAAATACTTGTTGCTTTCTCCTCGGCCCCCATCTACCCAGCATATGTCTGCCTTTCAACGGAGGACAATCCTACACCACCTGAAATCCTCCCCAACCCCAAATTCTATTTGTTTTTCTCCAACACTCTCGGTGCAATAGACGGTACACACATTGTATGCTATGCACTATTGGTTGAACACAAAAACTCACATGATTGAAAGGAAAAATCTCACAAAACTGCTTGGCATGCTGCTCTTTCAATCTGTGTTTCCTTTATGTACTGGTGGGCTGGGAGGGTTCTCCATATGATGCCACACTCTTTAACAATGCACACCGGCACGACTTGCGCACTCCAGAAGGGAAGTATTATCTAGTGGATGCTGGATTTGGATCTTGCAACCAGCTTCTTGTTCCTTACCATTGTCGATGATGAGAACTGCTGTTAGAAAACCACACACAAAAACAAACTAACACACAATCCTCCCAGATTCCACAGAACTTGTTTATGGGCTTTGCCTCCTAGAACAGTGGAGTGGTCTGGTTGTTTGTGGGGTGGTACGTATAAAGATCCTTCAAAGTAAAACCCAGAGGTGTATGAGTGTGGGTTTTGAGGAGGAGGGATAGTTGAATTTATAGAAGATAGGGGCTTAGTGACGAGTATAGATGAGCACTACCTTGCTAATTGTAGCACAAGGTAGGTTTAAGAACAACGAGGATGACGAGGTGACGAGGTTCCCAGTGATAGCAGGCTCCTGATGCACAAACTGTAGTGCTCAGAAGGACTCTAATCGAAAGGGATAACAATGACTTCAAAAGTGGGAAGTGACGATGACAGCAATTAACAGTGGTAGCAGTGGGAAGTGTTGTGACCACACTGGATCACAAGTAGCAGAGAGTAGTGAACTTGAGATTAGAGAAGAAGTCTGGATTGGAGTTCTTGTTGTTTTTACAAGGTAAAATACAGGGGTTTATATAGTGAAATAAAAGTAGGCTATGCACAGTATAGCTGTGCAAAAAGAATGAGAAAGAACATGAAGGAAGGAATATATGCTGACGAATCCTGCATAGGTAGTACAGGATAAGATTGTCAAAAAAGGAAGAGAAAGGGATAGAACAATGAATGCTGTGAGTAATGTCACAGGTTTGTACAGCCATAAAGTAAAGTCCAATAGCAAAAAGAGAGCAGGAAAATCATGATGTCATGGGAAGATGCAGTAAAAAAAAGGCAAGGCAAAACACTATCAGTATCAACACAGTTCCTTTATTGTCAGTCAGGCATTCTAAAAAATATGTGTCCATAAAAATGATTCAAAAATCAAAAACAATCGCACTGTAAATGAATGTTCTGCTGAAAAAAAAGAAACTGGAGCCACCGGTCCACCACCTAGTCCAAATCTGACAGTTCCATGGCCTTACCAATGGACTGGTTGTGTTAGACCACCTGATCAAACGAGGGAGGGAGAGGAGTAGTTCCAATTTGGAACAAGTGAGTCCCAGGCAGTGTGTGGTAGGTGTAGCTGTGGCGAAGACGATGGACAAAAGATAAGTGTACCCAAGTGAATGGGACAGCGATGAACATGGGCAACGCAAGGGGATGAACCTTCTCCAGCTCAAAAACTACCCTCCCAAGCTCCAACGAGGCAAGATGAGCAACCAATGTTTTGATAGTATATGATGGCAGATCGATGTCATGAAGATGGACCTGTTGCCCTATTTGGACCGGCCGCCGGGGCTTTGCTGATATCAGCAGTGGCACGTGGTAGTTGACGGATTGGCGACGGAAGCGGATAGGAAGTGGTGACATCAGAAATGGTGGGGGTGCAAATAAGATGAGGAGGAGGAGGGTGGAGGTGACGAAAAAGTGGATTAGAATGGGGATCCAGAAACAACCGTCAGGTGAGAATAAAAAGGAGAGGAAGGGGCCCATGGTGGGGCTAGGCAAAGGAAGGGGAGTAAAGGAAACGACAAAAGCGAGGGCGCAATGCAATGTGTAGCCAGTGGCGACGCGAAAATTTGCCGAAATGCGGAAAGTACCGAATGGAAAAGCAAAGGTAAGCGTGACTGGATTGCCTAATAGAGGTGATGCTGATCAGCCACAAGTTCGAAAAAGGCAATATTAATTACTATTCCACGTGGCACTGTGCCTGTGTGGCGCAAAGGCGAGTCTTTTTGAATATTCGCTTCGTTATTGACACCTGTCCATGCTACCAATCAACTTTGGTGCATGACACCGTGGCATTCAGTACCATCTAGTAGAGTGGGGTAGAGTGGGTCAAAGGTAAGCATCTAGACTTCATGGATATAGGACGTGCTAAACCATGTAATCTGCTACCTGTAGGCCTCAAGGAGCTATTCAATTTGCATCACACACAGGCTTGCAATTGTATTGAGAGGATATTTGTTGTACTCAAGCAAAGGTTCTGCAACATTTTAAGCTCCCCCAAATACAACCTGGATGTGCAAGCCTGCATCCCTGTGGCCCTCTGCATTGTCCACAACTTCATTTGGGTCCACAATGCAGAGGAAATCCAAAGCTTACTCGCTGACTCAATCTCTTCACCAACAGACATACATACCCGTGGTATGCTTGATATTGCCACTCTCAACAAATCAGGACAAGGGGGGAACCACATGCTTTGGATATTAGCACAGAACATGATATTGATGTATAGTCATTTTGAGGCCCGGTAACATTTTTTCTATCTTAATTGTTGGTTTGATCACACAAGGAACTGATAAAATACAACAAAATACATTCAACGTAGCTTATGAACAGTATACAACAGCATTTATACAACAAGCAACAAATATGCAAAACCATTTACATGAAAAGCAACAGGTATAACAAAGTTAGCCCATTGAGACATCCACCACAGGATACCCTTCCTCCTGAAGATGCTTCACCACCCACAAGCGGTGGAATGGCTCGGACTCTGGGCCTGTCTCAAGGTCCATATATCCCTCAACAATGTCAGGCTTCAACTGTAAGAAATCAAGGAAGGCCACCAGTCACTCATCATCAAGCCATTGCTCAAGCTGCTGAGTACGCTTTGTCACAAGGCTTTGTACACTTGGACAGGTAGAGTGCTGGTCATTGGTAGGGATACTAGAAGTGGAGGCGGTGGGAGTGGCTGAAGCGGCTGGTGTATTATTCAAAGCCATTTGCTTGATGATCAATCTGAGTTCTATCCCCTGGGATTCTTGGATGTTGTTGCTCCGTTGTATCTGCTCCCCGAGACCATTGGGAGTGGCTGCACCAGATAGACAAGAAGATTTTGAACAGGATGTGCTAGTTACTACTGACTCTGCTATTGCAGAATCCTGTACCGATGTAAACTTTCTCATTCCACCAGATATTTTTGAAGCTGGACTAATAGGGGTGCAGACTGTACTGGATTTAATGGATTGATTGAGAGTATGGGTAGGAATTATGGTAACTTCATTAGTACAAACAGTTGTCGGTGAGTCCTTCCCCATTGTATTGACATTCATAGCAGCTTCCTTGTTGCTATTGCCATTAATAGTGCTGTCATTTTCCTCATTGCTGACTATGCTATGATTGTTATATGCTTATCAGTAGTGTCTTATAAAAAAGTGACTCAGTCTATTATGTGGAACATGGGTTGAACAATGAAGTATTTTTGGCTCTAGCACTCAATTACATGGTGTATTGACAAAGATATGATGTAGATGCAAGAATAATTTCTCTTGTTTTTATGTAGGAGGGAAATCTTATGTTTGTTTGGACAAAAGCCCAAAGGTGGCTTTCCCTGTTGTGGTATTCCATGAGCAGAAGTATTTTGGATCTTTGAGAAAAAGACATTAGCAAGCTGTGATACCCTATAAATTAGGAATAAATTGGACAATGCAAGCAGATGTGACACACCTGGAGATTTTTATCTAACTGGTGGTAAGCTTAAGGTATATTGGGCTAGTGCTGTATGGGTTTTGGGAACTGCTTGCATACAAGGTGCTAAGACTTGAGCATGTTTACATAGGTACAAACAAAAGGCATTGCTGGCTCAAAGTCTTTTGACCTGAGATTTTTGGTTGTCTGCTTGGATCCTAGTGGGATTGGAATGCAAAACTCCCAAGAACATTTGTTAGCTAATGTAATGTAAGAGAGCAGCCAGGGTGTTAGCAATTGCATACCCCACTAGGAGTAAATCATTTGTATTGCACCAAAGGCATTACTAATGAATAATACCTGGGTAGTGAATATTTAATGGGATGTGACATTGTATGCAGAGTGGGTGTCAAGTCTGACTCCCAGCTTGCAACAGATCCTATTTTGATGGCTGTTGATTAGCTCCTCGACCCATTCCTTACCGCTAAGTTGGGATGTGTGATAAGGCTCCTTGTTGAGATATTGTTGGCTGTAGGCAAGTGTGCAGTGCCAACACTGCTTAAGATGTTCAAGCATGCAACACCACATTCCTGTTGATGGAATAAGAGAAGTTGTATGAGTCCTTTTGTCTGGTCAGAGTCCATCAATGGTAAGATACAGTCTGATATTGCCCCGGCGCTGCCAGTACAACACATGCTGATATCTCAATAATCTACAAGTCTAAACAAAGTTCACAACTTCAGGCTCCAACCAAACTTTGGGCAATTTTTTGGCTGGCAATTTTCTGGCAATGCAGCTGGACAGTACCAAATGTGAGTATGGGTGCCATATGTTAGATATTTGGACCCTCAGGGCGTGGGAACAAATGTGGGAGAAGGATTCTTGGGCAAATGAATGCCATAATAACGTAGGTACAAAGCTTCTTATATAACAAACATATGTAAATACCATGTGAAAATTAATGATAGCCACAAAAAGCCGGTTATAATCACAGAAATGAATCTTCGGGCGAAGCTCCGAAGTTCGTTTACATAATATACTTTCTACACCATAGGGCAGTCAAATATACAGGTGCTAAAGGCGGCAATGCTGTAGTGAGTCTAGACTTGGGTATCTATAGTCATTGATTCACTGCAACTTGGCTCTAGTTAGCCTATGGTGGCATATAAATTAGTCCCCTCTCTTTCTTTCTCTCTCTAAGAAAAGCCGGGTCCAGGACTGGCCGGCAATTTTTTGTCCCACGTAGCATTGTTTATTCTCAGCCGTTTTCTGGAAGCATGACCACACCATGTCTCATACGGAATTATTTTATGCAGCACACTGTAGAATACAGGAAGATTATTGATGCAAACGATGATGACGACGTAATTAGCTGTATTGTCGAAGAATGGTATAATGTCAGGTGCAAAATATAAAAATGTCATGAAACTGATGAAAAGCGTGATAGTGTCTTCTCATGTAGAATCATCGTCAGGCTCCACCGTCACACCGTCTTCACTCCATATAGCTAGGAACTGGTGCGAAAAGAATGAGCACTGCTGCGAAAAAAACCAGAAGGAGTCATACCATTGTCCTGTGGTTTTCTATATCTTGATCGACAAGTGGAGTACTCGCGAAAGGGAGACGGTCCCACATGATTGGATTATGATGCCGTTTCGTGACAGCCTTGTCACCCACGATACTTTTCTTGCCTGGCGCGAATTTGATACATTTCCTACAGACATACATTGTCAGCCCGTAATGATGACATAGATGTGGATGAAATACTCTTCAGATAGGCCATAAAGCATCTTCAAATAAGCTTTTAGCAGCATAACCATTCCTACGATGACAGAACTTCTGATGACTGCTATATCCCAGCGTTGGACCGCTGAGGCTTGAGTTTATTCGATCAATACGTCGGTAAGGATTACACAATGAGATGTATAACTTGCCTCCCAGTTTAGCAGACACATGCGGGTTTTCGACGGCTTCGACGGCTTCCTACAAAGTATGTTAGTTAATCAACAGTCACCACTCCCAAGCGATATGATACCGCCCGAAGGACCTACGGTTTGTGAAGCGTCGTGTAATTGCGTCAAAAGATTAGACGGCGAGAGCACTTCGATCAATTGCATTCCGGCAGTCGATAATACCGAAGTCAGATAGTTGATGACAGTTAGCACTTCCTCTTGAGTTTTATAATCAAAAGCGGAGAAGTTCTCGGCCATATATCGCGCAAAATCAATATCGTCCTGGTACTCTTAAGTACATGTAGTACCTTCAAGCGAGTTACTTACCTGGGATGATTGTAAAGCACCGTTGATGTCAAAAACTTTGACTAATGATCTCAAAAAATCTTGTCTAGATCCACGTTTTTCGCGGACCAAGGAGTACCATCGCTGAAGCAATGCTACAGGTTCTGACTGCAGTCTATATCCTATTTCGGAGATAAGCAATTATCAATAACAAAGCAAAAGTCATTTGATACATACCTTTAAAAACTCCGGTCCCAATCCTTTTCTGGTAGTTGAAAGATTCCCGTGCACTGACCACATAACGAACATTTAGCAACGATGTGTGTTTACTATACAGGACAGCATGAAGTGCGTTTGCACGAGCACTTATAGCGGAAATGGGACTCGTCTCTAGCGCAATGATTATAGGGAAAGACTAGGACTGATAGTCGATAAATGGCATCGACGAAGTATATAACTCGCACCTGAAGAGGATGAGCTAATCCTTGCTTTACGGTGAAGCTTAGGATATCGATAGCAACAGCCTGAATGGCCGCGTTTTGCGATAAAGCCGCATCAAGAATGGATGCTATATATCGCTGAACTATGGCTGAACTGACTCTATAGCAATGTAAGGGCAGTAAATTTCAAAGGGATAAAACATACCCGGAGTCTGCGAATCCATCGGTATTACCCACGAGCTCCTCCATATTGACCTCTGACTCAGATGAATGTGTCTTCAGATTGACTACTGAGGATTCGTTAGTGATACTGACGCGTCGCAAAACGAACGCCAACCTTTACTCTGTATAGACTGCTTTACTGACTCTGCAGTTAAGAAATCCTGCATAATACGTAACAACCGCCCATGACTGTCTTCGTCCGAAGATTTAAACGTGTCATCCATAATTTTCGCTGAAGACTCCAAAGTCATCAACGTGGGCTGAGCTCGAAAAAGAAACCCTGAGATCGTTACAAGGTTTAGCAAAAATAGATGGATGCGTTAATGAACCTACCGAGGCATTGTAGAATGCGTCCCTGTAGTCCAATATCGTCATACTTTTCATATAACTTCAACAGACTATTGTAAATATGCTCGACAACCGAACCCTTCAACCAGAATTGAGTGCTATGTAAATTCATAGAATAAACATATACCTACTCTCGTGATAGTGTTTAGATCAGAAGCAAGATCTGCGTTGCACACATTATCAATTTAAATTGGCTCATATAAATCGACTGAATCCAGAACCTTCGTATTCGTTGCGTACATAATCAAAGTCGCAATGCTCGCCGAGTAGCGAGACGATGAAAATCAGTATGGAAAGCGTCCTGACCTCGACTGGAGTCATTCTTTGTGCCGTCGACCTGCAGATAGCTTGTTGAAGCCGCGCTGCACATGACCGCGTGAGTAGTGATTAACGCCAAGATTTATGGTACAGACCATTACAAGATTTCACCAAAGCTACGAGCCGATTGAAGTCGTGGGTTAAATTCTGGACCACTGCACACATACACGCCACCGATTCTTGCAAACCCTGCGTACCATGATGAGCGCTCAAGACTAGGTCGATTTGAACCTTACCTGAACACCGCCTATAGTAGACGGTTTAAGAATCATGGGCTGCAAAAGTAGCTGAAGCTCTTGACCAAGCTTCACAGAAGTCCTAGGCATATGAGGTACAGATGCTCTGAATATTTTCAACAGATAATCTGTTATGATGACTTCTTCAGGCTGATGATGTGTGCCATATGAATAGCTAAAAACAATACAAAGGCTGAAAACTCACTGATGTTGCAGGTTTCAGGTATGGCAATAGTGTGGAAGCATTTGATCCAGATAAAACAGGTGGGTAAGCAGTGGTAAACAGAAATATAGTTCGTATACAAGTATGGACAGTCTGTTCATTATTATGTGAGCTCATTGCGGAACATAATAGTCTACCAGGAGACTCACAAAGCCAGGCAGATCAGACGCGTCAACTAAGCCATCGATCAAAGTTTCGCAGATTTCAGTGTAACTACCGCGTAAAGAAGTTAAGTCTGTGCCGTCTTTGTCTGCTATCATCTTGCGCAGCAAATCTTCCAGAGGTGATTGCCTGTCTTTAAAGTTCGTTGCAACCCCCATAATCACAGATACATTGGATAGCAATCCACCCTTGTCACCATTAGTAGGCTTCGTTGACTGACGTACTTTCATGGAAAGACCATGCAATGAGGTAATAGTGAACCAAAGTTCTTCTAAGGTTTTGACAGCCAGGTCCTTCACCGTATTGTCCTCATCCAACATCCGCAGCACGAGCTTGGTACTTATGTCGACACGACGAGTCATATTATCTGTCACCTGGTAATAGGACTTGAGCAGTCTAATGACACGTTTCCTCACTCCGAGACCGGTGTCCTGAGGCAAATCAATGTATTAGTAAACCGCGCATGAACGTATCGACACACCCACAGCAATACGGTCAGCGATTCTTTGGTAGTAGTCTCCTGCAACAGCTGGTGAGTCAACCAAGTACTTTCCAATCAGCTCTACAGCAGCATCTCGGACAGCAGGGGAACTATCAAGGAGATGACCTTCAATAGCTCCACGGACGTTAGCCTAATCGAGACATTTTAGTTGACATCAGAAGTAATAGATTGACAAGTCGCGCACAGCAGATAGAATGCTCGGGTCGCTTGTCACTATTTGCCCTAAGGCTCGAAGCGCTTTGGTACGCATAAACACTTGGGGAGCATCAAGGGCTAATAAAACCACATTTAAGATGGGACCGAATGTATTTTTGAGGCTTTGAATAGTGCCAATCTCTTCTGCCAATTGGTCGATTCGAACAATCTCTTCCTGCGAGCTGAGGCAACATTTATGAAGGACCTTTGAAGTACTTGAAAGTGGACTGACCCTATGTCAAAAACGTCAACTGTATTATCCTTCCAAACGTCTCTCAGTGCGTTTCTAAGGTCTCCGCCAAACAGGAGCATGTCACGATGCTTTTGAGTCGTTTCGTTTTCGGGATTTTCGAGGAAGTTGTGTACTTGGTTCAAGGCCAATGCTAGTTCTTGTCCCCACGTTGCCGCCGTAAGTTCCCTCGCACTCTGCAGAAGTGAACGTTATTTCATAGCAAAGCCCAAGTAAAATACATTTCCCCTCACATCATACGCTTGATCGTCTGATGAACGCTTGCATAAATGCATTGCTATGTCTTGATGTCTTAAAATTAACTTTCGAAATTCTTCGGAATTCGCTGTTGAAATAATCTGCAAAAATATATAACCGATAAGAAGCGTCTTGCAAGAAATAGCGGGCATACCTCTTCCATGGGCAATACATTTTCACCAGCCTGTCGTTGCTTAACCTTTAGCGAACTAGACCTCATACGTGCCGCAATTGTTCCCAGATGATCAAGTGCAATATTCTTGGCTGCATTATTGTCCGTCTGACTTGATTTTACATCATCTAGCGATGACACCTGGGAGGACTTTTAGCATGTAGTAAAACCCTTCATCTAACGAATTGCAAACCATGAATTTGCAAACGACACTCAAGAGCAAACTTGCCGCTGGCCATTCCGGCCAGTACAAGACCGTAAGAAGGTCGGAGATCAAGTTATCTAATATGGCCCGATATTCAGCCTCGTTGGAGCTCTTCGTTGATTTACTCTTTCCGGACCTTCAATGATGTGTCAGTCGAGATGAACGAAAACATAGTTTTTCTTCGCACCTTTGCGTCAAAAAAATAACTATGGTCTTGGCTGCTTTGGAAGCTGATTCCAATCCGCCAACATATAATCGTACTTCCTGGAGCCAGATTGTTATCGTCGTAACTGTGATGCAAACGCAAAATAATGACCTCAAGATCAAGTTCATCGAGGAATGGTTCTGCTTGTCTGTCATTGATGTTTTCTTGACGACGTAATGCGAAACGACGCTGGCGATTCTTTGCAATCTGGGAAGCTTCGATGCGGATATCATGTGCAGATGTTTGTACCAGCTGTAAAAGTAGAGCGGAGACAGTCTTGATGGACCGCCCATCCCGCAAACTATAAAATAGATGAAGAGAGATGACGAGATGCTTCAAAAATATCTGCGCACCGGAACTGTCCTGCTTTCTTGTTACCGTCAGAAAGTTTGATAAGCGACGTCAGGATTTCCTCGATAATCCACGACCGTTGGCTTTCATGCCTTGCAAAAACCTATAGACACATCAAACACTGCATTCCTTAAGTTAAGATTATACTAACCCCACGTATTAGAGACAATGCGTCAAGTCGGAGCCCTCTCATTGAGCTGTTGCCCAACGTGCTGAGGACCACATTCTCTTTCTTGCCCTTGCCGTCACTATCTCCGCCAGGCTCGAACACAAAGAACGGACCAATAGCAATGTAAACGGTGTGTATGATGATTGCGTCTGACATAACAACAGCCTCCTCCGAAATGAGGCGATTGATGTGAGGTAAGGCAACTGAGAGTGCTTGAAATAGCTCGCTGAGCTGCCGTCGATGAGCTATGGAAGAGGCATCAGAGCCTTTATGAAGATGTTTTAGCAGCGCTGAATTTGGGCGATCGATGGTCGACGCTTCTACAAAGGGATATACAATACTTGTCAGTTGGTTCTTGATGGTGCTCAGACAAGCCATGATAAGCTCTTCAGAATACAACTACCATAGATAAAGTACTGAGTGATTTGGGCAGTGGTAAATAGATGAGAACACTTCACCTGCTTTATTAACCTATCACTGCCTAGCAATGCAATGCAACAATCAGCTGCCAAAACACTGTCCCTTGCAACATCTAAATGCTTTGACAGTTGTTCTAGATCGACGTTTGTAAGCACTGAACTTGTCGAAGAGTCCTCAACCGCCATAGCCGCTTCTTCCACCATGGTACTTTCCTGGGAAATATCACCGGATCCGCTCGTTGAAATTTTCTCTTCTACGCCGGTAAGCGTTTTCCGTGTTTTGAGTATCTTTCTACCTTTACGAGGTGAGTCGTTTTTTGCCCCAGCTTGGGGTATAGTACTGAACGGTTCGACGTTTTCGCCTGCTACCACGCTACGATCCAAAATTTTCAATAATCTAGATATCACACCACTGTCGACGTTGGCCAAACTCGCTTTTCCCTTAGGTGTGCCGCCGCCTAAACCATTTTCGCGGGTCGTCCTCCTGGTACGTTTCACAGGCTTTGCCATTTGTATGATATATTTGGTCAGTTTGCGAATTATATTGGGCTGAAGTAAGGGCTGATCACGATCATGCCCAATAGAGGTGAAATATTCCTTGGAGAGTGGGTTCCGGTCGACATCAGCTGGAAGAGAATCCTCTGCGTCAAAGATATCGTCAGTGAGGGCGATAAACTTTTCCAGAGGGTCTAGAAGATATCAATATATCAGCTTGTAGGAAGGATGAAAGAGTCCTTACCCCTGTCGTCACGATCGCCAGTCCTTCGGGCAGATGATTTCACGCTGGTAAGACCAGCTGTCTTGGAAACATGGGTGTCGTCATCTTCTGATCCATATCCGCCTAAGTCTGGTGAGTCAGTTTTACCTTGCCGAAAGGAATGCGTCTTTAAAGGAGACGGAGTAAACCACATCTTGGGGAGAGGGGGGACCTCAACGTAAGCAAGAGTTCTCCTAGGCGTCTTGGAAGAACTGGAAGAACTAGAAGATCCAGTCATCGCAGAGACGCGTGAGATGACAGTAGAGTCGGAGTGCGCGGCATGTAAGCGTTTGTGAGATGGTGTGGAGACTCTTTCTGTTGACTTCCTTTTACGAGGAGTGATCGATGGAGCTGAGCAATTCGAATTGGACGTTAATGCAAGAGGATCGGGACTTTCGTGTGGCAAAGTATGAACATGACGGGAAGGGGTCCTCATCTGATGATCATTTGGTCCAGAAAAGGCTTGAGCCAATCCTTGAGATTGCTGTTCAAGAAAACTATTGAAAAAGGAGGACGAGTCCTCAAATCGGTGTGAGACATTCTGGGGGGTTTCTGGAGGATAGCCTAACGCAAATGCAAGGGAGGACGTAGAAGGAGTGACGCTGGGAGGAGGGGGCGTAGGATAGGCGGAGGCAGGAGTCATGCGCTGAAAAATCGAACTTGCGAGAGCCGGGGTCTGGTAACCGGACTGGACACCCTGTGATCGGGACCATTGGGAAGGAAAGGAGTATGATGTTGAAGGACTGCATGCAAGAAGGGGGGAAAATCAGAATCATATACACATAAGCATGTGCCTGACGCACTACTCTGGGTCCCCTAAGACCTGCATGCATTGGTCTCTTGAGCGTTCCCAGTAGCCTGTTGGCTGAGCGGGCATTGGCATTGCGGACAAACGAGAAATCTCGTGAGAGTATTCATTCATTTGGGGAACGACTGCATTATGAGAAGGGTAGTGAAAATTATTGTAGCTGGCTTGCATATAAGTTGGTGTGTTCGCGGTTACTGCCAAGTTGTTTATATGCCTTGCCACTTATAAGGACTGGTCAATAAAAAAATGTAACAATAGTCAAAAAGATTTACCATGAGTAGTGGGGGTTGCGGAAGCCATAGGATATACAGCAAGCAACCTATGAGCTCCATGAACGGAATCTGCGGCAACTCTATTGAAAGCGGGTTCTGGTGATGAGACTGGTTGCAAATGCTGATGAATATAATGCTGGTTCGCATGCCAGTAATGGTCATCCATATTGTTCGGCCGTAAAGAGGAAGACAAGGTCAAAAGGCCAGATATACTAACAGAGGAACCGGACAAGCGTGGTTAAGCTAAGGACGGATGAGACGCTTTCAGACTCACAGCCACGCCATCGTGGCTGTGCCCGATGGCCACAGCACTACGGAACTTCAACTTTTCGAAAGATGAAAATGCATCACGGTAGGAAGAATGTCATCACGATTGATCAAATAAAAAGCTGATGCTTGTATGTGGGATGTATTTCATTGAGAATAAGCGTAAGACAGACAAGCCAGAGGTAAACCACCAAAATACAGTTAATCATATGCACTGTAATCCACGAATTTCCCCTCCTGTAGCCCAACCCAACAATGATAAACGTTGTGAACCGGGTTCCCTGCAGTTGGGTCAAATTGAACTGATAATGTGTTCCATCCGTTCCGCACGGATATACTGTATGGTGAATCCAGCAATCACGTCCACACCGCCGGCTGAGTCACCATGCTTATATATCCACAGACCTGTGCCCTGCAGTCGAACATTAATTCTGCAAAACGATACCAGAACTGCTGAGATATCCAGTAGTAATGCGTCGGTGGGATTTACAGCTTGAACGGAGTGTATGAGAGGTCGCATGGTCTTCCTAGTGCCGACCCGAAAAAAAAAACCACGTAGAAACAGCTGGTGGCTACGTTGTAAGTAAATAGGAATGCCCAGATAGGGGCACTTTACCGTTTATCAGCTACAGGCAAACATTTGGCGCCATGATATCCACGTCCTGATATAATAACTGGATCCCCTGTCAGCTCGACAGTTACGTTCACAACCGCAGAACTACCAGGAACTGTGCACACAAGCTGACTGTATAATATACCCTAGGCTGCATTTAACTTTGTGGCAGATGGGGTAGCTGATGTGAAGTATTTGTTACCATGTGTCGTAACACCGATGGTGAAGATCGATAAATCGGAAGAAGTCTCGAAGGATCCACAGTGCCCCAAACATTTGTGCGTTACACACTACCCAAGGTTGCGAGTTCAGCTCGAAAGCCACTGAACCCATTTACAACAATACAATATTTAGGGAAGAAATGATTGCGTGGTCCTATCTGGAATGGAAACCTTATAAGGCACTACAAAACACCTGACATAGAAAGAGGGGATTACCTCGATAGAATAAAAATTGTATGGAAATCGTATGGATGCTGGAGGTATATCACCGGTAGGTTCTACTATGGCTGAGCCCTCCACCGCCCCAACACCCCATTCGAAGAACTAGGGTTTTTTTATTGATCTGATCATCAAGCACGACGTTGTTGGATGTCATCTGAGCATGGTGTAAGTTGGCACCAGACACGAGACTGTAAATAATAAGATAATTAGTCTGGGTGGAACCTCTCCAGACCCAAATACCGTATGGTGATAACCGACAGCAAAAGTTTGTGTTGACTACGTACTGGATTGCGAGATGATAGCATTTATATATTCCCCAGACCACAGGCAACAATGAACGAGCTGTGACTCAGCGCACCTGTGGTTGGGTAGTTATCCTGATCGGCGGAGAAACTTGGCCTATGATAACTTTGAGCTCAGGAATCGGCGATACGACCATAATCAATAAGCGTAGCGGTTGGTGCAGGGCTGCTTGGGCAGTTTTCGTGAAGATGGGCCAGTGGATGCCAGACCACCTTGCAGACAAGCTGATATAAAACTAAATCGTACAGACCTTGGTAGAGACTAGCTACTGATTGAAAGATCACCAGCTCAGAGCACCTTGGAGGTTACTTAAGCCTTGGTTAGCGTTCAACTCGAAAATGTACCAGGCGACCCGAACGACCACTGTCAGTGGCCCATCTAGATACGCAGATCACTGCGTTAGGTTAGTGTGAGAATTTTTTTCCCTTTTGGGTAAAATCGTTCTAAAAAAACTGCAATCCACGCTCAGCTCACCGTGACTGTAACCGTCCTATGGCCCAAAAACATGCTGTACTGCAGGAACAACGCAGACAACTACCGATAGCAAAAGGTTGGAAGTCTATTTGGCACATACTATTTGTTCGTAACTAGATCTTGAAACAGGGAAAGATGCAATAGTACGAGAAATACGTGAAAATGATGTCACGATTCTTCTCGGGGAGACAGGATCTGGCAAGACAACTCGTGAGTCATGCCATTCTCCACTAAATCATTCGGTCCCAACTCTCATGAAATTAGAGGTCCCTCAATATCTCTTAGAATCTGGAATAGCTGGTCAAGGCGTGATTGCTATTACACAGCCTCGAAGAGTGGCTGCAACGTCTTTGGCAGCCCGTGTCGCTGCAGAGCAGAATGTTTCTTTGGGTGGCTTAGTCGGTTATTCTGTCCGTTTTGACGAGTCATTCGGCACTGAAACGCGCATCAAATATGTCACCGACGGCATGCTTGTGCGTGAGCTTCTATCCGATCCTCTGCTGTCTCGCTACAGCGTGATAGTAGTGGACGAGGCCCATGAACGGACCATACGTACAGATTTTTTGATCACGAATCTCAAAACCATTCAAGCACATAGGAATGCTGCCATTGACCAGAAGGGAAAGGCCCTGGCTTCAAAACTCAATCCTCTAAAAATTGTCATCATGAGCGCTACTCTGGACGCCGAGAAATTCAGCCGTTTTTATAACAAGTAATCATAATATGTGGTTCTCCTAATTTTCTTACCAACCACTACTCAATAGCGCCAGAATCTTATATGTCAAAGGGCGACAACATCCTGTTAAAATTTTCCATACTGCAGTCAGCCAATCTGACTATGTGGATGCTGCCCTTCGTACCTTCTTTCAAATTCATATTGACCAGCCCCCTGGCGATGTTCTTATATTCTTGCCGGGTCTGTTGTTCTTTATCCTTGTTAGATCAGCGACTCATCCAAGTGATTTAGGTCAAGAAGACATCGAGAGCCTGGACAAATCATTAAAGTTATATGCACAAAGACTTCCTAAAGAGCGCATGGGTGTATGTTGCCTTACCTGCAACTCAGTGTTTGTTTCTCTCACCTCAATTCCAGGTACTAATATGTCCTATGTATGCGGCCCTACCACCAAATCAACAGGCAAAGATATTCTCTAGCACTCCCCCAGATTTTCGCAAATGCATCATGGCTACTAATATCGCTGAAACATCTATCACTATTCCGGGAGTAAGGTACGTGATTGATACCGGAAAATGTAAAGAAAAACGTTATCTCACTCGCGACACGGGAGGAGGTAGTTATAAATATTCGTTGAAGCTATCAGTTGGCTTATTATTCTCTCCAGGGTTCGATACCCTTTTGACTCGAGATGTCACGCAGTCCTCGGCAATGCAACGAGCTGGCCGCGCTGGTCGTGAAGTATGTTTCATCGTTGTGACAGCGTGCAAGGGCTGAACATGAGTCAGGGACCTGGTTTTTGTTTTCGACTGTACACTGAAGACGCCTTTAGCTCAATGGCAGTTTCCGCAGAGCCAGAGATCCGTCGGTGTAGCCTTACAACTAGTTTGCTCCAGCTGAAGTGCCTCGGCCAAGACCTGGAATCAATGGACTTTTTAGATAGGCCGGATATGGAAGCTAGTACGCATGATCCCTCATGTGCCTTGGTTTATGCTGCGATATTTATCTTTGTCAGTTTTTGCTGCCCTCAAGACTCTTTTTCTTTTAGGAGCTTTGGACAAGGCTAAGGCATTGACTAGTTTGGGTCGGGAGATGGCATCTTTTCCTTTGGAGCCCTACCTGGCGAAGGTCGTACTTGCGTCTCGAAGTCATGGATGTACTTCGGAGGTTCTGGACATCGTTTCGCTCTTATCGTCGTCATCCAAGTTATTCACCGACGTGTCTGACCAGCGTGAAACCATAGCTGAAGCACGAAGGAAATTTCGTCATAATAGTGGTGATCATATGACTATGCTCAATGTTATGCGATCGTACCAAGAGGTAGCAGCAGTAGAACTTAAAAATGGTCGAAAGGAGTGGTGTCGCCAACACTTTGTAAACGAGCGTACACTCGCAGAAGCACTCAAGATCCGAGAGCAGCTACGTTTAACGTGCCAGCGCCATGGGGTAGATTGGCATTTCTCGTGTAAAGATACTGATGAACCAATTCTACGATGTTTTGTGCTTGGTCTTGCTCAGCACTCGGCTTTCCTTCAACCCGATGGGTCTTACAAACAAACTATGGGTCACGCGGTGAGTTGTCGTCCTGTCTACAGTTTTTTTTCATTCACTGACTTATCGTAAGATAATCAAAATTCACCCGAGCTCGACGTTGTGTGACAAGAAAGCACCTGCCATCATATTTGATGAACTAGTGAGACTTCCGACTTCTCTATTCTATGTACTTATCTAACAATCGCATAGGTCTATACAAGTCAGATATATGCACGAGGTGTATCCTCTGTGCCGAAAAGCTTCTTTATGGATGATGCTACTATCATGATGTCGTCGAAAGGGATCTAGAATACCAATTGTTTACCACCTTCACACATTAGGTTGACTAGAATAAGAGGATTAATAGAGAACCCTGAAAGGATCAAAGTGTACGTTTATTAGGATGTCGTAATGAAGTTGAACTAGTGATGTTGTTCGGCGACATACGTGAGGCCTGAGTGAGGTGCGACATTCGGGTTAATTATGTCTTCCTTCTTTTATTCACATTGCCGCCTTCCCCTTCTGCCTCGCGTTTATTTTTCATGCCTGCAATCCGCATATGACCCTTTCGCCTTTCTTTTTCTTTCTCTTCTTTTTTACCTTCCTCTTTTGCTACTTTCTTTTTATGTCCTTCTCTCCTCTCGTGCTGCTTTTCTTTGCGCCGTGCTACCTGGTCCTTTCGTAACGCTCGAATCTGCTGTAGCAAAGCAACTGCTTTCTTTTCCTCTGGCTCTCTGATAACCGCCCGTTTTTGCAGATACGTCTGTCGACGCTGAGGCTTCATAATTTTCGGTTTTGATGCATATGGTAATGCTGCCTGCAGTTTCTTAGGGATTCTTAGAGCGTTGAAACGCCGTGCAGGGCGATCTACAGGCTTGTAAGTCGAGTTTACATTGAGATGCGTCTTCAAGCCTTCGTCTTGACGTATTTGTCCTGTCAAACGCATTCCTGCCCAACGATCCTTGTCGGATAACAGTAAGGATGTCACAGGATTATAGAATTTTCGAGGCTCAATGGAGTACCAAGCACGTAGGAAGATAATATCTGTACAATTATCAGTACTCTGCTTGATGCAAAATATCAAGGAACTTACCGCTCATCAAAACCTTGTCCTCAAATGTCGCACGGAAAGCCCCCTCCGGTTTTGCTAGTCCCTTTTTAATCTGACCTCTGATACCGGACACCGTCTTGATATTTGCTCCTTCAAACTTAGCAACTTCGAGAGCGCTGGTGAACATGTCCTTGATAAAGGCGGTGTTCTTGAAGATCTTGTATGGAACCCCAGTCAACTTTAGTTTCTTCACTATCTTAGCAGACCGGTCTATATCGAGGACGACGCCGGTAGCCGATATTCGAAATGCAGCAGTTTCTCCATTGAGGGAATTGAATGCACAAAAGCCAGTGTTAGGAAGAGCAACTGGACCATAAAACGTCGCATAGCAGTGCATATGCTCTGGGGTATATTTCAGCATGCGCATTCTGATAGAGTGATCATCCAGAGAATATATCGGAATACTTTGGAAACGCCGCCAGCCGACCGAAAAAATAAGGGGATCGTTTGTTTTGAGCGTTTTGGTAAACCACCGATGGCGTTTGATGCGAACCTGAACATATCCAAACCGCTCTTCCGCAGGAAGAAGGCCCCCAACCACGATGGGATACATAGGATCAAAATGTTCAATCATTTCGCATGGCACCTGTGTGAGCTCTAGGCGTAAGTAGGTACCAGGGCGATAACCCTCCACAAGCGCTCGAGTCTCCGTGCTAACGTTTTCAAATTCTACGCGATTTAACTGAAGCTGTCGATTCATCTCTTCTTTTTTTTCGTCGTAAAAATCCATTTTTGTAGCCTCGGGATCGTCGTATTGCTCGTTGAACTTGCGCTTTAGCTCCTCTTTCTTTGCGGCAAGCTGGGCAGAGTGATCTTGTCCAGCAACATCAGGAAGAGATGCGTTCGCTTCTAGGTCCTCAAAATCGCCACCATCTATATCTTCATATTGTTCGGCTGGATTGTCTCCTGTAGACCCACTCTTCTCTCCAGTGATGAACAGGCTACGTATTGAGTCTAGGAGCGCCGTATCCGCCCAATTCGAAAGATCCTCCAGAAGCTCCTTAGACATATCCAGAGAATCACCAGGTACGTGGTTGGCTTCTCGTATACTGAAAAAATCATCTCCATCATCGAGTTTGCTGATGGCAGATGATGCATCAACGCCGCTGGTGACAATCTGATGGGGAGACAGTTTACTAGAATATATCAGGGCCATCCAGTCTTTTTTTTGCTTATGGGAATGAAGTTGGAAGAATTCGCTGGCCTTGACCGAAAGATTCGACTTCCATGCAGGAGCTTCTTCATCGAAGGGCTTTTCGTCGCCATCGGTATCACTTGGAGCATCCCATTGTTCGTTATCTACGCGAACCACCCCCCCGATTGACCCGTCACGGTGATCATCGTCGTGTCCTAATTCAGAGTCGCTGTCGGCAAACTCCACGGTATTAGCATCACGCCTATTTGATGATCTATGCCGTATCGGTCGAGCAACTTTGCGGAGGGTCGACCGACCATGATTCTCAGTGCCCCCATGGGCCAACATCCCAGCCTCATCTTCCCCTTCGTCATCGTCATCGTCATCCTGAGTCACGTCATCTTCATCCGAGGAATGCTCACTCCCTCCTGAATCTATATCGTCCAACTCAGAATCTTCCTCGTCGCTGCCAACTCCCTCTTCCTCGTTATGTTCAAGTATTGGGTCAACCGAGATAGGATTGGATGAGGACCCAAAGAGTCGGATACTGCCGCGTGCGATGTTGTCTTCAAGCGTAGCGTCAACGTCTTGAAGGTCCATCACCATTTGCTCCCCTTCACCTTGGGGAACTGTGTGACATTTATATCAGAACTTGTACTGGTATCAAAGAGACCATGAACTCACTATCGGTGTTACCACGTGTAAAGCTACCAGGAACGTTGATCCAAACAGAGTCTTTATCAAACACGACACCACCTACATCGCTCATTGGAGCATGCACGAGAAGCTTCTGCTTTTCACTCAATTTTCTCCTCTTCTCTGAGTCAGCATCAGGTAAAGGACAGGGATCGCCCAGAACCGATATACTCTTTAAGTCTAGATCACCAACACCGGGGATGTGTACCTTTGTTCCGAGACGCAAATTTGTGCCGCGAAGGTAGCCATATAGCGTTACAGTGCGGTCGCACTTTCCTTTCGAGGACCGTATCAACTCTCGTGAAGTGAGATCCTCAACGCGATCAGCGAGTAGGTAGGGGTGGCTGTTACGAAATACGAGAGGACGAAACTTCATCACGCTAATGAAGCGAGATAGATTGAGAATTTCGGTGTCGGGGTAACGACCATTGAGGACTCCAGATAGATAGAAAAGTTTGGCACCTTGATAAATTTCGGTCCAAAATCGTTTTTTTAGTGCTTTTTTCGTAGCACTTAAAGTCGCCGCCTTCTTGATGAGATCGAGGTGGGAAAGAATGCCAATGACTTTAGGAAATCCGTGGGACTGCAGTACGTTTAGAAATTCAAAAGTTTCCTAAAGTCATGCCTTAGATATGGATAGCTCTTGCTGTGAGTGTACATACCATTTCAAAACCATACGAACCGTCGATCATTAAGAGTACAAGATCAGCTACTTTTCCGACGTCAATCATGGAGTTTATGTCGTTGTTACATTCAAAGAAGGTTAGCCTCCGCTTTTTCCCACTGACAACGGTGACAGGCCCTTTGATATCATGGAGGGTTTGCTTGGTATGCCGGCGCACCAAGCTTTTGAGTAATGTAGATTTGCCTACGCCTGGAGGGCCGACAATAGCGACGACAACGGGTGGTGGATCGTCATCTGGAGTACGGTTTACCAAAGGGACGTGGAGGCGGGTTTGATCACGTTCGGCGTTCCGTCGACCTTGACGGTCTGCTCGTCGCCCAGACCTGGGAGCAAATGCCTGGGCGGCTATGTGTTATGTTTGTTATGTAAAATAGGTACAAAATGGACATACCTTTTCGTTGTAGCCTTGTGTGTGCTTGCCATGGCCCTTCTTCTCTGCCTTGCTGCCTGACTGGGCAGGACGATGGGCTTTGTGTGTCTGACCTTCCATGGTGTAAGGAGACAGTCGGAACCCAAGCTTAAGGTTTAGCAAAAAGATATTATATGATCACGTGGTCGACGCGTTCGCGGTGTTTGGCAGTTTGGTTTCACTGTCCGCCATTATCCCTTGAGCTATCTCTTCTTCACTCTTTTCCTCGCCGTATACGCTGTGTCCACCCGCTACACTCGCCCAAGTCAAATTGCTGCCTTGCCTCCTGCGACACCCACAATGAAAAAGCGATTTTCTAATCTCGAGTTCAGCATTCCCGGCGACGAGCTCGAACACCATCGTATACAACTGGAGAACAACCTGCAGCATACAGACTTTTCGTTGCATCTCTCTTCTGCTCCTGACGATCCAGTTTCTGAAAGCGGCTCGGTGGAGTATCCAAGGCATACCTCAGCGCCATCACCCTTCTCCGCATTTGCCTCGTTCGATAATCCTTCTCGCGACAACCTTGACTTTGACAGTCATAGCCATTTGCATGCATGGTCTTACCACGACGAGGACGGTGTCAACCCATATGGTGCTGAGACTATGTCCACAGCTGCCCATCACGCAAGTGCTCTCACTCTAAGTGCTGGCCTTGGTGGAAGAGGCGGGAGGAGGGATGTTAGCCTCTCTAACGCTGAGTACGACCCGGATCGCCCATTGCAGCAGATCATCGAGGGAATGAATGGTCAATTAAGTGCTATAGATAGCCACTATCATACAAAGTCTGGGATGCAGGTGAGTTATCTTTTTCCTAACTTTCCTTGGCGCGGAGTCAGGCCTATGCCACAGATGCTGATGTGTCATGTAGGTGGGGAGCAACTTTACTTTTGACCCTCTAGTGGTAGATAATACTAGCGACATTGATCGAATTCTCCCATCCGGGCATGCTGCCAGTTTAACTTCACTTGCTGTTCGCTTGCGCTCTCCCAATTCTTCTGCGGATTCTTCATCAACTGAATCCGATGGATTACGTGTTGTATCGCCTCGTCCCAGACTGTCCGATACTCTCCACCGCGTCTCATTCTCTCCCAAGAGGCCTCGTAATGGTAATGTTCATTCCCGTGTCTCATCACAGTCGTCGCTTCATGGTCAGACCCGTGCGTCTATACATCCTTCCGTTTCAAGGAACTCCGAAGCTGGACGACGGCACTCGAGTTCTCATTCAAAAGGAACAGGCAATGAACACCACGCGTCATCTCATTCTCGGATCCATGCTGATCCTGACTATGCTCCAGGTCGACGAGGTGAGAGTCGGGCGGGACCCCTTCAGCCTGAAGTACTCGTCCAGCCTCCTACTCCATCTGCTACTAGCTCCAAGTTTACAAGGATGGCCAGAGACTTGGCGAGAGAGATCCAAGAGGAGCAGAGCCACCGCACTGTAGACTTGAACGCCAGCACTGTTACCAGTGCGTCAAAAAACCTACCCATGCGAGGTGATAGGAAACAGAAGATGAATCGAAATCCTTTTGGCAGCATCGTGAATCACTCTGGTACTGAAGTCATGGCTGATGAAGCACACTCAATTCGCGACTTTTCCAAAACATCTCACAGGCGCTTGCATTTACCTGACGTAACCGGTTTAACGAGTGCTGTAGCCTCTCCCGCGAAGAATATAACTGAACGATACGGTGTATCCGGTGGCCATGAGCAGATGGAGATAGAAGGTAGATTTCAATCACAACATAAATAAGCTTCATTCCTGATACCTAAGTTTCAGCGCGCCTCATAGCGTCTCTCAATGCTTTACATTCAAGGCTAGCTCAACTCGAGTCCCAGAATAGTATTGCGCGTCGTCGAGTGCGGGAGCTAGAGCTGGAACTTGAGCAGTGCAAGGACGACGTAGCTAAAGAGCGGACTCGTGTGATGGCAAGAGAGGAGCTTGTCCCTCAATCCCGGCGGTCTAATAGACCGGAAAATTCTGGAAAGGACAGGCAACGGAGCCTCGACGGATCAAACATTACGATGGACAGGTATCGGGAAGTCGTAGAAGAGAAAAAAGGTAAGTCGACAGATGGTTCATCTGAGAGCGACACTGAGCATGATTGAAGCTTTGGAGGCTCTAATCGCCAGCCTGAGGTTGCATCTCACTCGACTAACGACCGACTTGTCATATCAACAGCAGATATTGGGTGAACTCCGCTCTCTGCGCGAGTCGGATGCGAAAACACTGGCAGAAAAGTCACAGGAGATAAATCAGCTCAGGGAAGAGGTGGAGCGTCTGGCTGGGGAGATAGAAGTTTTAAGGGGGGTGGTGGAAGAGGGCTTACAGGAAAGGCGGTTAGTCAGAGAACAGCTTTCCATGAGGGCACCCGATCAACCGATTGGCGCTCTGAATCAGCAGCAAGGCGAGCTTGAAAGTCAAAGGGCCGAAGCTGAAGAAGACGACAGTTCTAGTCGACCTCAAAGTCCTGTCATTCGACGTGCTACGCCAACACCCAGACGAGCGTCGTTTTCCCGAGTGCATTCCCCCAATGGAACAAATATTATGAATAGGCCCCCGAGCAGTTTGTCTTCCTCCCATGCTGGATCCTCTCGCCCATTCGTTGACCCAGAAGAACTGGATCGTATCTCCGTGGAACTGGAGGAGCGGAGATCGGATCGATCGTCTTCATCATCGCGTACAAATTCACGGGTCCAGGACCATTCTGCAGCCCTCGATGTCGATCAGCGCATCACATCGTCCCGCAGAACCAGTACTAATGGCAGTGTACGCTCGGGTAACAGGAGCGCCCGCGAAAGTGTGCGGGGGTTTGGATCAGAGGGCGTTAGTGTACCCGAGCGAGGCGACGATGTTGATTTCCTCACTCGTTCAAAGCTGCACCACCAGGACGACGATATAGCGCAGCCCCTTCCAGCTGTCCCTGGTAGAAGCGCTCAGCACGAGAAGATTACTCAGATTCAGCGGAGTGCGGGAAGTGATCCAGTCACACCGTTTCCCCGAATCAGGTCTGGTCACCTTGAGCGTCTCTTCTTCTCCGCTCCCGAGCACAACGCAAAAACATGTACAGTTTGTCATAGGCGTCGTCGGCCGCTTTCCGGTCCAAAGTCGTCATTTGAACCCCGGCCTCCTAAGGCCCATGTTGAAGTGGAAGATAACGACGAAGGATTTCATGAGGGGTCTGAAAGCGATGCACACCAACATGGTGACACCGGTGTTGGTGCAAAAGACAAAGGTAAACAACTTGAACACGACGCCCTCCAGTCTTATGGTTCCTACGAAGAATTATGTTCAAGAGATGCCCTTCCTCCCCAAACCGTCCTTTCCAGGGTATTGAGGGAGTTAGAAGACGATTTCGCGCACTATAAAAGGTTTGTTCTCAATCACGAACGGTATCAGCTCTGTAATTGACTCGGTCGTCCTAGCATCTATGTTGAGTTAGCAGATCAATATCGTCTAATGGATGCTGTATCAAATGTCCCGAAAAGAAACACCTTGGCGGAACATCTCAGAGAAGTGATTGATATTTTGGAACGCAAGGTCAGTTAGTGGTACGCTCTTCGGAAAATACAGACCCCTAACGACTTGGAAACAGGGCGATCAAATCGCGTCTTTGTATGATCTTCTTGCATTTAAGGATAAACCAGTAGCAGCCGGCGCTGGAAAGACCCACAATCACCCCCGTCAAGGCACAACTATACCAGGCTCGCACCAATACACTCATGCTGTAGTGCAGGGCTCCAAAGACGGCCTACATGTTCACGCATAGTTCTTCAATAGTGTTATCCATAATAGATACCTCAACATCAACCTATCATACTGTGTATCAAGCTGTCTATATCTATATATTTAACAAACTTGAAATTGAATCCACACACTGGCACTATCCGAGTCGGAGTAGTTACTGGGATTTGGAGATTGAAGTGGGTAGTTACATTCAACCAGATTGAAGGTGGCTTATCTTAGAGAGGTTGCTCACTCACACGAATTTCAAGCTGAAACCCGCAAGACCATGACTAGTACTACAGAAAATCCATTTACCATCTCAATTTCCAATGAGATGCTAACGAGTCTTCGCTCTAAACTTGAACTGGCTACATTTCCTGACGAACTGGACGATGCTGATTGGAATTATGGTGTACCTATGGCTCACATCATTAGATTGGTGGCCAGGTGGAAAGGCGGATACGACTGGCGCAAGTACGAAAAAGAATTGAATGAAGAGCTTCCGATGTTCACGAAGGATATCGATGTTGACGATTTTGGAACATTGAACATACATTACGTTCACCAGAAGGGTGAAGCAGTGGGTTCTGTACCACTACTATTCGTTCATGGATGTAAGCCTGCTTTTCCCTATGCTCGTACTCATCAACACGGACATTAGGGCCAGGAAGTTTCTTAGAAGTTCGCAAAATCCTCCCCCTTTTGACACGAGGTTCACCACAACATCCCAACTTTCATGTTGTTGCTTTGAGTTTGCCAGGATTTGGCTTCTCAGATGCCCCGCGAAAGCAAGGTTTTTCGAGCGTCCAGTATGCAGAGGTTTGTTCTGATGCCTACGCATTACGTATATAGTCTGAATTCGAATGATCACGGAGGTTGCTAACAAGCTGATGCTTGCCCTCGGATACACTGAATATGGCACGTCGTCTTTGATACCTTGACTCCTCCTTTTATCTTCTATCTACAGTAACCCAAGGAGGCGATTGGGGATTCTGGGTGAGCAATGTCCCTAAAATTTCAGTCCATTTCCAATGAGCATTTATGTGGTACAGGTAACTCGTAAAATAGCAAATTTGTATGGTGGCATGAATAGCAAAGCATGGCATACCAACTTTCCTATGTGAGGAATGTGGTCTATAGCATTATTGAAGATTCTAAAGTGTATTGCAGCGGGGAGCCTCCGCGTTTAACGAGCAACCCTTTCGCGTTCATATCACACCTTCTCACACCATACACCGGAGCTGAGAAAGCTGGGCTCGCTCGTACAACCTGGTTTCGTACCCAAGGGAGGGGTTATTTCGCTTTGCAAAGTACTCAACCCCAGACCCTTGGTTACGCACTTGCCGATAGTCCAGTGGCGTTACTAGCTTGGATATCCGAGAAACTGGTCCTATGGTCTGATGATTACGGATGGGATGATGACGAAGGTGAGTGTAGGGTAGAAACCGTGAACTCTTTTTGTTCTCATGGGAAGGCAACGGTTTTCAGTTTTAACATGGATATCGACCTATTGGTTCTCTCGTGCTGGTCCTGCTGCCTCCTTGCGCATATACTTCGAAGTGACCCAGAACAATGAGCGAACCTTTGCCGGACAGGCCCCTAACATCCCAATGGGTATTTCTTACTTTCCTAAAGAGTTGTTCCTTCCACCCAGAGCGTTCGTTTTTCTCCGCAATGCTTCTTAAAGTCATGGTTTACCGATTTTATCATTTCAGATGGACTCGCGGGTCAGGGAGGGTGGTATTTGAATCGGAACATGAAGATGGAGGACATTTTGCTGCTTACGAGAAACCACGAGAACTAGTTGATGACATACGGAAGATGTTTCAGAAAGGAGGGCCTGCCTATGGTTTGGTATCGGGGAGCACAGGGTATGATTAGAGCTTACGACCCGTTACTTCAGGAAGTTCCAGACGACCTTTCATTATACACGTATAACCTTTGTTTCTGCAATATCCAAAGACTAAGGCAGGAAATTAGCAATGCAATATATTCACCCCTTTCGGTTGGCCATTGCAGAGAGCCTACAATGTACAGGCAACCAGTGCAAAGTATATATCAATAATGTGGAAGTCTGTCTATAAGTTCAAGAATCCACGTATTCTTTTGGGGATAAGCATAGCGTAAGCATTGATGAACTGCGGTCCACATGAGTAGGTAAGACAACAGAAAGACCAAAGGGGTATTAGCAGAAGAAGATAAAACATTCCAGGTCGTACTGCGAGATGGGCCTGCCGTTGCAGATGAACTGGAGCGGCCAGAGAAAACATATTGAGCTGCAAACAAGCGAACAGCGGGGCCAAATAAGCAAACGAAGTGCGTCTGAAACATACATAAATAAAATCCCAATGAAACCTAGCCACAGAAATAAAGAAAAACAGGCGAGGTTTCCAAGAAAGAGGAGAGGTCGTGAAGTTTTTTCCACTCCGAGCTACAGAAGCCTCCCTCACCAATTCAAGCTACTTTCCCTCAAAATCGGGTTGGATATGGGAGCGCCAGGTACTAAAGTGCGGCGCTCACGCACACCGGTGACGTGATTGTCGTAGTCATCTCCATCGGTCCTAACACCCTGATATCCTCGCAAACTATCCTCTGCATAATAGAAACTTCTCCTGCGCTGACCACCGACACTATCTCGATCGAATTCCTGGCCATCAGGTCGAGCGCCCTCGAAGCCTGGATCTGACAGGCGCCTATGTGCGAGTTCCCTGCGTTTCTTGATCGATTTGTATGCAATGTAGCCGAGTACAATAAGAGCGATAGCTCCCAGTGAGCTTACAACACCAATGATGGCATCTTGTCTAACTTTAGAAGAATTGCTAGACGAATTCCCATTGGAAGAGGTGGAACTACCACTTCCGGTGGTAGGACTGGATACTGAATCGATAGGAAGGCTAGGGTCAACGCACGACGCAAGGGTTTGAGGAATGGATCCAACTTGTGCGGTGTAGAAAGGCGATTTTTCGTTAGAAACCAAACTAGCGAGTTGCTGAACAAGAGCACTCGAAATGAAACCCAACCACTCGGTGCCAAGCTGCGCAACATCCTGAGTCCCTTGATAGGACGAAGGAATGTATACTTCCAACTCGTAATTGTAAATTTGCGATGCTATTCGAAGACAGATCAGCTGTGGTTATGGTAATAGTCGGAGTTACGTACCATCGATGCCCAATGCTGTGGCAATAACTTGAGGGAAGTATTCAAATATCTGACCAGATGTATCGGCATTTTGGGCCACCCATTGCCAATTTAACGATTGATTAAACAATACGCTGATCAGAGAGTACCCAGCGGGAACTGTGGACTGATTGTATTGTTGACCGGGCGGTAGTATAATCCTCGGCAAGTTGCTCGGAAGAGGAGCAATACTTGGCGCACTTGATGGGGCTATACTTCCAGCGGTGAGTGTCGTGGTTGCCTGGTCAGGGTTTGTCAATGTAGACTGGGTCCTGGTGGTCGTAGGGGAGTTATTGATCTCGAGAGATGACACAGTAGTAAGGTAATTGTAAATGGAATTGGAAGTCTGGGTCGGCGAAGTAGAGGAAGAAATATGAGTGGATGTCATCGAGCTTGTTGAGACGTTGGTAAAGCTTATCACAGTCGACGACAAATTCCCTGACCGCAAGGTACTGGTCTCAGTAATCGTCGATCCGTTAACAATAGTCGTAAACGCGGTGACGGTCGAATGACCGCTTGTTATAGTACTAGTCCCGTTGGTAGAAGTTATTCTGATACGATAGGAATTTAGCTGGTCATTCTCATGAACAAATAAAAAGTGAGCCTACGTAGAATGTGCCGAAGTAGACGTCGAGGTAGGGCAACCTAAAATCCCACCCAAAAGACAAGATGGGCTAGAGGAGGTAGCACTTGCAGAGCTTTTTGACGTCGTCGTAGGGCCGGAAGGTTGGACTGATGGCGTCGAAGACGGACATCCAAGACCTAGACCCAGAAGGCCATTGCAGGAACTAGTAGTAGGTGGCGGAGAGGAAGGCTGAGCAGACGATGGTGGTGTAGTCGTAGGCTGGTTCTGCGGAGTCGAAGAAGTCGGAGAGCAGCCAAGGCCAAGTCCGAGAAGACCATCACAAGAGCTGGTACTAGCAGGAGGCGAGGAAGGCGGGCCTGAACCTGAAGTCGTAGGCTCATTCTTCGTTGTCGATGAGGTCGGGGAACAACCAAGCCCAAGCCCGAGAAGACCATCACAAGAGCTGGTACTAACAGGGGGCGAGGAAGGCGAGCCTGAACCTGAACCTGAAGTCGTAGGTTCACTCTTCGTTGTCGATGAGGTCGCGGAGCAACCAATGCCGAGACCAAGAAGACCATTGCAAGAGCTAGTACTAGCAGGGGGTGGTGACGAACCCGAAGCAGGAATACTGGAGGAAGCTGGTGTACTCGTCGGAGATGACGGACAGCCAATACCGAGTCCAAGAAGACCGCCGCATGAGCTTGTACTGGGAGAAGGCGAAGGAGACGCTGAGGTTGTATGGCCTGTGGCGCTGGGAGTCGTTGACGAGGACGAAGAAGCGGGGCAACCTATACCTAAACCGAGGAGACCGCCACAAGAGCTAGTACTGGAGGTTGGGGAAGAATGAGTGGTTGGCGTGGTGGGTGTCGATGTAGTGTGTTGAGACGTTGGCGTCGACGAAGAAGCGGGGCAACCTATACCTAAACCGAGGAGACCGCCACAAGAGCTAGTACTGGAAGTTGGGGAAGAATGAGTGGTTGCCGTGGTGGGAGCCGATGTAGGGTGCTGAGACGTTGGCGTCGACGAAGCGGGGGGACACAAAAGCCCGAGACCTAGGAGACCACCACAGCTGGAAGTGGACGGAGAAGGCGACGAATGGGGCGTTGTTGAAGTTCCCGCTTTAGTGGTAGGCTGGGACGTTGGCGATGGAGAAGCACTGGGTTCTGTTTTGGATGCGCTCGCGGACGTGGAGACAGGAGGGAGAACTGAAGATGTTTGCGATGCAGAACTACTAGGCTGTCCGCCCCCAAGAAGGCCACCAAGAAGACCGCCATTACCATTATCACCTGTTTGAGACAAGGGTGATAAATAAATTAACAAGGGGAGCCTGTTGAGAACATACCAAGCAGACCACCGAGGTCACCTCCCAGACTTCCAAGCAGACCACCGCCGTCGCCGGTTGCCCTGTTTTTCAAGGACAAGGAGCGTCGTGCATGGGAGAGAGAGGACGAGGAATGGGCGGCATCGACGACGGAGAAACCAAGGAAGAGAATAGCAGAGAATACGAGATAGTAAAACGACTTGTACATCAAATAAAAGTATGTATGGACAAATGCTGGATGAGCAGGACAGCGGAACACGCAAGGGACGTCCGCTAGGAGTGAACGAGTGTGTGGAGAATTGCTAGGAAAGAGCAGAAGTGTCCTTGGCTACGGCGAAAGGCTCCAGTTCGAACAAGACCGTGCAAGAACGAGCGACAATTCGACCGTACAAGAAACAAAAGCGTGTCTTTTCTCTGTTGTCAGACCAAGAGAGGCCAACTGTAAGATGGAGAAGGAAGAAAAGTAGCTGGAGATATACTGTAACAGAACGAAGGATTGGGCGACTTTCCGGGTGATGAAAAACGGATTCTCCCTTATCACACGGTAGCCATGATTCACATATATGATGGTTCCAGGCCTGGCCATCCTCCTTTCTCACCACTTTTCCTCAGAACATACAACAAAACATATGAGACCACCCCTTAAACACGCCTCACTTCGCATTCCCAGATGGCCCCAAGCACAGACAACGTCCTCAGCATCTCTCTCTTCTTCCAGCGGTAACCATGCACCTATATCCGAGCAAGATCACACTGCTTGGATACCAGCTCAATCACACAGTATTACACCTGTCCATCTTTACAGATCACTGATATAATCCCGCCTCGTTACCCGCTTCTACATATAATCAGAGCTCATGGATGCATATCTTGCATTAGACTTGGTGGGGCATGGCAGGCATACATGGCAGATTTACGGTAATGCAATAACAAAGACACCATCTCATCACAATCAAACAGAACAGATTAGATGAACCCAATCTAACACCAGTATCAGCATATTTTAAATAGTACGAGCAAATATCAGAAGTACCTTGTTTGCGACGTCCAAAGCATCGTGATCAGCTGCAAGCCGCACGTACGCTTTCTTTTTGCCATCAGGTCTGACAACCGTCCCCTGCATCAGTATCACAGCATCAGCCGTGGCGGAGATAGCATAAAACTGACCGGATGAGGGTATTGATCTTTTCGGCCTGTACATCATACAGCTTCTTAACTGCATCCTTGATCTGACGCTTGTTTGACTTGATGTCAACAATGAATACAAGCGTGTTGTGCTCCTCGATCTTTTTCATGGCAGACTCTGTGTTCAAAGGCCTGTAGCATACCATAATGTAAGAAATGTAAGACTCAATGATGTATCCACAGAGAATAACCTACGAAACAATGGTCCGGAACTGATCCATTCTTGGGACATGAGGGACAGACTTGCGCTGGTATTTAGGATCCCGTGGTAGTCTGAGGGTCTTTGGGCGGTAGAAGGAAACGGAATAACGTGTCTTGCGCGATGAGTGCGAGTGGACACCCTGTAGTGCGGCTTTTTTGGCAGCTTTTGCCTTGGAATCTTTTGAGCCAGATTTGGCTACAAGAATATGAGTATGCTGCTGAAAACTCAGTGACACTGGGCTACTGTCATACCTGCTGCCTTGCCCTTCGTTGTCTTTGTAGCGGCCATTTCTTGCTGTCCTTGTCTGTAAAGATATAGATCAGTTATGAATATATGCAAGACACACGAAACCACAGATGTAACATATAAAAAGCAAGGGTGACAGAGACAAAGCAAGACACGGAAGACACCACTCAGATATTCCACATCATCGGACGTTTGGGGCTCAACATACGCCAAGAAACGTTGTCCAGAAGAAACCCCCCAAGTCAGGACTGGCACCTCCATCCAAGAGAAAATGACGGATCCACCCCAAATCTTTCGCCAGTTCCCAATTTCCAGCCAAGTGTCATGTCCCCTTGGCCCTTGGTTGCGTCTGCGTGACTATACATCCACATAGTTTGCCTTACCTTGATGATATGTCGGCCTTGTTCGTGAAGGCGTAGCCTGTGAGCTCTGGAAAGTTTGCCTTTCGGAATGTGCCGGACCAGGCCGTCTGCTTCTCACGTGGCTCTCGCCTCGGCACAGCAGAGAACGAGCTCAAAAACCTTTAAGCTTTGCTAATAAGGAGCTCTTTATCCCTCTTCTACTTACTAGTTATGTTACAATATGTTTGCAATCATCATCTTTTAATGATGTTCTTATTGTCCGGGGATAAAAGCAGATGCGTGTGGGGCAGACGCAGCACCGTGACCGGAAGTCCACAACCTACTTGTACAAAAGGATCAAATTACTGTCTCCGTCGCCGCGGTGTGCATGTTGCCTATGCCACTACAATGTCCTGGTGTATAATAACCCAACACAGGACTCATCGCCGCTGCCAGGGGACCAAGCGGATGGCCGTAACTATTCTTGTGGTTGCTACTTTAGGAAGGCTACTATATATGGCAATCGTGATCGGTTTAACTTGAGTGAGACTATTTGTTCAGGTGAGTACTCACATGTCTTCTCAGCTCACTGGAAATCAGCAAGCCATTCGCTGGCATCCCCCTGCGTATGATATACGTGTTGAGTCAGTCCCAATACCCAAGTCAGTACTCCATTTCCATATCTATATCCAGAAGTATTCAGCTCATCGTCGTTAGGATTGAGCACCCAGACGATGCCATTGTGAAGATCAAGGTGATGAACCTTCATTTTGAGTTTGATATGCATAGTGACTGATCGGAGGAGTAGCTGGCTGGGCTTTGCGGTAGCGATCTACACACATACCGGGGCACTGAGGAACTGACTGATGCGTGAGCATGTCGCGATGTTTTTATAAAACCCCCAGTGACACTCTCCCGAAGCTTGACATGTGGTCACGAATTTATTGGTGAAGTTGTTGCATTGGGAGAGAGCTTTCATAACGGAGTTACTGGCAGACCAGACCTTTATGCCGACTTGAACATCGGCGACAAGGTAGTGTCTCCCTTTACTGTCTCCTGCGGAGAGTGTCAGTGCGTGCTATTCTACAAACTCTCTCCTATTCATGTCTTTATGCATTGCCACAACGTTTCTCCAGCTTTTGCCGTGTTGGATTTACATGTCGATGTGTGGAAAGCCGCCTCTTTGGTACACCGACTACCCCTGGAGGGCAAGCGCAATACGTCCGAGTCCCTAGAGCAGGAGGTACACTGTACAATCTCCGTGATATCGTAGGCGCAGCTGGAACCAGTCAGTCTGAAAAGGAAGATGTGACGAAGCTGGCCGACAGCTCGCTGCTTTTACTCTGTGATATTCTCCCTACAGGGGTTTTCGCTGCTTTTCAGGCGTTGAATCATCCTAAAACTCTGCCAATGATGAATTCCTGCCCTTACCCCCAGAGCTCGAGCTTTGCAAGATTCGCGCTGTCGAGTAAGGTCTTGGGTGCAGAAGACGTGTCATTGACATTCGCTATAGTAGGCCTGGGACCTGTCGGCTTGGTCCGTACCTTCAGTCTTAGTCCAGAGCTGATCCATCTGACGGGAACATACTGGTAGTGTGCTTGCATCAGTCTTTTTGACATCCTAACTTCGCGTGGAGCAGATTTTCGCATTGTAGCTATCGATCCGGTAGAAGCGAGGAGAGAAAAGATGAATGCGATAATATCAACAATAGCGAACAAGGGTCCACATCTACATAGCATAGCTGTTGCGTCAATTGATGAAAGCAAGGATATCGTAGAGAAATGGACCAATGGACTTGGCTGTAATGCAGTGCTCGAGGTTTGTGTCATCATCCGTGGTTCATAGCGTAACTGACATGAAACGCAAATGGCGCTAGGTTGTTGGGAATACTAGCGCGCTGACTCTGGCATATGAACTCGTCCGTCCCTTTGGGAGTATCAGTGCTGTTGGTGTCCACAGTGGAAACCAGATTCCTTTCTCAGGTAGACAGCTCTACGACAAAAACGTTTCGTTTGATTTTGGCCGTTGTCCAGTTCGAGCTATGTTTCCAGCGGCATTGGACATATTATTGAGAAGGCAAGATGTATTTGGGGCAGTAGGTGGGACGGCCAGCCTAGTGGAGAAGATCGTTGGGTTCGATGAAGCAGCGGACACCTACGAGTTATTCGATAAAGGCAAATGTGGTAAAGTGCTTTTTGATCCTTGGAAATGAGTAGGGACTCCGACTCCAGTAGTATGATACTATGATTTGTACAGATAGGCCGCTGATATGTAAGTTATGGGTTGGTAGTTTTTCTTTGGAAAATAGGAACTTGGTGATCGATGTTTTATATCCGGTTACGTGCTCTGGTTCTCTGGGCTGCGAGTTAATCACATTTGTGAGGCGAGCATCGTGACAATGGACAATCAAGACACAGGAAAAGCGCGCTGAAAATAGCCTGGTCACGCTTCACGTGATATGTGACCTACTCCGCAAATTACGCCAGCCACTGGCTTTGTTATTGACCGCGACGGTCGTGTCAAGTGTCAGTACCAGAAAACGCGCAAAATCTTGAAGTATTAAGGTATCAAGCCTGTTCTGGAGTCTATAGTACTCCAAGGAGAGGTCCGTCTCTTTCCTCATCTTAAGTGTACGTCTCACACGTTTGTTAGGCGTCAATATCCATTTCCCCGATGTACATCAAAACTCTGACCATTCAGGGCTTCAAGTCTTGTAAGCGTTTTCTCCATTTTGGCGGTGTGAGCTCAGCGACATTCTAGATAGGGACCAAACTCAGATAGAACCTTTTTCTTCGAGGCATAACGTAGTTGTTGGCAGGAATGGCTCTGGGAAAAGCAACTTCTTTGCAGGTGAATTATTTTCCCAGCGTTTCCTCAAATCCTACGACATATATTGCAAGGTGGACTACATCAATTGTTTCTTACCACATGTTACTTCACACATTGATTCACAAAGTAAATTGTGTCATCGAGCTTACAAATTGTCACAGCTATTCGTTTCGTCTTGTCTGATGCCTATACTTCCATGTCACGAGAGGAGCGCCAGGCGTTGTTGCATGAAGGAGTATCTGTAACAACGACATTGTCCGCTTATGGTATGTCTGGTTTATGATGATTAATCTCATGCTTGTTTCATAAATTTTTGTTCCACAGTGGAAATTATATTCGACAACTCCGACAATCGTTTCCCGACTGGTCGCGAAGAAGTCATACTTCGACGTACAATCGGCCTGAAGAAAGATGAATACAGCTTGGATAAGAAGAGCGCCAGTAAAGCTGATGTTATGAACCTTTTAGAAAGTGCCGGCTTCAGTAAATCGAATCCATATTACATAGTTCCGCAAGGTCGGGTATGTGTTGATGCATTCATTCTTGCCCCTATTCTTCTTTTCTCTGATCTGTGCTCGCAAGATCACTGCACTTACCAACGCAAAAGACCACGAAAGGCTTGCATTACTCAAAGAAGTAGCAGGTACCAAAGTTTATGAACAGCGCCGAGCTGAATCACTCCGTATCATGTCCGAAACGGAAGCTAAACGCTCTAAAATTAGCGAATTGCTGGATTACATCGAATCGCGATTAACCGAATTAGAGGAAGAGAAAGAGGAGCTCAAAGAGTTCCAAGAGAAAGATAAGGAAAGAAGATGTCTGGAGTATGCTCTATATCAGCGTGAATTAGAAGAGGTAGGCGAAGCCCTGGAAGAAATTGAGGAGGAGCGAAAGGGTGAAGTACATGGTGCAAATGTACGCCGAGAACAGTTCAGCAGCCGCGAAAAAGAGATACAGGTAAATGCTGCATCTTTAAAGTATATTTTTTTCTTTAGTACTTACCAGATATGGTTCGCAGCGTTTGGAGCAGGCGATATCACAAGCAAAGCACTCTTTATCCACGATGCTTCTGACTCGCCGAGACGCCCAATCCGAGCTTACCGACATGGTGCGTTCTCGCACTGAGCTGGAATGCATTATAGCGGATCTCCGCTCTGCTGGCGAACGTGCTGGAGGACAACTTGCGTCATTAACCTCAGACCTTTCCGCCATAGAACAACAGTTAGCGGATAAGGAAGATGAACTTCAACAAGTATTGCCTCAGTGGGAACAGCAGCGACTTTTGGAAAGCACCGAGAGGCGCCAGATGGAGCACGCTCGCAACAAACTCTCAGCACTTTTCGCAAAACAGGGACGTGTAAACCGTTTTTCTACTCAAGCTGAACGGGATAGATATTTACGCCATGAAATTGCATCCTTGGAGTCTTACCAGCAGACCCAGACGCTTGCATTGGACGCTACTCAAAACGAACTGACTGCTTCACGAGCAGCACTAGCTGAGCTAAATCAAAAGATCGAGGGTATACAAAGTAGTATCGAAGATGGGAAGACACGAGGACGTGATGTGATCGACCAGCTAATGAGATTGAAAGACCAGCAGAGTGAGCTCAGCGAGAGGAGAAAAGAATTATGGAGGGAGGACACGAAGCTGGACGGTTTAGTTAGCCATGCAGCCGACGAGATGAGAACTGCAGAGAGAAATCTTGCCAGCATGATGGACAAGGTAGGACAGGGAAAGTATTATCGTAATCTTACCTGAGTTGATCATTATAGGACACTGGCATGGGACTCAGGGCTGTAGACAGAATTGCTGAGCGCCACGGCATAGAAGGGGTATATGGTCCCCTCTATCGCCTTTGTGAGATTCCCGACTCGACTTTTAATACAGCGGTCGAACTAACGGCCGGAAACAGGTGAGATTTTTTAGTTCCTTCACAAAAATATATACTCACATATTCTAGCCTGTTCCACGTAGTAGTCGACACAGATGAAACGGCTTCCAAAGTGCTGGACATCATGATCAAAGAAAAGACAGGTCGCGTCACATTCATGCCTCTGAACAGGCTGAAACCCAAAACTCCAACCTTACCCCCCAATCAGGATGCTTTGCCTCTGATCGACAAGATTCGCTTCGATCCTGTTTATGAAAAAGCCTTCCAGCAGGTGTTTGGAAAGACGTGGGTGTGTCGGGACCTCACCATTGCTGCTGCATACGTCAAAAGTCACGGAATCAATACCATAACGCTCGATGGTGACAGAGTGGATAGAAAAGGGGCGCTTACTGGTGGGTATCACGATGTTCGGCGATCTCGTATCGAAGGAATCAAAGCGGTCACAACTTGGAGGTCGAAGTTCGAGGGGGACGACAAAAAGTCCAAAGAAGTGAAAGCTGCTACCCTTCAAATTGAACAAGAGATTACCAGAATTACTGGAAAAATTCAAATCCTCAATATCCAGCAATTGCAAGCCCGAGAGTCAAGGGAAAACTTAGTTGTGGATGGCAATGCTCTTGCTAGAGATCGCGAGATGCTCAAAGGACGCATAGCCAAAGTAGAAGGCGACGTGGACGATCTTGAAACAGAGTTGAATGGAATCGAGTCACGTCTCCAGGGTTATCACGTTGAGCTTGCCAGTCCTCTTACGCAAGCTCTGACGGATGAAGAAGCCAGGATGTTGGATGTTCTCGGCAAAGAAGTTGAGCGGCGGCGCAAGCAAGTCGTAGAATTTGGTAAAACGAGAGCAGAGGTACGCATTTCATTCCGCGCGAAAGCATATATTTTGATTGCACTTAACAGTTTGAGAATCGGAAAAATATACTCGAGATCGACCTTAATGAGAACTTTCGGCGCCGTCGCAAAGAATTACAGCTGAAGATTGAATCTCTAGGAGAACCTGAGGATGGCGATACGTCGTCCACGGATGCACTTGACACTCGCCTTCGAGAGTTAAAATCGTTGAGTTTATCGATTGCGACGCTGACGAAGAGATCACAAGGTGAGCTCACTTAAGCATATGGAATGAAACCTAGAAATCCAATGAAAACACAGATGCGGACAAGGATGCTGAAAAGTTGACCAGCGAACTCCAGGAACTGCGCTCATCTTTAGAAAGGGTACAGAGTCAGCAGTCAGAAGACAGTCGTGGTATTACCCGGCAGCAAAAGAACACAGAGCGTTACCTGGCTAAGAAGCAGATGTTGATGGGTCGTAAAGACGAGTGCAACCGCAATATCCGTGATCTAGGAGTTTTACCTGAGGAAGCATTCGAGAAATATACTGGCGAGAGACTTGACCGTGTTTGTGTTTTTTCTGCTATGACCTTAATGACCTCACGATTAATCAGTGTCTCTATTCTTGTAGCTTGTTAAAAAGCTTCATACAGTTAACGAAGGCTTGAAGAAATTTGCACATGTCAACAAGAAGGCATTCGAGCAGTATAATAATTTCACGAGACAAAGAGATCAGCTTCTGCAAAGGCGCGAGGATCTAGACAAGTCTGCTAGCTCAATCGAAGAACTCGTGCAGGTGCTTGACCAACGCAAGGATGAAGCTATTGAGCGGACATTTAAGCAGGTAGCCAGCAATTTTGAAGAAGTATTTGGTACCCTAGTGCCTGCGGGGAGAGGTAGACTTATAATTCAGCGACGCATCGATCAGGTCATCTCCAACTCTCCCTACCAAGCCATGAAGAATCTAATATTATGTCTGACAGGATGAAGAAGAGGTGGAAGAAGTTGATGATACACAGCAAAGTACAATTGACAACTACACTGGGGTCGCGATCAAGGTCAGTGCTTTACTACATATTTCCGCGGTGGAAGAGGTGTTAACCTGTTTATAGGTGTCTTTCAACTCAAAGGTTGACGAGGGCCTACGGATACAGCAGTTATCCGGAGGTCAAAAGTCTTTGGTCGCCCTGGCTACAGGTTTGTATCCCCCCTGTTGACGACGATTTATTCAAGCTGATCTGCCCTTAGTGTTTGCCATCCAAAAGTGTGATCCAGCGCCTTTCTATCTGTTTGACGAGGTATGACTAGCTTAACTGATAGATACACAATCATTGATTTATTATCTATTCCACAGATCGATGCAAATCTAGATGCGCAATATCGCACAGCAGTAGCAAGTAAGTCTATTACCCTATAATACTCCGGTTGATGTCTCATATATACTTGTAGGGATGATTCAGTCATTATCGTCGACTGCACAGTTCATAACGACTACCTTCCGACCTGAGATGTTGTTTACTGCTGACAAATTCTATGGTGTGTTGTTCAACAACCAGAAGATCAGCTCTATCAGAAGCATCAAGCGTGAAGAGGCCATGGAATTTGTGGACCAAGTTCGTAAACCATCATGTGATCCGTGCTCAGTTGATACTAACGAACCCCGCGCACAGGAGGCTCAAGCGCAATAGGAATTCTCATAATATTTTCATTACGATCATGTTGTATTATTGTACTATCACTAGCAAAATACGTATACCTGTTTCATAGACCATTATGCATATGCATAGGATAAAGACTTACTTGACTACTACCCCGAGTACCCCTTATTCCAATCAGTGGTTTTGATCGGACCCGCTCTAGACTACACCCAGTAGGATGTACTCACCGAGGCTTAGATAGAAGGTCGCACTCGTACCAGAGTGTAAAGGGCAACTTGCATTATTACAATACACTGACTACCTGAATACATTAGACTGCTATGATGTAGCTGGGTGGTATAAAGGGAAATGTAGTAACGGAGCGCCGTTGATTAAAAAGGGCGTGACTGTAAGCACGGGTCAGAATATAATCTCAAAAGGTAGACCGCCAGGGGTGCTAAAAGAATCCACTTTCGTGGAGTAAACGTGCCAGTTTTTCCTCCTCCTTTTCTCGCGGCTCCCTTGCCAGACTCAGCTCCCAAAAGTCATCCCCCACATCTTTATCCCCAAACTGGTTCAGGGAATCTTCAATATATGCGAGGACGGATGGTAAACCGCGGAAGTTGTGAGGCTGAGCCTGCCATTGCTGTAAATCTTGTATCACTTCAGACGCCTTTTGTCGTTTCCGGAAATTAACTAGGTGGCCCGGTAAAGAGTCTTTGCTTCCATCCTGAATGTGCGTAAGAGCGGTAAGGAATACGCCTATTGACGATCGGTTAGAAACGTTGTTTAGACTACAGATGATGTCACCTACCAATGAAAGGCACGCAAGGCGGCGAAACTTTCGCCAAAGCCGATCGATAAATATTAAAGTTCTTGTACGAGTTGATGGTCGTCTCGCATGTCTCCAGCTGCGACATCAACTTAGCGCTAACCTGCTCCCATGAACGTTTCAGTCGACGAATAGGAGAGGAATTAAGCCCCGAGACTATGGCAAGCATCGTAGAAAAATTCTGTAGGGACCGACACCGCTAAAATGGCCGAATTAGTATGAAAACATATTTTCTGCATCACATACTTACATCTGCAATATTAATAAAATGTTTCATTACAGACGCCCGCCTGCGAGAGTCTTCTTTACAAAGCACTGCGTAAGCAACCCAATTTGCGATCTAAAGAAGGAACAACAGATAAATAGGTACGCTTGCGCTTAAATGTTTGGAAAAAGGACCATACCCGATTGCTTCTGCGAATGAAAATGGCAATATTATCATTATAATCGGTTTTCTGCTGTTTCGACCGGTGGAGACATTCTATCGGCCTAATCTTCAGGTAGAGCTGACTTTCTGTGATAGTCAGTTGCCTCGCCAACTCCAAAGCGTCTATATCCAAAAGGTCGATCCTCTTTGGAACTATAGGCGGTGGCGGTGGCTGTTGATGTGACGTCTTTATAGTCATCTTCTTACCTCGTTGCTGCTTGTTGTGAGTATATAAAACCCTTCAGTGAGCTGATGGCCACTTACAGCCCGCTTAATCGCGTCTAATATTGACTTTGCTGCTGGCAGACTGATAACTTCGTCTCGCGACACAAAGTCCTGCATACGGTCCAGAATGTACATGTCTTCTTTTTCCAATACGTCCGTGTCTTGAACCATGGATTTAACCGTGTTCATGACACTACAAAAATCAACGGAGATTGAAAATGTCACACAAAGTAACACAAAACGCTCAATCAACCCCACTCACCGCGTTCGAATAATGTACTGCTTGAATTTCCTCCATTCGCCAAGCTGCGCCGCATTGAGGTTTTCTGGGGGCTGGATCCAGAACCGTTCAACCAGTAAGGTGAACAAGGTGTCGAGATTGGTGAACGATTTGTAAGTCATCAAGAAAGCCTTGATGAATTTTGGATCTATAAGACGGCATGAGTGACTGCGTTCGACCATAGAACATTTTCTTTTCGTTTTACCTGCATACTCGTGCGCCGTTAATCTTTCTACCAGAGCTGGTACGGTGCCTCCACGCACAGTGCCATCTGGATCGAGAAGTATTTCGGCGGAATCATAATTGGGCCGAAGGTACCATGGTTTTGCGTCTGCATTGATGGTCTCGAGGTAATGTTGAGGGGCATCGGTACCAAAGAAGGCCTTTATTTTACTATCGCTTGGCCGAGGAGCCTTCGTTGTCAAGCCTAAAACTTTGGGGCCGGTCAGATCAAAACGAAAATAAAACAACAACGACAACGACAACACTCACCATCGTCATCTCTTACATCCCAGGGTAAATCTGTCGAGTATGCTACAGGTTTCCCATCGGCAGGAATGGGTGGTGGTGGTGCTACAGGTGAATGCCCGTTTTGGGCGCCAGCGCTAAAGATGGATTGATGGGCTGTTTTGGGGAGGTCGGCCTCATCCGCGGGCGGCTCAAAAGACCCATTTGACATCGCGCGTAAGGCATCTGCCATATTGTTATCTTCCAGACTCAGCAGGGACATCCGCCATTCGACAGGACTCTTGTTGTCACGTTCCAGAATCTCCGTTTGTTCCTGGCCAATGTACAAGAGGCTTTCGAGGACCTGCAGCGCGACTTGCAAATTAATCTTCAGAGAGGAAGTTATCCTCTCGAGTACATCGTACGATTCGTCTCGACCACGCCAAATTTCGCAGGATTCAAGGTGGCGAACACTTTGAGTCGTCATGAGCAATGCAGAACCATCGTCAAAAAGGGACTGCGTGGTTGCCTCGAATGACCGTACTAATGACCTTGCCTTCTCTACACTGCGTTGATATTTTTCGCCATCTGACAGCTTGCTCTGATCGACTGACTCGATATCAACGTGTCGCGCAATGTGCAAATCTGACACAAACGACAGGAACGAAGAGAGCTCGACCATGATGTCTTGACTTTCTGAGATGATGATATCCGCTGTAGTTTCGGCTTCAGTTATATGCACCAGATAATGATGTTATGAATATGCTCACATGTTTTCGTTGCGTGAAGGCTCTCTGTAAATGCAGAAAACTTGGCTTGCAGCTGCATGACGAGCATTTTGAAATTATCATAAGCCTGGGGATCCAAACTCCTTCTGGGTGCCTCTTCATTCGCATCAATGTCGACCCACCCATATCCTTTCCAGCTCCCGGCAGCTCCAGCCCCGGCCTTACCCAAACCAATGTGGGATACAGAAAAATGACCGTGAAGGCGCTTCAACCCTTTCCCGCCATATTGTTCCTGATTACGACAACGCTGGACTGTGGAGACAAAGTCAACCAAGGAGCGATCCAGTTCGTCTGCATCGTTCTGCAGGTGGGATGTGCTGTTGCTTTTGTTCCATGGGGCTTCGTTCAGAATTGCTCTTGCAGATAGTATGAATTTGGACAGTGTTGCAATGGCCCTGCGCTGAGCAGGGACTAGCAATGTGTGTGCAGCTGTGGTGGTGTGTCTTCGACCTCTGCTGTCCCTTGATAGATTACGGGGTATATGACCAAGGGATGGGCCAGAAACATAAAGCAGGTCGCGTATGGCGGCTATGGCAGCTTCAATAAGGATGTCGACCCTTTGCTCTTCTGCAGACTCTCGCGGAACTCCAAGTTCCCTGAAACACGCCATTATGGTAACAATAGACTGACGAGCATGATTCAATAGTTCTGAGACGAGTTCGGGTGAGGAAGGAGCCAATGCATGCTGGAGGTTGCGAGAAGACTGTTCTGACTGGAAATGCTGCTCCTCATCTCCATGCTCCTGGACTTGTTGGAGGTCACCAAGGGAAGGGACGAGGCGTGGACGAGATTGGGTGGCGGATGTGTTGTTGTGAGGTATAGAGATGGAGAGCTCCTTCTTCTGGGTAGGAATGGGATGTCGAGGTCGAGAATGGGAGACATTGTAAGGCATTCGTGGATGATCGGGAGAGAAGTGGTGAGGATGACGATCGGCAGTGGTGTTGCTTCGATGTCGTAAGGGTGTCGTCAGCGAGTCGAAAGGAAGACCGGGTACACGGTTGTCAGGTCGATAGGAAGGGCTGGGAGAAGAGTCAGTTTGAGCACGGGCACGACCTTGGGGTAGATCGTGGAGGAGAAACGGGGAGGAGTGGAGTGGTGCTGTGAGACTACCGTGAGCACTGCCATTGTTGGGTGTCGGCGATGGGGGATGACGGTCAGCAAGTACGGAGACCGGGTATTGATGCGGCTTATGGGCGCCAAAAGGAATACGGAAAGGATCAGAGGGAGAAGTGAGACCGAGGGCCGAAGTAGCGCCAGTGCGGGAACTGGAGGGAAAGGCAGTCAGGCCAGCCATGTCCTCATCCGCGTCTTTCGGTAAGTCACGCGATAGCTCGCCGGTCTGGGTGTTCGCATAGTAGATCTGGAGGGCGGTGTCAGCTGTTGTCAGACAAAGATAAAGAGGAGAGAGACCTGGCCGTCTGGAGTGACCTGGGGGATCCAGAAGTCTGCGGCATGGGGGGTGTGCTGCGGGGTGAAGGGAGGGGGGAGGATGCTGTTATGGGGAGAGAAGGAGGAAGACATGGAGAGAGTGGACGACGAGCATCAGCTTTGCCCACCATACTCGCCAAAGGGAAATGTGCTGAATAAGCCATATGATCAATAGTACTAGGTCGAGTGGCTGTGATAGAGCTTTATCGATCACTGCACTGCTCCTCGGCCCGGTTCCCTCTGATGTCATCGCGACCTCTCCCAACCTCTCTCTCATCGTCCCTCCATCCACATCCACAATGTCCCAATACACAGTCAACGTACGTCCTTTCATTCCCCCTCCCCTCCCCACCCCTCATCTCTTCACAGGTATCCGGCATCTCCCCCTCCACTACAGAAACCCACCTCCACGACTTCTTCAGGTACCCTTCCCTCTTTCATATTCTATATTCACATCTCATCCATCCTATCAAGCTTCTGCGGAAAGTCGGTGCACAGATACTCGTCTGACATCTTCTCGTCCAATTGACACTTCATCCTGTAGCATCAAATCCATCGACCACAAAGAATCCGATGCATCCTCTAAATCTGTTGCCATTCACTTCGAGAAGCCCTCGGCTGCACACACAGCATTAATGGTACAACTCGCCCCCGTTCATTTATCTGACATGTATCCTCGTGCCTAATCTCACAACCATACAGCTCAACGGCGGACACCTCGATGATGCAACTCTGCATGTGACCTCCACCTCGGTTCACCCAGATCATCACGATAACGAAGAGCACCACCCCGGCGCGCATATCGAACAATCAGACAAGCCCAGAGCAGGCAGTGCGTCTTCCACTACTCACACATCTCCCCCCTCATCTTATTCTCTTCCAGTTGCCGCCGAGTATATCGCAAAAGGATACAAGCTGTCCGATCACATCTTACAGCGTGCCATCGAGCTTGACAGTATGTCAATCGCATTTCTAAATTAGCTTGATATATATTCACCGCTCTTCATTTAGACAATCAAGGAATTTCTAAACGTTTCCTGAGTTACATGCAAGGACTCGACACATCAGTTGGAAAACGTGCCCTGGGTCCCGATCAGACCATTTCAGGAAAAGTACAATCCACCCTCCAAGGTGCCACCACAAGGGCGAAGACCATCGACGAGCAGAAAGGTTACACCAAATCAGCTCACGAGGTGATACTGAATGTGACGCATATAGCAACTCAGTCGGACTGATGGCATATTTTTCAGTACTACTCAAAGGCCCTGTCTTCACCGTTTGGTCAGAAGGTCTTCTCATTCTACACCACCACCTCGAAGCAGGTCCTTGATATCCACGAGGAGGCCCGTCGTATCGCCGATGAGCACAAGGCTCAACAGCCCAGTGCCCCAAAGCCTAAATCAGAGGAGACCCCAGAAGAAAAATCTACTCCTGTCCCCGCCGATGCGGAGGGCGCAGCACCTAGTGCAGCTGGTTCAGAGGCACAGCCCGACTCCTCTACTCAGGCTGCACCCACCGTTGTATGAAGAAAGAATTTGTACTTATACATTGATTCTGCCGGGTCAATAGCACGTTTACACAATGTACATAAATACGTATACGGCTAGGCTGCATTGTAATCTTACTTGAAGCGGTTAGCGTAAAGGCTCTGTATGGCGATTCTCTCTGAGATCAAGGTCACCGGCAATCTCGATTGTGTAAACTTCATCAAAGCTTTTTCTATTTTGCAAGTCTGTGCATTTTACTGTGCATTGCACAGACGGTCATTTGACCGCGATTCAAGGAACAAATATGTAAATTTTAACAATAGGGGGTCGGCCCATGTGGATTGCCGTATTATACATACCAGGTATTATCAGCAGGCAGAGAGCTGACTCAAGCCTGTACCGCAGGCATTAGTTACCTCAATTTCTACCGTCGCCCCACCTTCTTTGCCAAGATCCACGTTCTGTTAGCATCAAACAGCTTAGCTAAATTCCGTCTGTGACAGGCCCCTCCCCCCGTGAGAGACTCACCTCAAAAGTCATGCCGGTGCATCTGGAGATTCATGCAAACTCCGTAAGTAAACTTGACTTGACGGTGACAGGCGGGAGGATCACTTACTCGTAGCCCGCGATGCAATCAATCATGATGGTGGGACGTGTGCTGTTGTCGCCCGTCCCGGAGATGTTTTCAAACGTGATATCCGTCCACGTGATGTTCCCTGTGGTCGCGGGACAGGCTTCATTGGGGCACCAGAAGGAATCGACCTGCGAATGGCTCCCGTATAAGATATGCAGATATTGAAAACACACAGCGTACCTGGAGCGGATAAGCGATGTTGGTCTAGGGTATGCGTCAGTCTAACAAAGCAAAAAGCAAGGCCAGAAAGAAAAAAAGAGACACGGACAAAGGTAAAGCTGCAGATTCAAATTGTTAGGATTCTGGCAGGGGAGAGAACATCACAAGTGCTTACTCGACATAAGTTGCATTTGTCACCAGTCCAGACGCGGTGGGATAAGATTTCAGAACGATGCCACCATCCCCATTTTGCTGTGTGACGTTCTTATAATAGACATTCTGCACACTGCCAATGCATAGTTAGCTCTAATACAAAGCTACGGACAAAGATGCTGACGAGATGCCAGTGGCATCGTTACCAAACGAGCCTATGTTGCATCCTGATGCATAAAGTCAGACTGGGGACCGCTCATAGATGAGTGAATGCACTTGGCATACCTGCAGAGTAGAAGCACTGTATATTCTCTCCTACGAAACCATTAGTAGGTGCCTTAACCGTCACACACTCGTCCCCGTTTTCAACCGAAACGTCGTGGACATAGTTATTATTTCCAGACATGTCGAAGCCGTCCGTCTCGCCAATATGGTCTGCGATAATCTTGACAGCAAGTCATCTCAAGATCAGCACGCTACATAGCTTCAAGGCAGAATGTCACCCACTTGCATGTCGTGTGCCACGTTATTATCTCCGATTATCGTGACATGGAACCTGGCACAAAGATAATTGACACTTGACCATCAATTAGAATTGTGATACTTACATCGGGGAATTGTTGAGAGTTACACCACTCATGTCGATATTGTTGCATGTTTGAAACCGGACAAGGCGTGGTCGATTCGGCTGACGAATGGAGCATCATTCGACTGAGACGAGAAAGAAGGAAGAATATGCTTTACATATGTACCCAGGCTGATGGTATAGTACACGCCATGAGACTGGAGTCGCAACAGCAGACCATCTTGAGAAAAGGAGGAGACTTACTTTTCATCAGGGCGCCAAAGGTCCCCGTGTCCATAAATAGTACCAGTACCCTGCCAAACAACTTGGAGAGCGGATGTCAGCACTATAATGAGTGATGTATGCGAGACTCACTGTTGTTGCAATCATCGAAAGAGAACAAAGTACCGGACAGCGAGGCATTAAATATCAGATTCAAGTCACCGTTAATCTCGATACTGAAGTCTGCGACATTCGTGAGCGTCACAGCAGTGACCAAAGCATAGGTCCCAGATGGAACCAAAAGCACAGTGTCTGTCGCGTCAGAGGTCGTCGCACCAGCAACGCAGTCATTGTATGCGGACGTTATAGCAGGTGCGATATCGGTAGAGTTGTCCGCAACGCCTCCATAATCGAGGACATTGCAAGTAGTGGCAGCGAAAGCGCTCGTGGCGAGCGACACGAGTAAGATGACAGTTCCCAGATACATTTCTTCACCTATGAGTTGGTATTTTGGCAATTTGTCCGGACCATGGTGGTCGACCTTTATACTGGAGCCAAGGTGCAGTGCGATGTATCCAGTCAGGTCGATAGCGTGAGTATCATGCTACCGTCTATACGCATGGTATTGAATACTACGGCCAGTTCTGTGAAAGAGAAGGCTTTTCCTGAGACTCCAGCGCTGCCTTGATATCCGGGCGGCCCGCCATATGTTGAGGATAAACTTCGCAGTCACAGTAGATCAAATGATGAGCTAAATGTGTGCATTTACCTTGGGTAAGGGTCACTGGTATGTATGGAACTGCAAGTAATGGGTCCGAGGCAGAACTTGATAGCATGCAACGCTACTGGGAAGCTACACGTCTGTCCGGGAAACGCATGGGAAGCATTGGACACAAAAACAAGAAAAATCTATGATTGAGGTCAAGAACAAATACAAAGGGAGGTGGGCAAGCTGGTGAAGGGTCGTAATAAGACCAGTAGGCGGACGAGGAAAGGGCGCCCTGAGCTTGCTCATCCCACTGGCTGGGTCTTCAGCCATTTCGGTATTCCTATAAAGTCAACTGAAAATATAGGACTGACCAAGTGGATATACAAGAAGGATTCTGGAGGTCTTAGGCACACGGAAAGATCTGCAATAATAATGTATGTCTGAGTCTGATCCCATTCGTCGTCACTTTGTCAAGCTTGAGGATATCATAGTAACTGGCTCGAAGTAGGAAAGGTCAGGAATTTCCCGAAGCAGCACTTCGGACGGACACCGGGTCCAATTATCCGTATAAGCTCTTACTCGGGCCGCTCCCGGAGCAAGTCTTTGCAGCTTTACTTTTTCTCTCACTGCAGCAGCCTGACTCTGAGTGCGTGTTTGTAGCAACTTGAAATATTGCACCACTAGCTTGCCAGTAATGACATTTAAATCCTTCTTTTTTGCGATTTCTCCCCTCGAATAATGGACGTGCGCCACTGCTTGGATGTGCAGTGGTGGGCTCTGCCGTGATATCAGAGTCTGCCATTTCAATCTTCTTAATCGTTGTTTCGCCAGGCGGCTCAGCTTCGCCGACCAGTTCAAGCCCCAGATAACGTCTTTGCAGTGCTGCCGCATTCGATATGTTCATTCTCCACGCCAACGAAGGGCGGAATATCCTGCAGGTCACAACTGAGGCGGATCGGTATGAAGACGAACTTGGAATACTTCGAGGCTAATGCACCAGATAGCTAACACAGTGCGTGAGTGTAACAAACTATATATTCCACACTTGATCGTACTTATTACTTCATCATTAGCTATTCTCTGATACGAGTACTGTACCAACATTTATCGGCCGAAGTGCGGAATCCCAAGTACTCGGCCGAGGACGGAACTATATCAGCATGTCCACTGACCGGGGATTCCACCTTTGCGACGGGTATTGAGCAAGATGTACGGAGGCATTTGACATATTGTCTCCTAGTCCGAAATTTCTATGGTTCGGCCGGCCGACATCGTTATCTTTGAGGCCCCTGAAAACAGATACTCCAGCGCTATAAAGACAATGATTTATCCTTCTCATTACAATCTAAGTGGGGCTGATCTGCCACAGACTTGTAAACTGCTTCCAATGTTAACAGAACAAACTGAACGCGATGTCGACCAGAAGCCCGACTCCTCAGGCTGGTCTGCGTCTCAATACAACCACACCGCCTCTTTTGTCTATTCTGCTAGTTACACTGCTCCAGTTCTAGCTGCTCTGAATGCTCAACCTGGAGAACGCATCATAGATTTTGGCTGCGGAACGGGAGAGCTGACTCTTCAGATAAAGGATATCGTAGGCGCTGAGGGTTTCGTAGTCGGAGTGGACGCCAGTGAAAGCATGGTAAGCTGGATCATGCACGTATTTACCGAGTTGTCACTAAATTCCATCAGATTACAGGAGCTAAAGCAAACGGCCTCGAGGCCGCATTCGTGTCTGATATTCAAAACCTTCAGACCCCAGTTTCTTTGTTCGAAAATAATACGTTCGATGCGGTGTTCAGTAACGCAGCCCTTCATTGGTGCAAACGCGATCCAAAGGGTGTCCTAGAAGGTGTGAAACGTGTCCTTAAGGAAGGAGGGAGATTTGTCTGCGAAATGGGGGGTTATATGAACTGTGTAGGTGAGTATGATTACCTTCCTATGCCAATGACACTACATCCAGATGTGCTAATTTCCCATCACGTGGAGGCCCAAGGATGGCTTTGAACCACGCTGTGAAACGACGTGGATATGCTTCTGAAACTCTGGATCCTTGGTATTTCCCGTCAATTCATGACTATGAAAATGTACGTCGTGTCTACTTGTCCAGTACTATCCCATTTTCTTATCGCCCAATTCGCCTTGATAGCTGTTACAGTCTTCTGGTTTTCATGTGGATCATATATCCTTGCACCCTAGACTTACTCCACTCTCCGCTGGAGGCTTACACGGTTGGCTTCATTTGTTTGCAAGGAATTCCTTTTTGAAAATATTCAACGACAAAGAAGCCGAGGAAATTATAAACGAAGTTGTGCAGATGTGTGAAGTAGATTGCAAGGACGGGAGAGGTGAATGGTCGATGATGTATGTGAGGCTCAGGTTTTCGGCCACACTGAAATAATATGTTTACCGTCCATCAAATACTCGTCTTAAATCTCATGTCAACTCAGTTGAAGCATTCTCCGCGGCTCTGCTGTCGAACTAACTAATTGGAACTCAGCGATGATGGTTTGTTTGACCGAGCTTGGATAAATTTTGTTATATATTACTGGCACTCTGGTCTTTCAAGCCTTTCAGCAGCTTTCAAGGCGGGAAACATCCATTTCTGCATACATTCACATGGCGCGCGTACGTGAGAAGGTCTATCAATAACACCCTCCCACAAGGAAACCGTTGTACTCTGTATGGCATTGATATTATGACCCATTATTACCGCAGTGTTATGGGAATCGCTAAGGCACTCCTCAGGTACTCGACGCATGGATGCATATTACTATGCAACGACGGTACTGCTACGGTACAATGGAAGGGCCCCCACTACGATCCTTGGATCACTTTCCCATGTAGTTTGACGGGAGGCGATATATATTGATGTTTCGCGCTGCAGTTGTTAAATGACAATGATATTACTATGACAGACGATGGGGGCTCGCAGAAATACGAGTAATCGGCCTGACGACGTCATGACTGCGATTGCCTTTCGACCGTTGCTTTCCTTCCACTACACAACCATCTCAAAAGCCTGACTTGGTGCATTCGATATTGGTGATAGCATACTGTTATCCATAGCCAAGACTTGGCCTGGATTCCGTCACCTGCGCCTCGGCTTAGCTAGCTGCACTCTAAGAGGAGTGGCATCACTGGGTATTCACTGCCCAAGATTATGTATGTTAGTATTTAGGTTATGTGTATGTTCCAGCATACTGGAGAGATTCATCTACTTCGTGTTTTTGCGATTAGGCGACCCGCGCATTGACAGCCCCAGGCGATACTACTTCCGTTTTATCACATTTATCCCCCAAGCTTACACAAAAACGAAGCTTGGAGGACATATGATGGTGTCCTGGGACATGGAAGAGAGGAGACAGGCGGTCGACACTGGAGGTGACAGAAAAATGGCTGAGGGTCAAAATCTTGATGGTGCTGGTTCCAAACCGACCAAGTAGGGGACCGATTAAGAAGACATCCATGAATGTGATACGTCTGACGAGCGAAAAGTACTGTTGATCGGCCTCGTTATTGTGACGCATGATTGCGAAAATATGGTTACTTACTTGTACTTGGCACTTATAATTATTACCACCAGCTTAAGGTATATTTTCCAATAGTGACTCGATAGTCATTTTTATGACACCTTGATGACCTTGAACAATCTTCATGTAGTATGGCGTATATATGTTTAGCTTTACACTGATGGTTTCTGAATGGAAGCGAGGATTCAGTTACTAACATAATTACATGGACGCTTTGAAACTAGTTCGACTCTCTGCGAGTCACAAAAAGTATATTAAATTCTGCTTAGTAAGCTGGGTGGCACCTTCACTGGATATAAAAGCCCTGTACGAGGGTTCTTCTGACCATGCACTTGGAGCAACTCGGAGTCATTTGGACTCTTATTTTTCTCCCTCTGAAGTTTGCGCTGTCGTCGTCTCATATACAGCCACGCCTTTCCCTAGTGCATCAAACAGCAGAAAAGTATAAATTGTCAGTATTTTGGACGCCCTGCTACTTTCGGACGTATCCTGTGCGTGTCAGTTGGCAGAATACTAGTGAGAGCGGTGATTGCAGGGAAATACGCACGGTGTGTTCCTTGACCTTGTAAATGATTCAATGAATTCAATTTAGCGGATGGACGAAAGGAGGAGCAGTCGTCTTCATCTGACACTGATCACCGTGGTCGGATTCTGCTCCGAGTTACGGCGGTGACAGAGCCTCTCTGAAACTCACAAAAGTAATTTCTCCGAGACGTCTTTTTGTTCATCAGTGTTGATTGCATCATATGTCGCTAGGGCCACAGCTTAACTAGGTGATCAGCACAGCGGAATATTTTTTGCTTCGTGACCACTACACCCAACAAACGACTGGTGAATTTACTGGAACAATACTTTCTCTGTTTTTCTTTTTCCTTGGGCTATCTCTGAAAAATGGCCATATCTACATCTCTAACAACTACTCAGCTCACCTCCGTTCCCCTTTCAGCACACTATACACCTTCAAGGCCTATTGAAATCCCTAAACGGGGAAAACTTGTTCGTCCACCTATACCTTCACCTCTTAAATGTCCGCCGTCCCCGGACCTCATTTTTCCAATGTCTCCCGAGTCTCCCTCCAGAGAATCACCTCTTACTTATCAACATCTTACTCCCAACACACTTCATAATTCCCATGACGAACTTCCTACCCAGTGGTACTCGATTCGCTCTGATTCTCGTTCCTCCTATGAGCCATTCATGTACCAATTCCCAACTCTTCCACAAAATAATACTGCTGTTGGCAGAGACAAAAACTTATCGCCTACTACGATGTTGCCGCCTTCCAACGGCTCTCCGAATGTTTATGGTCGCACTCAGTCCCAAAAATACCCTGCAACTACTTTCTCTCATGCCGTTTCCTCGCGTCTCTCGTCTGGAAAGAAATCGCAGCACCCTACTGTTGTCAACAGGCGTCTTAAGCATACGTCGACCTCTTCAGCGCAGTCTCATGTTCATCCCTTGATACCCTACCGCGCTGGTTATATTTCGCCGCCAGCACTTTCTATCATCTCCAACGATGATCGAGACGCGGAGCAATACTCTTGCATGGACATTGAGTCAAGCGTCTATAGATTCGATAGGTTCTTGTTGGGTGGGGTGGAGGACGAAAAGTATTGTTTGGCAGGTTGATTTACCACCGCTCACCAAAAGCTCCCATATTCAAGAGCATTCTATCGATGGTGATTTTGCGAATGGTAAGGCAACTTGTTATTCTGTGTCATACATCTAATATATGTGATCGTTCTTCAGCATCGTCTATCTCGAAGTATCGATTTTTTTTTCATTGGACTTTAGCATCTTGAAACACCATCACTCAAACACTAAAAAACTAGAGCACACAGCATGCATTGGACTATTTCATTGCCCGCCCCACAATTTGCATTTTTCACGTCTTGTTCCGCATATTCTCATTCTCATTCCGTCACATACTCATCACTACAGTAGCCTTTCATTGTGTACTTCAATATCATAATTAGCAGTGAACAGTGACTTCATGATATGCTTCGAGCTCGTTCGTCATTAGCGCAAGTGTCAGTCATACTGAATGCATAAAGTACCAGCAAGCGAGAAGCGATGATCATTTCGCCAAACATGGCCAAATAGTGGTTTATTTGGACCAACAACCAACACATAGAGATCACGTGTTATGCAAACGCGCCGCCAAAACTGCTGTAGTGCTGAACCACACGCTTCTTTCCTTTCGCAACGCCTAGCGGCCATCGAGCTCGACGATGACCAGCACCATCCCATCATCACGTCCAGCATGGCAGACGGATGATCTAGATGAAGAGTGGATCGAGGATGACGACGAAGACGACGAAGCTGGAAATTCATCACTGGGTACTCGTTCCATATCACTTACAGCACCTTTACCTGGCCTAGTCCAGGTAACGAGTCCTATCGAAGACTCTCCTACAGGCTCTGAAGTCGGTGGAACATTTCTGATTAGGCAGGACATGCCTGCCGTCCCATTCTTGCCCAAAACACCTGGCAGAAACAACCCAAAAGGTATAAAAGACTTCTTCAGTCCCCTTGCGCTAGAAAGAATGTTTGAGCCTCCCTCACCACCGAATGCACGACCAACCAATCTACCATCAAGTCTCACCGCCGCTCCTTCTGTACCTTCTCGGTTGTCTCAAGCACATATGCCAGAGGAGGATAGTCAGACAGAAGTTGATGGTGGACTTCAGAAAGACAGCTTGACAAGCCCAGGGACTGTGAACTCTTTGACTCCTTCGGGGCTATCTGACCAGAGATCAAGCATGGAATGCCGGTTTACATTTACTGTTCCTCGTCAGACACCCCCTCACGCTGCGTTTCCCCTGGCTGAGAGCACTCCTGGACCCACATACAGTGCTGCCAACCCCCCTATGACCGATCCTCGTCTGCGTCTTTTTCAACTACAATATGACACGTTTACTCGCGACCACCTCTCTGCTATGGTTGATTCTATCGCGGTAAATACTCCTTCAGGTGGCAGTGGCGAAGCCAATGGATCATCATCCAGCTTTGGAGGCCGTGGTTTGTCGAGGGTCTCTGAAGCCACTGCATCAGATGTTTCACGTATACGCAGTATAAAGCGTGTCAAACTAAGTCCACGTAGTGATTTTTACGGTGAAGGCGATGGCGACGGTGCTACTATTGCGCGGCCTAAAACACTCAGGAAAGATTACATCGGGGAATCGCGTTCTCTTATGCAACAAATCAAACAGGCTCGTGATTTCTCGACTATCTCCACGGTTGCGAGTTCTCAGTCACCTGCGGCGGAAGCAGTGGACGGCGATGATGTATCAAGACGCACACAAACAGGTAGGGGCTAACATGTCTTCTGATTGACCAGCTTATATCTTCCTTTAGGTCAGAATGTTCGCCCCTCATTTCTGGGCATACCTGATCACAAAAGTAGAGTCTCATCGGAATCTTCGAATACCAAGCGGGAATCTACTTATTCATCTCTTGCATACCGACAACAAGCTGCTGATCTTATGCAGCAAATTAGAAATGACATGAAAGGACATAAACGACTTTTTTCTGGCGAAACAGATGCATCTCATTTGCCCCATACAGGCGATAGATCGACAGCTCACTCATCTTCTCCAAGCACCCACCACTCACGCTCATCCAATATGTTTGATGATCAAGCAAGTCGGACTCATTACGTGCGACATCGACAGCGAAGCGCATCAAATCGAATGCCTCCTTCTCCCCGATCAAAAGCAAGTCCAAGGAAAAATGCTCGCGGTCCCAGTACAGCTGATGCAGCCAACGATGGTCTGGCTCGCGATATGTCCAATATGTCAATCGACGTTCCTTGGTCCATTGTGGATCGTGATGCCTCCGACTCTGTTGCTGATCCACTACCTACAGATATACCTCAAATCAGAGTGAGCCCATTCCCCGAGCCAGTGCCCCTTGCGCCCCAGAGACACATATCACCCTCTTACCCCTCTTCTTCCATTCGATCGGGTCCGAATGAAGACCTCAACCGATTTGTTTCTTCGAGTACGGCTTCTGGTACAACCGTCACAGCGAGCAGTGTCCCTTCTTTTGTGAAGCACTCTGGACCAGTGCAGATAACACGCATAGCTCCCTCTGATGTTCCCGCTTTGCCCGAAAGAGTGGGTAAAATGGTGTATGACAGGACTCTGATGAAGTGGGTAAAAACCACGGGACGCGAGGTCACAGAGGCCGTGGAAGATGATAAGAGAGATCAAACTCTTGGGACAGACAGTAACGCTGAGAGCGAAGATCCTTTCAGGGACATAGAAAGTCTGAGGGAAGATGATTCAGGGGGACCAGCAGCATGTTCACAGGTCGAGTTAGAAACCAGCCATATCGAAGACTTAGAGGAGCATATCGAAGGAGGCGATGAAGAGGAAGCTGAGTTGATGTCTTTCTCGTTCGATGGCCCATCCATCGCGGGCATCCCCGTTTCCGACTTGGATGAAGCAAATCAAGATACCGACTCAGAAACAGACTCTGACGACGATGACGAGATTGTAACAGAAACTACAGACGAACAAGACCAAGAAGAGCCGTTTGATTCGGACGAGGAGGTGGTTGAGGAAGCTCAGCCAGTACACGTCAATCGATCAATATCGGTTCGCACGGCAGCTCACTCATTCGCAAACGCAGGCACACCTGTCGCCGCACCCCGAGTGGCCTCGGCTGTCATGACTCCCGTGCCACCCCGGTCTGCTCTAAAGAGTACAAGCGTTACCCCAATGTCAGCCATGAAAGATCCTAGCAAGTATAGAACACCGGCACAACGACTGGGTCATCGTCGATCTGTGAGTTTTTCTGATGGCAAACGAGAAGGCCCTATCCGAGGTCTGCACAGAAGGGATGGGAATGATGCTTACGATCAAGCTAGCCTATCAGACGGCCCTGATGTCCAGACCTCGAGCTTTGTACCTTCTGCACGGTCGAAGCGGATTGCGGAAATGATGCAAAATTTCCAGGATCCCGGTAAGTCTTTTCGTATTGACCTTTTCATGGGGACTGAGCCGGTGCATTCCTTGAGAAATAGAAGACGATGCTTCGCCGACGAAGTCGGCCAGCTCCGGTCGACCTTCCACGGAAGAACTGCAACCACTCGAGGTTAGACGACCAACCTCTCAGGATCTAACCGACTTCAGTGGTCAAACTTCTCGAAGGGTATTCTCAAGGTCATTCAAGCATGCAAACCAGACAGACCCCAAAGGCAACGCCACGTTTTTGACCGAGTGGTCATTTGGCCTAGCGCGTGACCGCCTCGTGCAGGTGATCACAGATATCCAGCCGTTTGAGCCATACTGGGAAGAGTTGGACTGTATCGACTTATCGAAGAGGACCTTGGAAAGTGTGGCACGGCTGAAGGAATTTTTGCCAAAGTTGGATTCATTAACGCTGTAAGTCGCGGCGTGTGAAATGTCGCGGACATTACTGGTCTGATGCGACAATGTTGAACCAGTTGACTGATCTGCTGACAGGAATTCCAATCAACTATCTTGGTTAAGCGGAGTACCCGGGACAGTCCGGACACTTTCTGTCGCCTCCAACTTGTGCGTTTTCTCCCGAATAATCAATCACACGGATGAGGGCGTGTCTGACCTCGTGGTGCCAACAGGCTAACAGGAGTCACATCATTCAGCCACCTCCTAAATCTTGAGAATCTGGACGTGAGCAATAACGATATCGATTCCCTAAGCCGTATGTCTCACTTGGTATCACCCTTGTTCTGTGGACTAAAATGGTTGAATTATTTAGAGCTGCAGTGTTTAAGACACTTGCGGGAACTACGGGCCGATGGCAACAAGCTCTCAAGTCTGGACGGTTTGCATAAACTGGATGGTTTAGTGAAGCTAAGCCTACAGCATAATAAAATTGAAGCGGTCGATTTTTCGGAGTGCTATTGGTGAGTCTAGTGCCTGAAATGGAATTTTTCTTATTTTTCTTTCTTTGGGGATAAACTCTGATTTGACATTGGTTTGTAGGTCGCGGCTAGAGATGTTGAATCTGAGCCATAACCGGTTAAATAGCATAATAGGGTTGACGTCCCTGTCGGCGGTAGTTGCCTTGAATATTGGTGCGTAAATAGTCGGAGGTGTCTAGACTTTGACTAACCGAGGATTTTGACGAAGATAACAATTCACTGGGAGAGCTTGATCCCGGTGGTTCGATGCCTAGGATGCGTATACTGCGTGTGAGTGCAAACCGACTGCAGCGGTTGAACGTAGCGCCCTTTCCAAATCTTCGCACTCTTTACGCGGACAACAACTCGCTTGGGACTCTCGTAAGAGCGGAGCGCTTGGCTAAACTGGAGAACCTGAGCATGCGAAATCAGAGTTGTCGTGACTTGTGAGTGTCAATTGAGTGCACTGAGAGGGGTTGACGTTAGCTAACGGAATGGGTCCATTGTACGTGCCTGGTTCGTGATGATGATACGATGATGATGACAACGACATGATGATGGGCGGCGATTTGCAGCCATCTCTCGAGTCGCAGTGTTCGCGATGTGAAAAGGTTGTATCTATCAGGTACGTCTATATTTGGGTACAGATTCTTGTGATGGAGTGTGTGTCGAAGGAAATGATCCAACCGTTTTGATGCATTACATTGTTCTTAGGCAACAAACTTAGAAGAGAGTTTATTGAGGAGCCCTGTTACAACCTGGTATATCTGGAGGTGGCGGCGTGTCGGCTGACGAGTCTACCACGCGAGTTTGGACGGTTGTCACCGAATCTTCGGGTGCTGAATCTGAATTACAACTTCCTGGAGGAGGCGGGTGGATTGGAGGGGTTGACGAGATTGAAGAAGTTGACCATCATCGGATCTCGGCTGAAAGGGACGAAGGGACTGGTGCGGATACTTCAGCGGATGCCCGATGTGGAAATGCTAGATTTCAGGTACGTATTGGGGACAAAGGGCGTTGTAATTTTGGCGGAGAGAGGCTAACGAGAGGAGTAGGATGAATCCATGCACGCTCGGATGGTACTTGCCGCTCCTGGTGAAAGATGTGCCTGGGGCGTTGCAGCCATCGGAGAACAAAGGAGGAGGGGGGGGTGTTGTGAGGGGTGAGAGAAGAGGGGAGTACAGCTGGCAAGAGCTAGACTCGAAGTTTCGAAGGGACCTGCCTGACGAGGCATACGTGGGGCGGCTTGGATATCGAGGACTTGTTATGCGTGGCTGTCCCCGGATACGAATGCTGGACGGAGTGGAAGTGTCGGAGAAGGAACGGACGAAGGCTAATGATTTGTTGGAGGGGATTAAGGGGAAGAGGAGGGGAGTGACACGGTAGGGATGCGTTAGTAGGAGGGCGGTGAGCTATGGGCGGGAGTAGACGGACCGGGCTGGGAGAGAAACGAGAGGACGGTGATTGGGCAGTGCGTGTCTTGGCGGGGAGATGACGGTAGCCTATTGGAGCGGTTGGAAGGAAGGACCGTGCAGGGAGAGAAGGGTGCCTGGCAGAAAGCAGGACTCGGATTACCGGATTGGGGGTGCTCATATGACCATTAGGGGGAGGTGACTGTGACGTGTGACACGGCCGTGTTTGTCGCGCTGAGATCTGGTGCGATCTAGACATAGAGGTCGGATCGGGCGGGACCGAGGAGCTGTGTGGTTGCTGAGGGTGATTAATTGAGGACACAGCTTCTGTTTTGCCTCGAATAAATATAATAATAAATATATGGATGTCCAAAACGGGGATGTGCTATTCGCTACCGAGTGGTCGACTGCGACGCCCAAATGAACCGGCAATGTATTCACCTTCCCACAGCAAATTACCTCTGCACAGCGATCTCTTTTCCCGACTCGGACTCCCCCTCCCTTTAAAGTCCCCCTCCCGCTCTCCCTCATCCTCAATTTCGTTCAAATGATCGAGCAAAAGCACCCCTCCGACAACAACATCCTCAACTCTTACAACGTCGCTCAGCTCCAGTACGCCTTGTAAGCCATCCCCTCCTCCTCCCCCTCCTCACCCACTCACCCCCCCACAGACCAGATACAAAGTACGACCCTCTCGTCTTTCACGACATATCCCCATCCGCATCCCCCGCCGTCCTGTACGTATCCCCCCCATCCCTAGTAACCACCACTGACCACCGCGTCTCCAGCCCCTCAGACGTGGACATTGACTATTCTGCACGCCGCATGTCCACTTCCACCGCATCGGCAGCAGACACAGACAGCAGCATTACATCCCGTGGCGAGAAACGTCCCTTGTCTCCCTCCAGCTCTCCCCAGCCCAGGCGATCTCGTCCTACCGACGCTTGGAACTTTCCGTCCCATCTCGAGAATAAACCGTCGCTCGACACCGCCCTTGACAGCTCAAAGGTACAGTTGCCTTCCATCTTTACGACATTCGAGGACCCATTCCGTCACGAACTACGCCGCGCCTCCTTGCCAAGCCTCCATTCGGACCCCTCAAATACTCGCCACAGACCTTATCCCCCCTCCAGTCTCCGCAGATCTCACAACCAATCTGGTCTTGCCTCCTACCAGTTTCCTTCTTCAGATACCCCAGACACTTCTGCTGACAGAGGCTCTCATCGTCCAAAGCTCACCGCTGACACTCACCTCCACCTCCCAAACTCTTTCCCTGACCACTCTCCCTACCCCGCTACAGCCCTTTCCTCAGATACCACTCCCTCCAGCTCCAATCTCACGTCCTCCTCCTACACCTCTCCCCTCACACCCGACGTCCGTCCACACCCCGTATCTGTAGCTTACAACGATCAAGACGCCTGGAGCGCCTCTCCTTCTGGTATCATTCGTCCAAGTTCCACACCCGGTCAATTGTCTACCGGTCCTGCCACAAAATACGACGATAATATTCGTCACTCTTCATTCAGCGTTTCTCAGCAACAGATGTTTGGCAGTGCAACTCGCATCTCCGGTCAACAAGATCGCAGAGGCTATCAGGGTTCTTCTATGAAATCAGACGACTGGAATTTCTCATCTCAGGACTATGTCTTGCCCCCCAGCAATTCTTCCTATCCTGTTTCTTCAAGTCCCCTCTCCACCTCTCATATCCCCGCATCTACACCGTCCGCATCCACTCGCTCACCTCAAGCTCCCAGCTCCACACTCGTAGAGCGCCCCACTCGCAAGCGTGGCAAGTTGCCCAAGGAGACCACGGACTACCTCAAGGCTTGGCTGCATCGCCATTCAGATCATCCGTATCCAAGCGAAGAAGAGAAAAAACAGCTGTGCCATGCGACTGGGCTGAGCATGAGCCAGGTATCGAACTGGATGATCAATGTATATTTTTACCGTTGTTTGTCCGACAATTTCGTCTTGCTGACATGTGACCTTTAGGCTCGCCGAAGAATTTTGGCTCCGGCGCACAGGGCTGCGTCTGGTCCCACGACCTCTGCTCCATATCCGCCTTCTGCTCGTGCAGGTCCCGTTCCGAGCATGCTTGACCCCATCGCGCGCCGCGCTTCAATACCCACTGACAGTCTGCAACTTTACCATCCCATGTCCCTGCAATCCATCCCCTCTTCTCAGGGCCATCATCACTCTTCAAGTGACTTTGGTTCTACTCGCCATCTGCTAGGTATCCCCTCAACTCGCTCTTCACAGCATTACGGCGGCGGTGGCGGCATCAGTTCATCCGGCGGCCTGGATTACTCCCAAAGTAGGCTCGGAATGTCCTATGTTCCAGGGCAAGGCCATCATTCCGGAAGCACGGCACAGTCTACCCAGTATCTCTCTTCCGGAGTTCCGATGTCTGCCCCACCATCCCTTTCGTCGAATCCATTTGCATCGCATAATATACATGGTCAACAGCATCAGCAGCATCATCAGCCATCATTGTATTCTTCTCAGCATCATCACTCGTCGATGTCCTCCAATTTCCTTCCGAGCCCGTCGCAAGGTACCTCACGTCTGCCTAGTCACTCGACTGAATCGCAGTCGCACAGTTATTACAGTGAGGGACAATCGCATCCCCCATCGTCCACTTCGTACTCAAACCCGCAGTGAATCCGCTCTTTATCTTTCCATATCGACCACGGATGGTATTGTTAACTCCGCAACATCTGATCCGTGTGTAACATTATTAGTATCATACCTACCTAAACTCTCTCTCTCTCTCCCAGTCGCTGTTGTACCTTGTTGGACTTTTTTTTGCATCTGCATTCTTCTTGGGACTGTTTTCTCTCCTTGGCCTCGTTGCTTGTTCAAAAAAAATTGATGCTCCCGTTTCGTCGACCAGGACTTTCCTCATCGCCGGGCTTCGGCAACACTTTTCTGCAGTTTCTCCCATAGCTCCTATGTTGCACATGCATCAACGGAGCACAGGTACATAATGCTCCCCGCATGTGCACCACGAAGCCTGGAATTTCGGATCTTCCTAGGTGGGGAGCTTCTATATATCGCACCTTTGTTGCTTCCATGCATCTCGCACTTCCTTTCCAATTTTATTCTTTTCTTAGATCCCAAAAATGATACTTTCCTTTTACATATCTCTTTTGGTCATCTAATTAGAGAAACTCGACATCACCTCCATCACGACTTTTTTTTATCTATTGTTCTTTCTTTTTCTTTCTTTCTTGCACTCGTTTCTTGGGGCTAGCTATCGCTGTTTTGTAATTTACTATCACCGATGTCTTGTTGCAGATGCCACTCGTATGCTTTATAACTTATACTACTACTACATCACCTTAATAGACCGTCTTGCTTTGCACACTTTTTATTACGTCAACTTGAGCCTTGGGCGTCTGGTGGAGAGGTACGAGTTTCATCCCATCAGCATCTGGCTGAGTAAATGAAACGGGTGCAGTTTGCAAAGCCTTACATACACTTTCCGCAGTGGTTCAAATAAGGACACAAGAACGGAGCTTCCGGGGAGGAGTGGCCCCATCTTCGACCCAGGTTCGACAACTCTCGCCATCACGGCTTTGTCCTTTGAGAGACGCTTTACCCGATCTAGGCTTCCTCAGCCAAGCTGCCATACGAGAGTGGCGGGCGGGAGAGACTGGGAGAAAGAAAAAACAACAAGACGGGAATTGCGGAAGAGCGTCTCCACTGAAAAAAAATCACATCAAAAGGTCCCATGAGGCCCTCGACGTCTAGTGCCCTATAACGTTACTCTTCACCTTTTTTTGTACACAATAAATCACTTTTCTAGTACGATGAGCTCCGTACGACAATATGGTCATAGTAGCTTTGCAATATATGGATTGGGCTCGTACGTGTGATCAAGCGACGATTGATGGAGCTCGATGGAGCCTCGTTGCGCATCGCACAGCACAAAGCACAAAAGAGCCACGATTCGAACAAGATGGTAGTTTTTCTGGAGATAAATTGAAGATGCGGCGGCAAGATGATAAAAAAAGTCGCCGATACTGGATTTCCAACCCATCAGTACAAAGCCTTACGGATTCTAGGATCAAGGCATTCCCGGTGGTGCCTTTGCAGAAAGACGCCCAAGAAAATACCATAAATGGTTCGGTCTAGGTTGTGATGGCTACCAAGTACATTGCCTTGTGATTGTAGCCTTGAGGCCACCCCACGTACGTACGCGGACCAAAACTGCCATCACGAATGGACTCAAATGAAGTAACCGTTTTTGATTTCTGGGGGGAGACCCCTTTGAGTATGCTTTTCACTACTGCATGGGAAGAGAGGGGTTGATAAACGTGAACATGTCTGCTGATCATCATCATGCGCATCAGCAGCAGACAGCAACCATTGAATGCTTACGGCTCATATATCTATAGCGTGATGTAAATCCTTGCACAAGGCTATGTAGCCACCTACGCCTTGAACGGAGTACACACAATATACCGTGGAACCCAGTGTGGAACCTGTTGGAATTGGAAGCGGCATCAGATCTGGAAACACTGAATACATTCCTCGAACAAATGTATAGACAAACGATATCCCTCCGTTGTCAATATAACACAAAGAAAGAAACCGGGGTTCGGGTATCAAAGCTACTAGCACTTACTCGTACAGTCACCGGGTCGCCAGTTATAGATAATATTGTAAGGGATGAGAAAATATCTAACATCTCTCTAGGTATCACCTGAACCTTGAAAACAACGAAAGGTGTATTTCCGCGGATCGAGTTATATGGTGTTGTGGAGGCGGCCGACGAGGATGGTTGTCAGGGATGGTTCGGATGGAGGACATGGAGCGGAGCTAGACAGGAGAGCGCATCAAGGGTGATGAACATGTTAAGAGTGACGTGAATGAGGACGATAGAGGCGATACGCGGGACGACCAATCGTGCCATTAGCTATCAGTAGGCAGGACAGAAACTAGAGAAATCGATAAAGGCATTTGGTTCCCGGCATCTGGTTCTGATTTCACAGAGGGACGGGCAACCACGCTATATGCAGAATAGAAATGCGTCAGCCAAAACGAACAAGAACCACATGCAAAAAAGGAAAGGGTAAAATTAAGGGCTGGGATCTCGTGACTGAAAGAACGAGCCGGAAGCTGAAGTTAGGCCTACGCATAATTAAGAAGACAAGATGGAAAGAAAACGTCCGGGAAATGCCATATGCACGCTTACTTGAAAGTCTTCTCGATGATAATCGAGGGATCTATAGAGAATTCGAGGTCGTGGAGGAGCGCGTATAGGAATATCTTGATCCTAGCGAGCCAAAAATATCAGCATTTGGTAAGATCTCGGTCGAAAAGATGCGACCCTGGTCAGGTTTAAAAAGGTATAGCAAAGCCACACATTGGCAATTACTGTACAAGCTAATCTTTCACATCCGTGCCTTCGCTTGATGGAGATACAAAACAAGTACTCACTCAGTTACAGCAAACTTATAGCCTATGCAACCCCGGCTCCCGCTGAGGAAAGTGAGTATATTGGAATAAAGGCCCTGTATGGCCTTGGCCTCTTTGGGAGGTTTCTCCCAGCGTTCAGGCCTAAATGGCGTGAGATATTCAGTCACATGAGCGGAAGGGTGGACAGGGTAAATCCACCTGAAGACATGGGCATCTTCACCCCATATGGCGCTGCTCTTGTTGACGGTTTGTATAGGCAGTGCTACGAGATCATGCTTGTTAACCTTGATGGATGACCTCGATGTCCCACTCTTATCAGTGAATGATGCGAGGACAGGAATCTCATCTTCTTGCATTGCGACCCTCATGGTGCATACCACTGGTGCATGTAGTCGCAGGGTCTCTCGCACGACCCAGTCCAGATAGCGTAGGTTAGCAACCTCTTCATCAAATGACGGGGACCCGCGCGATATGGTATGGAGTTCCGCGCGCAACTTTTTTTGACAATCCGGGGATTGAGCCAGTGCATAAAGACACCAAGTAAGCGCGAAGGAGGTTGTCTCGTGACCAGCCAAAGTGAAAGTAGATATCTGACAGAGAACTTCAGATATATTCATGCGGTCAGACGGGGTAGACGCAAGATTTGACCGAACTAGAAAATGAAGATCATGAATGATGGCCGTTTGATTGTGGATAAGAAACGCACTGAGGACGCTCAGTAAATCGCGGGGGAGGGCTTTCACGTTAGCAGGGAAAGGAGCCTGCGAGTTCGCCTTGCCGTCAAGGCGTGAGGCGTTATCCAGTTCAGCTGCCACTTCTTTTTTCCGTTCTTCGACTAATTCCAGTCCGATTCGGTCGAGGATACTATGTGCGTGTTTCATTAATGTATTATGACGGCGCTAGATGGGGTCAGTATAGAAATCTGGCGCTTAGTGTAGGTTGATGAATGAGTGAACGTGCTTACAAATATTCGAAGCAGCGGGAACCATAGCTGCAAAATAGCTGCAGTTCGAAATTTCTGGCTGGTGGTGAAGATGACATTATAAGCACTGGCCAGTTCGTTGTCGTCTTTCGCGAGGGCATCAAAAGAGTAGCCAAAACCTACGGAGTAAATGAGTCGATGGTGTGTGCATAATACGGACGGGAAGCCATCAGGGCACTCACCGGCAAGACCGATGACGTCGAGAGCAGCTTTCGAAAGCCACGCGCATACATCGATGCGCGAAGCTTCGGCGGCATCAGCTTCTTGGATCGACTTCATCCACACGTCTCGTACCTACAACGTGCATAGCGAGGGACGGAAATATGAGTTCAGACCACAGGTATAACCGGAATGGGGCGAAATAGGAATATCACAATGCATACCTCATACGCCTTTTGCCAAAATATAGGGGTCAGTGATTTTATTTGAGAAGTCGTAAATGCCGGAGCCTAAGAGCCAGAAAAGGAATTAGAAATTACTTAGGCAGAGTAGTTAGCATGTTGAAGTTGAGATGGTACAGTGACACTCCCTGAACACAGCTCTCTAAATACAAGCAAGTAGTAGTACACTTGAACATATCACGTAGAACGTTTGTGTAAAGGATATCAAATAGATGCGAGATCGTTACATACCAGGATTTTTCTCTGCAAGACGTATAAGAGAAATTAGGCTACCTCTATGATGGATGCAACTTACCTGTCTGTCGTGGTCTTCACCTTCCACTGTGAGTACGCTGTATTGTCCTGCACCCATGGAGGCCAAGTTCTCACGAATAAACTCAGGCTTGGGATACTTTTTGTGATTCGTCAAGACGTAAGAGATAGCGAGCGGATCTGTGGTGATTAAACGACAACCACCGAAGATACCTTTGTAAGCGAAAGCTGGGCCGTAGATGGCCTCCCATCGAGCGATGATGTTGTTATTTGCCTGGTCGTGCATTGCTTTGAGGTTTCCAAGGAGAAAAGAGGCAGCTGGGGGACCACGAAGGGATCGAAGAGGAGAGAGATGCAGCCTGATGATGAGACGAAGGAAATGCGAAATAAAATACAAGAAGAGTGCACCGCCAGCAAGGGCGAGGTAGTGGTAGATATGATGCATATTGGGAATGAGATATCTGTCCAGCAGAAGTAAACGATGAGAACAAGTATATATACAACAACCAAGAAATACGAAAGCCCTTTTACCAGAGGTCGCGGAGACGAAGAACTGACCGTGACCAGGCATGCGAGTGCTACCGTGGGAACCGTTCGGCCATCTCGGCGCCGGGACTTGAGCCGCTCCTTTCACTGATCCATTCGCACAATCAGCTCAGTCAACTTCAGTTGTCCTGATATTACTTGTATTCTGCAGCATCTCTGGAATAATGGATTCAAAAACCGTGAAAATACACCAAATATTGTCCACTCCGCTAGCGTCCTCGCTTTTGTCCACACATCCTAATGATCTAGTATCATCAGGCTTCCTGGTTCCCCAATCGTGGACTTCGTGGTGGGAATGGGCTTCGTGCATCGACCAAGGCAATGGCTCACTGCGCCATCCAAAGTGGCTTACTCTCGTTCGCTACTACAATCGAACAGCGGCAAGCGATCGCCCTCTATCGCCAGACTTGCATTCCTGCGAGGGAAACGATACACTTAAAGTGAGTATACACTCACGTCCCATACGAAATACGCTGACTCTGGGGTAGGAGGAAGTCCAAACTCAGTTCAAAAATTTTACTTTTCCAGAGGGCCAGATTCCTGACGAACTTGCTTCCCTAATTGATAGCATTCGATGCCTGCAATTAAACCGCGATCTGTCCCCCATGTCGGTTTTACCGGGTCAGTCTGGGATCCCTTGTTATCGTTAACACCCCGTGTCTCTAATTTTTCTGTCTCCGCTATCTTCCACGCTGCGTTGCGTCACACTTCTTCAGATACTGAAGTGACTCCTTCTGCCAATCATCCCTATGGCATGTCCCCCAAAAAGGACCACGAGGTTACCCGCATGAGTACATTCATATCTCAGCTTTTAAATCGCAGGGGACTACACTCACTGCGACATGCTGTCGACGTCGGATCAGGTCAAGTCCGTTCATTGACGTTTTATTTCCCGTCCCTTTACTCGCCGAGAGATGGGATTTAGTGATAACACGAATTTTCCGTAGGGTTATCTCTCCCGTGCACTCCAGGACATAGGCGTTCATGTACTGGCTCTCGATTCAAATCAAACCCAAACATCTGGAGCAGAACGCTGGAAAAACAAAGCGGCCACTAGAAAGCAAAGAAAAAAGCAGAAAGCCGAAGTTACCCGGGCCTCGAACGTCTATGCGGCTGAAGATTTGAATTTGCAGATCTCTTGCTTCGAGCCGTCACCGACTCCGTGGACCAGACTCCAGGGAACGAATCATAATCTGTTGCCCAAAGAAGGCGTCATCTCACACAAGACGGTTCATATCACTCCGCAGACACTCCAGGCGTCTATCCAGGATTGGCTTCTCTCCGATGCGCCCGGAATTGGCGCTAGGAACGTGATTGGAGACATTTCAGTCAATGAAAGCGACCGCCCAGCGGAGGTCATCAAGGCTATCCCTGTTCTCTTGGTTGCCCTACACGCTTGTGGTTCATTGACCCCAGACATCTTGCGTACCTTCGTGTCAAATCACCGTGGCGGAGCTAACAGCAACCCCTCCACTTGGAAATCGCAGGCCCTGGTCGTTGTTGGATGTTGTTACAACTTGATGTCGCCCGCAGGTATCTATCGTGATTGCTTCGCTTATCGTACCTTTGCGCTGATGATCATTCGTTTGTATCATAGACTTCCCACTCTCGACAGGTCTTCGACGATCCTTTTCTGGCCAAAAACTTTCTCTAGCCTCTCTTCATCTCGCCGCTCAAGTTCCCTCACAATGGGCGCGAACTGCCTCCTCGCTTGATGCCGCCCGCCTTGCCATACGAAAAGTTGTCTATCGCGCCCTGTTACAACCGCTTCTTCAAACTTCCGTAGTTCGGAGAAATGTACACATGCCTGGTTCTAACCACGAACCAGATATTGCCAGCGACGAGGAGGCGCGGCGAGATAAGCTAGCCGGAACGGGAGAAACATTGGAAAACCGGCGTCTAGGCAAGCTGAATAATGCTGCATACCGGGACTGGGGTACTTTTCTTACCCAAGCTGGCATTAAAATGGGCGTCAGTTTTGAGAACTGCCTGACGGAACTTCCTGATGGTGAGAAATTGGCCGATGATCGCTATCGAAGGCAGATGGAAAGCCGGTTAGAAGTCCTTCATGTGCTGCGATGTTTACTCGGCCCACTTGTGGAGAGCTTAATCCTTTTGGATCGATACGACTGGCTGTGCGAAGAGCTTCGGCATACCCACGCGACAACAGCGGGAAATACAGGATTTGAGTGCAACGAAGAGGAAATGGACGTAGAACTGTTTAATCTTTTTGATCAAGCGACAGGGAGCGGACGGAATGTTGCTATAGTCATAGCACCTCGATGACGACATCGAATGTAAGATACACGGGAGTTGTAAGTCATTATATATTATGCTGGTTATGACTCTGAATCTACGGTAACATACAAACATGCAGACTGTCGATAGAAGTTTAAAGCTCCCGTTATAGCCTCTACCTTTACTTGGCTAAACCCGAGGCGGTCCACACTTGAATACTACCATGATGAATTTCGTTAGTAGCTTACATATCAGAATCGTAAGCATCATACCGTCCATCCTGTATTAGGGATGCGCTGCGCATAGGAAGACTATAGCTTCTTTCATACATTCCATACATCATCTAATCCAGTGTCTGCTAGAACAGTCAAAGCGTTACGAGACTTTAATGAAGGCTATGATCGGCCCTTCAGATTCCACCTGAAGACATTTTTACCTATCCTTACACATATCTCATCGATATCGAAACTGCCAACATTTACAGACGACAAGCGAGCCCCATAAACTGAATTCAACGAGGAAATCATGTCAGCCGGGAAATGCGGAATTCTAGGAAACTGAACGTTCGGTAGTATCTTGTCCTCAAGCTCTTCAGGCTGGGGATCCAATTGCGGTTCGCGCAATAAATTGTTTTCCGCTGAGGTAAGAGGCGTGGTCTTCGATGATGACGCGACACCTTCCAAAGAGGTATCGTTGAATACCGGTGCAGAAGGCGAAGCAAGAAGAGCCCAGGCAATGGAAGCATGAAATCGAGGTTCTACGTAAAATTCTTTTTGTCGAATCGCTTTCAGGACGGGTGTTAACGCCTGGGACATACTTCTCAACTATGGTATTATGAGTATTATGACTGAGCATGCTGTCCAGTATTGCATATCCACAGGAACATACCTCTTGATGGCCAGCGCCTACTTCAGCTGTAAGAAATGTCCTTGTGCGTTCATCGTTGGTTAGCTCCGTAAACATCGCAAATGATGCCTCGAATCTGCAACATGAAACCTATCAATGGCATCACAGGAAAGGGCACGAGATGACACTCACGGGGAATGGTTCATGGCTATAGTTTTGATAGCACGTTTTAGCTCATCTCTTTGGTGTGCCCGAAGAAATATCGGCCGTGACAAAGATATGTGGAATTCTCGGTGATGCAAGACCGTTCCTGGCGTGTGGTGTGTAGAAACATTTTCCCGCAAATCTTGGATCCCAATTTCATATGATGACGGTACGACTTGTTTGGTATAGTTGAGAGCATCCTCGATAAGTAAATTTAACGGATTGGTGGGCTCTAGTATCAGGGGTACATATATGTATGCTGCATACTGGCCATCCACATGGGGTACAGTGCGGATTCTTCCTTGATGGAGGACAGGATTATCGATGGGTGCTGGTACAACCAATGATGGGGTGAGAGCGGGTAACTTCCTGGATTGCAGGATCAGCCTGTTTAGCTAGAAATCGCAACAAGTCTAATTGAAATTACCGTTTCTTTGGAACTGGCTCCTTAGCTGTATTCTCGTCATCAGAACTCTCATACGAAACCAAGCCAGGTGCTTTTCTTATCATATACCGCACAACGAAAACGAAATGTTCAAGGACGTTCAGGTCAAGTCCCACTCAGTTTAGTGACACATTCGTGACCCTAACCCCATTCTACGGGTGGGGAGATTAAGGTTATCAGATTAGAGTTGACATCCGTTATCCACAGAATGGCAGCTCCGAGCTTGATTGCGCCTTATCTTTGATCAAACACTTTCTGCTACAGACCACCATCAAGGTATACAATATCATATCATGAGCGTACAGTTCATCAACAACCTAGGAACTTCCGGCATAAGCCAAACTGGTCACACACATTCTCATGAAGTAGGGGGTGCATTTCACGCACACGATCTTGCTGAACATGGTCACACACACGAACATCTTGACCATCCAGGTACGTGACCAGATCGTCTTTATTTTTACAGCTAACTGATCAATATGGGGGTATCCATAGGAAAGTTTGCCGAGCGGGACCTTCCTGATTACTCGCAACGCAACTTCGTTGAGAGAGGATTCACGATTGGAATAGGAGGGCGAGTTAACAAATTGACCCATCGCTTATCTGATTTAGTTATAGCTTACTTTCTACAGGCCAGTCGGTTCGGGTAAAACTGCGTTGACACTTGCTCTCTGCAAGCGACTCAGGGGCGAATACAACATCGGTAAATAGTGCCATTCTTATCCAACCTAACTTTGTTTTCACCAATACGCATCGTATCATTAGCTACCGTAACAAACGACATTTTTACAAGGGAAGATCAGGAGTTCCTGATAAAAAACAAGGCTCTACCTACTTCACGTATTCTAGCCATCGAAACAGGCGGTTGTCCTCATGCCGCAATCCGCGAAGATATTAGCGCCAACATGGGGGCCCTTGAAACGCTACAAGCGAAATATGAATGCCAAATGTTGTTCGTTGAAAGCGGCGGAGACAACCTCGCCGCTAATTATTCCCGAGAGCTTGCGGACTACATCATCTACGTCATCGATGTATCTGTGAGTTACGTTCTTTCTGATCATGGGACTGACATTCAATTCACTGTGAAAGGGAGGGGACAAAATTCCTCGGAAAGGAGGGCCAGGGATTTCGCAATCAGACCTTTTAGTAATTAACAAGGCAAGTGATATCTCAGCGTATAGCACTTTTCTGACCTGTTCTCATTTCTAAAGATCGATCTTGCTCCTTATGTCAACGCCTCGCTCGAGGTCATGGATCGTGACTCAAAGGCCATGCGTGGTGATGGCCCTACAGTTTTCGCTAGCGTTAAAGAGGGAAAAGGGGTTGAAGATACCGTCGAGCTGATCCTGGGTGCATGGAGAGCTGCGGGTAGTCCCGGAAAGCCTGGACCCGTCGGTGATGATTGAGTAGGTCAACATTGAGTGACGAGATGCTCACTGCGTTCGCACCGTATCATGTAATTTTATGGTTCTGCATCTCTTCGTTTCTGGACCATTTGCCGGTGCGGAAAAGTTCTATTGGGCTTTGGTGTACCCTTTCCCCAGAGGCAACCATTTAACGTAACTTGACTTGGCCGCGGATCTTTAAGATTGCCCTGAAAGCACACGATCAGAAAATGCAAGGAACTGGACGAAGGATATGGCAACGTAGTACGGTATAGCCTCCAAGATCCAAACATTTCCTGTGTCCTGAAAATACGTCCGAATTGCTCCTAACTTGGGTCTGGTGACTTGAACCTACGATGATTCATCGGATGGATGGGGCTGTGGGATACATATCTTGGTGCGGAATAAAGAATTAGCGAGTTTAATAGTACTTACAAGCTGTCGGTGATAATTTCAGGGGCCAAATCAATCAGTGGAGCTAGGACGCGAAAGATTGAATGGGAATGGATGTGAGAAACAACGAGCGCTCCTTTATAATTAGTGAATTGCTTGAAGCAAGTTGGTCAAATACTGCCATCCGCCAAGAGCGGGCAAACGCGTGCTAAATGATGAGGCTCCAATCAAATGATGGTCGTTCTGTTGTGGAACGAAAGTATCGATTCAGGTATGGAAATCTGTTCAAACAAGGAAAATGCTACTCAAACTCACCAGCTATGAAGTTTTGATTGTGGAAACTTCACGCTTCATTTAATGCACCTTCACACCTCTGTCGTTCGCACAAGTCAGTCATTTCTTTTTACCAGGCGACATAGACAACGGTAGTGTGTGAACCAGGGTGTCTAAAGCACATTCTGGGCATCTCGACTCGGGTGATTGTAACCTTGATTGTTCCAAAAATCCTTGGTGTGTCCAGGACCTACAAAGATAGATACACGGAGAGAAAAACACGATTCGGAAATAGCGTAAGGTAGATATTCTCAATCTTTGTCGTGCCTGATGGATTGAATTGCAGGCTGTCTTTCCATGTAAGCGGTCATACCCAGGAGCATGCTACGGCCTGTTCCATTTCCCTATATCGACGAACAATTCAGCATTAAGTCAGTTGTATCCTTCTCCATCTGAAAGAATCACTACTGACCACCATATTATTAGGGAAACCCGGGTCAAATGGAATGATACTTTCCAGATAAGACATGTGGTCGAGCGTAAGCGAAATCTCGAGTGCTTCGGTATTAGCTTCCAGGTGTTCGACCTTTCTGCCTCCAATGATGGGGAAAACATAAGGCGTTTTATGCATCAAATACGCGATTGCAACTGCGACAGGAAGTATATTCAATGGCTTTGATCGTCGCATTAACAAACACAACAACACATACCTGCAGTGATGTGCTTAGCGCCCACTTCTTGCGCAACTTTCTCCAGTGCCTTCGACATTTTCTTCTCGTCTTCATTGCGCTCCCATGATGGGTTTCGCATAACACGTCCTTTCTCACCAGTTTGTCGGCGGCGTTCTTCTTCCTCATCTGTTCTGAGTTTCCCCGCAGCAAGGACATTCCATGGCGCCAGGGCAAGACCTAAGGTCCGCATAAAATGGATCAGTCCAACTGTCAAAATGACATTATTGAGACCCACCTTCTGTACGAGCCATGGGAATGATATCGCGCTCAAAAGACCGCGCCATAACGTTCCATGCGCCCTGGTAAATAACGAAGGGAGATTTCCCGTGATCGCGTGCATACTGGTTCGCCTTCGACACTACCCACGCTGGTGTATCTGAGATCCCCTGGAAGACACCCAAGTCAGTGGACGAAAATAGGGGCGTTTGGGTTATCATACAAGGTATAAAACTTTGCCTTGCTGCACGAGCGTGTGGAGACCATTCATGACTTCTTCCACCGAAGTGTCATAATCCCACCAGTGGACATAGAGGATGTCAATGTACGAAGTCCTGAGTTTCTTTAAACTGGCCTCGACGCTGATGTTCATCGATTTGACGTTGTTCCCAGTGTAATGAACTTGTTGCTTGATGCTTTCATTTCCACGATGGAAGTTCGTCGTGTACTAGCAGACCAAATTAAGTCAGGTAATTTGCAATTGTGCCAAGAACAATTTACTTTCGTTGCGATGACGAGCTGATCGCGTATTCCGCGCTGTTCTGCCCACTCCCCAATGAATTCCTCTGAACTTTGATCCTGACTGAGATATGTGTAACGGTCAGTTTGAGAGCCTTGTGAAGAGAATTTGATTACATACTAGTTGTTGGCAGTATCGATGAAATTTCCTCCGGCATCATAAAAGGCATCAAGAAGTTTGAAAGAAGACTCCTTATTCATACTGCCCATGAATTCTTGCCACTTGTCACCAATGCTCATGGCACCGAGCTGAAGCGGGGAAACATGAATGCTGGCTAGCGGCGACAGAGCACGGTAACGAGCGAGTCTGTTGGCTGGCTTAGAAACAGGTACGAAGAGAGCCATGGCTTGTTGATAAAAGGAGTACAGGTCAGTGTTCCTTGAGGGGCTATTCTGTACGTTCCTGATGGCTTTTATACATGTTTCTTTGGCCTTGCCATGAGATGACGAGTCAACGGGCTGGATAAAAGGACCGGTCAGTCAGCATTAATTACGGTGTTTGTGATGGGCGTACTTGAATATGTTTATTGTCTCTCAGGCTCAGGCTGCACCGACTCTTTGATTCCACCGTCGATCACGACGAATACGATGAATTCTAGCCGAGCACTGACGCATACGTGCCGCGTCAACCCTAATATAGCAATGTGTGACGTCGTGTGACATCGTGACTCGTAGTGCAAACCTCGTCCTTAAGCTTCCATCTTTATTCTGCACCTTTCTAAAATGGATACAACGAATGATCCAAAACCATACACCATCCTTCGTATCAAACGCAAACGAACCGATGAGCCTCTGGATGCTCTAGGTATCTTGTCTGTCCAGCAATCAGCAGAGTTGGCCACTTATATAGGCTTTGAATTGTGTTGAATTAGTCGTCGAATCCCGAGTTCGCAGAAAGAGATCACGCGGTGGCATCGATGTTTTTCAGTTTGCCCAAACAATAGAGCAGAGTGCTTGGAAGGATGAACAAATACGACTGGAGCTTCAAGTGGGTGATCGATTCATACATATCGAATATATGATCTTAATCTGGCAACTCCATAGAACCAGATATCTAAGCTAAGAGAAAAACCGAGTGAGAGGCAGGCCGAGATGAACACAGCAACTTCGGTACCTCAGCAAAAGGATAACACGAACCGAAGGTATACAGTACTCCCTCAAGAGGAGTCAGATTCGCATCGCTCTAAATTTCAGGCGAGTCCGTTAGTCCATAGTTCATTTTACCTTTCAATCCGTATCTCAGCGAGAGCTTCGCAGACCTAAAGTGCTCTCTGCGAAAGATGTGCCCCCTCCAAAAGATTTCAGGATGTATGATGCTGTTCTCGCCGACAAAGAGTCTGCTACACCTGCCTTTGACTCTGAGATGGAGAAATTCCTACCCATGCTCAACGATTATTTGAACAGTAAGTAGTCACTCCCTCCATATTATCTAACCATTCTCACTCTCGCAGTTAACGACATTTCTATCACTTTACCCCCTGTGGCCTCGTCTTCTGTTAATAGCGTCAGTGACAAATCAGAAAGTGGTGACTATGTCTGGGACGTATTCTACAGGCGACCCGCCACACTTAGTGAATGGAATTCGGCTGCCAATGTCGGGACCTTGTATGTAATCGACTTTTGGTCAGTGCTCTAGACTGAGTCCGCTTTCTTTTCCTCCCCTAGGATGGGATTACCTTCATCTGCCACGAATGCTTCTGACTCGGAATCGGGCTCTGAGGAAGAAGATGAAGCTGATGAAGATTCCAATGGTACCTTCAGACTAACTAAATCGAAGAAAAGTTAACCTTTTCACCTATTTATAGCTGAAGAATATTACAAGAATGACTACCCCGACGAAGAGGATCCGAGTGACAGTGACGGAAGTGGTACGCTGCTGCAAATATCCCTTTTACCCTTCCCCTCTTAGAATTTTGCGACAGATGAATTCCACGAAGACTCGGAAGATGACGACTATACTAATATAGCCGACGAAGGGCAAGATTGGAGGTAGTACCCGAAGCACGATATTCTCCCCCGAACATTTTCAAGAATTCTTCGCATAATCTGTCGCATTTACCCATTGTGTTAGTACGAGCTTTCCCCCGTGCATAAATTCCTGGTCATTTACGTATCAACAAAGAAACATAGAATAATCACATAAAGGCTCCTTTACAACATTTTCATCAACGTATCTAGTCATCTCATACCGTGAATGCATCATTTACGCTTTCGTCTGGATGCAATAGTCATGAATGGATTCGCTGTTAGAAGAGACGATAACCCTGAATAGCAACACTCACGTCTGAATCAGTCTCTTTTCTCGCTCGCTTGGAAAGTCTGCCCAGAGTCAACAGACCCATGAATGCGAGTACACCAAACAATATAGCAATCACTGCAATCGTCAGGCCAGCTCCCAAGAAACCGGCTCCCACAGGGCTTATTTTTGTGGAGGCAGCAGCATGCCCTTGGTTGTAAGCAAGGGTAAGTGCACTACAGCCTCTGTCTTGGTTGTTTTGACACACGTTGCACCAATCAGCAGTCGTGTTGACTCCAACCGGCTGCATAAATGCGGGTATCAGTGAACGAGGAACTTTATTGATGATATGCAGTAAGACGCTTACAGCCAAAGTGTCGATGAAGACAGAGAGGGGGACATCTCCGGTGCGGTTCATGTAGTTGTAAGTAACGAAGTCGCTGTCCGTTCCATTCTTAAAATTAAAGCGGACGACAGGTTCCCCGCCGGATGAAGGCTGGCGTACTTCGAAGGCGACAGCACCAGCGTAGTTCACTGGCGTGCTAGCATATAACATCAATTGCAGTACTATGATGTAAACAACTTACCGATTCCAGCGAGCTCTGGGTTTGCCGCTGCAACACCAGTCATATTGAAAAGGGACAAGATTGGCTTATATGCAACGGCTTCGTACACAAATTTTTGGGGGTTTGTAGGGTCGACGATGGCCGATAACCCGTTCAGGATCGAGAGAACCATTGTTTGGCCAGCAACTAGACCGCGGACTAAGTAACCGATCAAGGAGAAAACGAAACCAGCCACTTACTGTTTCCAATCCCTCCGATTTGAGGAGAACTAAAGACGTTGTATTCATGCCAGTTTGCCAATGCCCGTGCCTGTGCCAAAAATGTAGTAGGGAGCGCTTTGGCAAAGGCGGCATTGTGAATGCTTTCGACGTTCATGAAGTCGAAGATCTGAACGGCGATCAGGAAAGGGGATTACTAGAAGAAATTTACTTGAACTTACGTTCCACTAAAATTAAAGGAGCCTTATTGATGCAAATCAAGGACAGAGCAGTGATCTCAACGTACCATATTTTCTAGAGTGACTGCTCTTCCGTCCAGATAGGGTGGTAATAAGCTTAGGAAAGCCGCACTTTCACTGGCTTTTTCCTGAAACTCGGTAGAATTGTAGAAAGCAGTAGTTGAATCGTCAAAGGTCTAAAGGAAGGGATCGATGTCAATCAAAGAGCTGAGTGTAAGAAACAACGTACGTTGCAGTCCAAAAAGCCTTCAAGGGAGACATCCAGGTTAGGGTCGACAGACTCAACTGAAAAGTGACCATTTTGCAAAAAATCTTCACTATTCATGATATCGAGACTTACTAGGAACATACTTTCAAATCGAATTGGAAATCAGCATCCGATGGCTCAAAAGATGCCCTTGAAAGCCTGGCTCACCTGATATCCACCCAAGGGAGCTGTGATGGTTGTCCCATTTGCAAGGGAGACAGTGTTGTTTGGAGATGGAGGCCATAGTCCTTGTACCAGGGACATACAAGAATCATATACTACACCATCCTCGCCTCCCAGATCCGCGCGAATGAGTACCTGGCTCTCATTAAAAAGCCCCGTACCCATTTCGGGAATGTGCGAGGGAGACGATGCATTGAAATATAGATTGTTCAAGTACTCTCCAAGCTGGTATTCCTCTTGCTGACGAAGGCAATGTTCCGATGAGTACCGTCAAGTAGATAATACTATAAGAAGATGACATACGTTTCCGAGAGGCGTGATTTGGGTCGCCGTAGCTGTGTAAGTGTTGGGATCCTGATAAAACCCTTGACGATCACCATGGCGGATGACAAGCACAACACCGAGAACTTCACTGTCTGAGGATTGAGACATTGAGACCGACCAAAATTACGAAAATTGGTGCAGAAGTCGTGAACAGCAAGGGCTAGGAAACTTGGGACCCGACCTGGAAGCCAAGATAGAGATTATCCGAGTTCACTTGAGGTTTAAGTATGGCGCACCTGACCAGTAGACCCAGGCTCGGATAAGATATCATCATCAGCAGAAGGTCTGTCACGTAAGTCAATATTCTGAAACGGGAGTCTTGTCATGCGACGGGAGACTTCACGCCATGTGAATGTTGCAACGAACATATGCTCATGAAAGATAGCTCCGTTCACCCATATAGACGCATTGTACCGACGCCTGAAGTATTTTTTCTTTTACAATAACTTACGACCAGCCAAATCTCGGGTTTACGTTCCGAGACCAAAGTGCCTTAAGAAAAGACAGATGCATCTAAGATTGGAGTCGATCATTTATCGGATGCCACATATGACCTCGGCAACAATAAGCGTTATAGTCAGGCAAACAGTAGCGGAAACTCATCTTTCTGTCATCACCCAAGACTTTGCGAGAACTGTATAAGTCTTAGGTTAGCTCGCACACTTTTAAAATGGGCGTTCATTGTTCCATTCTTAGTTGACGTGCTGGAAATTCCACATGCTCTTCGGATGCAAAGTGACATTTGTGTTAAGAAGGTATGTGTCCACACTGTGTCCACCACCGAAAGATCATCAATAACGGTATTCAACGGGGATTGTGTGTTTCGGCTAGTTAGTGGCGGTCACGCCCTGGTAGGTATGTTGGTAACTCATCATGGAGAGGAGATATTAATGCAATCTTCGTATGCATAGGGGTCACTTATGAATTACGCCTGAGATCCAGAATGTCCTCTACGATACCGATGCAACACTGGTAACATCTTAAAAATGCAAAAAGAAATCGGGTAATCAAAGATGTCAGGTGTAGTAAATCTCGAGTCACTTGAAGTTTATAGCGAACCGCCAACCGATTCCATTGTCTGGGTGGAAAAGTAACCCGAACTCAAAACGTGAGAGATCAAGAAATGCATCATAACTCACAAACGGTGAAGCGGTGGGGCCATCTAGAATGGCAAGTTCTTCGGTAGAGAATGGGAGGCGCGGTATTAGAAGGGTTCTCAGAGGTACAAGAAGCAGGATGACCACGGGAAAACCGATGGCAGCTATCAGATATGAAAGATAAAAATATATCAGCGTGTGCGAGCTTATAAGTATATTGCACCATTTGACCGCCAAATTCGGCCGATGGCGAGATAGCGAAAGCATATGCTATTCCGGACATTCAAAATGCGTTGAAATGGGACTACCACTTACCAATGGTTTGTGTTATTGCGAATGTAGCCCCAAAACTAATCAACTGCACTCCGGCAAACAATGCTATGCGCGATTTGCGCACTTTTCTCAACGGCTCGTTGGAAGGGATGAGCGATTGATCGCGGATGAGATATAATAACTTCAACGTGATACCATTGCCTTGAAGAGCATCCGCCCCCATAAACCAACTAGATCACCAGATCAGAAACAAGAACTCGTTAATCAACGGAAGCAAAGGGGACCTACAAGAGTCCTGCCAGAACACCTTCATGAACAATTAGCGTTAGAGTACTATAACGACGCAAATATTACGTACCTCTAGGGATAAGATTGAGAAGATGTAAGAATGGCCCTGTAAGCAATACGAGACATAGCGCGCCCTGAGCCAAGTTCGACACTCTCTGCTCCACGACTGAAACGGGAACCTCGCGGCGCGTGGACGACGGATCCGCTTGTTGTTCGTTTTTGGGCTCGCCTTCCACTTCGAACGAAGGCTTGACACCAGACCGTGATGGTACCCTGGATATCGCTTGCTCTTCGTCGGAATCCTTCTTCAAGGGTCGCCCCATGATGACCAGTGAAGTAGTATGTATAGGCGCCTGGGGGATCAAACCATTAGGTGCAGGAACCCCTATCAGACCAGCAATAAAAGTGGTGATCCCGAGAAGGAAAAAGTCGTAGTGAAAGCCAGGAGGTTTGCGAAGTGGGAATTGCGAACCTTGAGCAATTAGTGACTTGAAGCGAATCAGACGTGGTTAATGAACATCAACGTTTTAGTGACACAAACTTACCGATACATTGTGATCGAAGAAAAAAAGGATCCACAGGACTATCCCAAAGGGAAGGGCGATGCCCACCCATTTACCATCGAGTTTCCAGAATCTCACTAACCAGTCTCTTCCATTTGCGGCCTCAAAAGCGCCACTGACAGGAAGAGTAATAGGGTTGGCAGAATTGAACCTCCCCCAATAAGCCATACCCGAGGTAGCTACCAATGATATTGGCATACCGTAATCGGCGAAGAAGCGTCGAACATGTCGATGAAATAATGTCGTTTCTGATAATTTTTGAAATAGGAAAGATGTGACGAGCATAAGTAAGGCGAGAACGGTCGCGACTAGAGCGCCATCTAAGTTGGGAGGACTTGCGTCGTATTGGCGAGTAATCACTTGGACGCCGTATTGCAAGTACACCCAAGAAACGTAGAAGCCAAACGTATCACACGGGAAAAGAGTGACATATCTGAGTAAATTGCACCCTAGTCATAGAATTCAGCATAAAATGTTTGGTGCCAGTGAAAAACATACAGTTAAGAATTGCAGTTATCCAATGCAAAATTGCACCCCATAGGTAGACCCAACCAATAAAGTGTAGATAATTTGGTGGATTGGGCTGCTTTTCTATTATGTCATATATAGTCTTGTTAAAGACAGTGATAGGTCCTGTAGTAAATACATATGTTTTAATGGACTACAATGACAATCTGTCACTGTAAAGTGATGCACACCAGTAACGCCAGCAATGGTGAGCGGTTGTGCACCGAAAACCGAGAATATGAAAGCTGCCATGAAGGACGACAACAAAACCTCCGCAACACCATATTGCTGAGTAGTTTCTATAAGATCTAAAGAGAATGCTATTCCTGGAAGCACGCTGCAATGGCGTTCAGCTGGAGCACACCAAAGATATGACGAAGACAGACTTGGCGAAAAATATGAGGGCTGTAGCAGGAACCACACGATAGTTCCAAGCGTCGGTCCAGTCACTTCTATACCACGGTGCACGAGCACGCACATCTTGGATGATCCCGGCACCTAATCTAGTAATCCGAGTAGGCCGTCGTGTTGAAGCTACACGGTGTCGTAATGTCGTTGATGCACCTGTCGAAGAGATGCCTGAAGTCTCCCTGGCAGGTGTATTCTGTGCTGTGCCAGTGCCAACGGAAGGTGTACTTGATTGTCGTCCATCGGATCGAATAGACGGATTTAAAGTAGGACCTGTTAAAGGCTCTTCCTTCAAGACTTGTTGTTCGTTATAAAGGGCCATCCTTTGAATGCATTAAGAACCAATACTATGCCTGCAAAATGTTATCAACAACTGGAGCTGAAATTCAGCCAACCGTCATGGGGAGCCACTGGCGGCTCAGTGGTAAAACTTGCCACATAACACAAACATACCATAGCTGCGTCCGGCATACTCGGCTTAGAGCTTCAAGTCTTCCTATCAATCAGTAAAGTGACGCTCGTTGATCATTTTGTTACTTATAAGCTGGTGTATGGTGAGGCAGCAGCAAGGCATCTCCTTACTGACGCCTATCATACAGAACACAGCAACACGCGAGCTCAGCACTACAAAGCCTACGCATTGAATAGTGTTGGCAAGTCTTTCACCACGATGTCTAATGTTGGTTTTGTCCGGCGCGCTTCCAAGTTTTTTGCAGTACTGGGTGGAATATATGTCGCAATTGTCTTGTTATTGGCGGTGCCCTTCCTCCAGTCTCAGTGAGCATAACGTCGCTTATCCTTATCCAATAAATACAGGATCGCTCATTAAGGTCAGTGCTGTATACATGAATGCCGTCAAGTTACCCTGGAATGCAAACTACAATACGCCTGAGAAGTATGGAATGGCTCGTAAGTTTCTCCATTTACACATCCTTCAACTATTCCAATCACCCTTGTCGTCCACTGCTTCTCTCAATGTGCAGCCGGAAAAACGTCGAACATCGCGATCACTACAGCGGACAATGTTACTCTAGGCGCCTGGTTCGTTCTATCTGACACATATTATCACACACTAGCATTCCCGCCGCCTCCTATATCCGACTCTCATATATCCAAGGCGCTGGATTCTTACCCCACCGTCCTATTCTTCCACGGGAACGGCGCTACTCGAGCACTATCTCTGCGTGTGCATTATTACTCTGCATTTTCATCTCGTTTACATGCAAATGTCTTAGCTATCGACTACCGAGGCTTTGGGGATAGTGAGGGAACTCCAAGTGAAAAAGGGCTCGCAAATGATGCTCGCGCTGCTTGGGACTGGCTTATATCTCAAGGTGCAAAACCGGAAAATGTCTTGATTATTGGACATAGTCTGGGCACCGCTGTTGCTACGAAGTTGGCCGTTGATTTATCAGAATCAAATGTGAATTACAAAGGAGTTGTGCTAATGTCCCCATTTTCATCCATCCGAAGTCTCGTGGACACATACTATATCTTGGGACTTTTCCCCGTTATGATGCCCCTCACAATGATACCACATGTTCCTGGTAAGCCATGGTTTAGTCTTCATAAACATATCGTTTGTGTCTTTGTAGATCTGTACAAAAATTTCCTCATTCACGATTTTGACACTCTTTCTGTCGTTCATGTGCGTGTTCATTTATGTAACTCTTCATAATTTACCATGCATTAACCTGCTTCCCACAGAAAATCAAGGCTTCTATACTTATACTTCATGCCGATAATGATTGGGACATTTCGTTTACTCACTCCGAGGACCTATTTAACTCACTGCTGGAAACTCATCTGCTTCCAAGTGCTATAGATCGCCTTCCTCTGAATCCTGCGAGCTGGTCGCAAGAGGAGTGGCACGACTACCAGGCCAAACAGAAGTTGCGACACGATTTACGACAAGAATTGGTTGCGCATACCCAGATACCGAATTTCGGAAGTGTTGATGAGTTCTCGGTGCTGGAGCAGAAAGTAGTGTTCTTGAAGACCTTTGCGGGTGGTCACGATCGTGTAGCGATGCTCGAAGGTGTTCATGATGTGATACGAAACGTGTTTTCTATTTCCACGTAATTGGGATGTATATGTGCTAGTCTTCAATACAATACAATATGCTCATAGGAGGTTATTATGTTCCTGTGAATAGGGGATACTGCTGGGTTACTAATAATAAATTTTTTCTGCGCTATGGTGTCGTGTGATGTCACTCCGGGGCTAAAACTATTGGAACCAACATTTCGCGGACTTGGAATATGCCATCTGCCCGCCCCACTTGGTCACGAATCCAGACAAAATGTGTAGTTTTTCTTATTTATGTAGACTTTGGCTCGGTCTATCAACCAAGGAAAGGGTCTAACTTTCTTCTGACCCGCCATGTCCAGCGAGCAAGAACGAGGGAACGGGCAAAATAGCTCTCATCCACGACGGCCAGTCTCGGGAGTGCCAACGTCGAGCTCCTCATTCGTATATCCCATCCGGTCGTTGCTCAGCGGTCGTATTCAGCCTGCTGGGGATAGGTCAGTGTCGCCCTCAATTTCGGTTCTTAGCACCCGTCCTTATGTTATCCTCGTTACTACTAATTAAAGCAGTGACACCGATGAATCGCGATACCATGGCATGGGAAACATAGGGGATGTCATGGACGAAGCTAGAAGACCGAGGCGGAATTCATTGGAGAGTCGGAAAGATCCTTCTTCTCAGTCACATCTTCAAAGATCACTAACTGCCCATGTCAAGTCTTACACCTCTGACAGACTTCAGAAGAGGCGTATTGAGGTACCCAGAGCCGAGGACTACGAGCAAGAACATACTGAACACCATAGTAATACAATACATCCTCACTCGAATTTCAGGCATTTTCCAGCTGAAAACACATCTTGCTCTTCGCCCCGGTTTTCGGCATCTTCTCCTCCCATTTCTTTCCCCGGAGGTTTCGTTGCAGGTCCAGTCGGGGAACCCATCCCTATAAGCCCGTCAGGTTCTTCTTCAGGATCGGAAACCAATGTCAGGCATCCTGTCCAGATGTCTGAAGCAGCAGCGGATGCATTTTCTGCTGTATCGTCCGACTTTCTGATGCCCGTACCTCATTTGGAGTGTGTGCATCAAACCCCGCTCAATCCATCAGAGATTGGCATCGTTCACTTGCCACCTTTACCAACCCCTTTTCATGCCAAAGACGACAATCCACGTTCTGAATCGGCTATCGATAGTTGGATCATGTCACAGTCGGAGTCCTCTAGCTTGCAACGCACTCTGGAGCCACCCATTTCCGTATCTCCTAATTCAGAGCACAAGTCTCAAAGTGAAGACTCATCATGCACTGAAGATCCTTATCCTGCAGATTCCCTTACGCAGGAACATGGTCCTTGGAGTTACAGTCAGGATCAACTCATGACATTCCGATATGAACACGTTGAGGACGAGGATGGTCACCATGTCTTGACTGGCCGTGAGGGCAAACTCACACGCTGTGAAGACGAAGTATGTGACTAATTCATTCTACACGTAACAATTTTCTCAATATAATATGTACTTCGCAGCCTATTCGTACCCCAGGTGCGGTCCAAGGTTTTGGGGTATTAGTAGCTGTGGATGAAGACCAAGAGAGTGGGACGTTGCTTGTCCGCCAAGTGTCTGAGGTACTTTTTAGTTATTTTTATCGTTGGTAGCAGGCTGAACGTTGTGTATCAAGAACTCGACAGAGATACTTGGACTTTCGCCTAAATTTCTCTTTTCACTCGAGTGTTTTACAGACACCTTACCTGAGGCTCAAGGAGATATCTTATGGGACAATATTCAATTTCTTCACGAGCCCAAATCCAATGTTGAAGAACAAGAAGACAGTCCTCACGTCTTTTTACTCACGGGTTGGAGGGAACCGGAAGAGGATACTACGAAAGAACGGCAGCCTTGGACGTGCTGGTGCGCTGTTCATAGGCCTATGTCGTCATCAGGGGCCTCTGGAGCGCGTAACGACTCCAATCTTATCATATTGGAGTTCGAACTCGAGAAAGATATACTTAACGCACTCTATCCATCTCCTAATGCAAGCCGATGTGGGACCACGTCCCTTTCCAGAAGCACTCCGGGTAGCGATTCAACTGGAGGTTCTGATGGAACACTCGTTTCTACCGAATGCGAGGCAGAAATAACACCTTCAACGTCTGAAGCCACTGCTATAAGCGTAAGGGGTGAGTCGATTGCGCAGGATCCTCATGTGGATCATCCTACTGTCAGAAATGACGAGGATTGGAGACCCACTGCGGAAGATATACTCGAGAGCACCACCAACCATGCGAAGCCAGTACCTGCCTTGGAGAGACTACGACGAATTGCAAGGAGCGCGTCCTCAAATTCGGTTGCGGCCTCGACTCCTGCTACGGGGGACGGATCTCGGTTTCGGCGACATGTTCCACGTAGAAGGACAGGGACTTCTGCCGTGGGGATGATGGATATATTTGCCGTCATGGCACAAATTAACGAACAACTAGGAGCAGCTCAAGACTTAGATTCATGCTTAAAAGTGGTTGTCGGCGTTATTAAGGACCTTACACAATTCCATCGCGTGTTGGTGTACCAGTTTGATGAAGTATGGAATGGACAAGTCACGGCAGAACTTGTGGACTGGAGTCAAACGCATGACTTGTATAAAGGGCTCCACTTTCCTGCTTCAGATATACCTGCACAGGTCAGTATTAATGAATTAAGATTCAGACTGTCTTACTAATTCAAAGGCGCAAGGCTCGAGACTTGTATGCCATCAGTGAGTGTCCCATTACAAGTCAGGAGAAAGATTTGTACTGAATATGTTTTAGATACTGTCCGTATGTTGTATAACCGATCACAACCCACGGCTCGTATTGTGGTACGAAATGCTGCTGATTTGGAATCTCCTTTGGTGAGTAGTACTATCGTACTCATATTCGTATTTTCTCATCTCTATTCAGAACATGACCCATTGTTATCTTCGTGCTATGAGCCCTATCCACATAAAATGTAAGCTAGTAGGTTATGTTACTCACATGAGTCCTAACTTCATTCGCATAGATCTTGAGAATATGGGCGTGCGAGCATCCATGTCGGTGGTATGTTATCATCATGAAAATCAAAGGGTGTTTGCTCAAATATATGGCTAGTCTATCATGGCGTTTGGAGTATTGTGGGGTCTGGTCTCCTGTCATTCGTATGGAGCGCATGGTATGCGAGTCTCCTTTCCCGTACGACAAATGTTACGACTGCTTAGTCAATCCATTTCGCGCAACATTGAGCGTCTTAGTTATGCACGGCGGTTGCACACACGTAAATTAGTATGTTCGTGCCCGTGCTACAAAGATCAACTGCTGATTCCATGCTATACAGATCAACACTATGGCTTCTGACAACCATCCGACTGGTTATATCGTTTCCAATGCAGATGACCTTCTTAGTCTATTCGACGCGGATTACGGAATCCTTGTTATAGGAGAAGGTGCGAAGATATTAGGGCCCAACCTTCATGGCCAAGAAATACTCGTAATGGCAGAATACCTTCGTCTCAAACAATTTAAGTCAGTGTGAATATCATATTGACGACTCATTTTTCTCACTATGTTATCAGCACGATACAAGTTTCTCAAGCAGTGGTCAAGGATTTTCCGGATCTTCAACTTTCAACCGGTTTAGAAGTCATTGCAGGATTGCTCTACGTGCCATTGTCAGCCGGCGGGAAGGACTTCATTGCGATGCTCCGCAAAGGACAGCCTCGCGATGTTCGGTGGGCAGGCAGGCCCACTGGCATGACTAAAAGTTTGGAGCCTCGGAAATCATTCAAAACATGGTCAGAAACTGTTGCCGGACGGTGTCGTGCCTGGACGGATGAACAGCTAGAGACTGCTGGTGTACTTGCTCTCGTGTATGGAAAGGTATGTGTCTTAACAGTATGCGTTGTTCGTGTGTCTGAAACGCTTCTTGTGTCGTCGTAGTTCATCGCTGTCTGGCGTCAGAAGGAGTCTGCCCTACACACGACTAGTCTGACCAACATACTACTGTCAAATGCTAGTCACGAAGGTGAAGATAACCTTTATGTGCTTCGGTTGTTTTTTGACACCCTTAAACCAGTCCGAACCCCTTTAAACCATATCATAAAGTAGGATTTACTTATTTATGTTCACCGTATACTGGTTAACTTGTTACTAGTTATTTGGAGATGGCTCTGAATGGTCCATTGGATCTTGAGACGAGAGACAATCTCTCTCGTTCTCATGCTGCATCAAAGGTTTGTTTAATCAAACAAATTGTGAATCATGATTAACTTCGTCCGTTATTAGAACTTGCTTTTCACTATCAATGACTTACTGGTATGAATAATCGGCTGTATTGTCTTATGTCTGCTTATGTTTTTTGTAGGACCTGACTCGATTAGAAAGTGGTCATGAAACATCATTCAACGAACCATTTAACCTGCAAGCCGCTATTGAAGAGGCCACTCGGATCTACAGTCACGAAGCTGCTCGCAGGAATATCGATTTCAAGCTTGAGGCAGAAGGCGGACCGAAGCAAGTGGTGGGTGATGCGAAGAAAATTAAAACTGTGGTGGCTAACTTGACAGCCAACGCATGTAAGTGACATATTGTGTAACTTATTCGTCACGTATTCATCATAAGATAGTGAAATATACTTCAGAAGGTTCAATCACGGTTCATTACCATCTTTACAATAAACACGAAGGTCTCCAAGGTGCAGCACAAAAAGGGGTGGAGATCGTGGTAGCTGACACGGGTTGCGGTATTGCGAATGAGAAGCTTGAGAGTATTTTCCGTGAATTCGAACAAGTCGAGTCATCAGAGCCGAGAATTCCTGGAACCCCTGGTGTTGGTGAGTACGATCGTAATTATTGATACGCATAACTACTATATTTTTGGCAGGTCTTGGCCTTGCGGTGGTCGCAAGAATTGTAGAACAGCTAGGAGGTCAACTACGTGTTGACTCAAAGGTCGATATTGGCAGCCGATTCTCTTTCCTTATCCCGCTGGAATTGGCGAAAAGCTCGCATTCTGGTAATTCAGGAAGCTCTTCAGGGAGATCGCGTTCCGTGAAATCCCTTCCCAAATCTTCCCAGTCAGATAGTATCCGGTCTAAAGCAGAAGAAATTAATATATTGGTCGAAGCCTTATCATCAAGCCATATGGCACCAGGCTGGAACAACCAATCCTCTCTGGATATCGTTAAGAGATCTTCACGGAATATTGCTTCCCTAAAGATGGAAACCAAGGTTGATGTTCCTGGTCCAAATACTTTATCCGATTTTGAGGTCTCCAAGCACCCTGTATCACCAGAGGCTGCATCTCCCTCATTCGATTTCGTTGGCGGAGCCAGCAACACATTAACCCAGTTGCGTATTTTGATCGTAGAGGTAGGCAATCGGCTTTACTGCTGGAGACGGCATCTTGTGCTCATTTTGTCTGTAGGATAACGATGTTAATCGGAAGATACTTGGAAAACGGCTGTCCATGGATGGGCATATAATCGTCAATTCCACCAACGGTCAAGAAGGTCTGCAATTGGTTGAAGCGGACAGGGATTTTGATTGCATTCTGATGGATATTCAGTATGTTTACGTCAATTATTATCCACGCCGACATTCTTTTAACCGACGTATATTGGGACGTTTGTAGAATGCCTATACTCAACGGATTCGAGGCTACGGAACGAATTCGGCAACTTGAGGAAGCAGCAACTCTTGATCCTAGTCCCACTCCTGCCCATCGAATTTCTTATCAGCTGAACGGACGCGTACCGATTTTTGCTGTCTCTACTTCTCTGCGGGAGCAGCAACGAAGCGAACTTATAGGGTATGGCATGGATGGCTGGATCCTGAAACCAATCGACTTTAAACGACTCAAAATCATTTTACAAGGCATTGTTGACCCATCGCAACGCGATCGCGATGTCTACAAACCAGGTTGTAGCTGGGAGGCCGGGGGTTGGTTCACCAAATCTCACAAAAACAATCGCGGTATCGTGGATAAGCAAGTGCAACATCCTTGACCTCCAGTTTCATGCTTGCGTCCTCGTGCTCCCTCTATTATCTTATCTTATCCCATATACGCTTTTTTTTAGTTTTCGTAAGGCTAATACCTCACTCAGTTTTGTCAGCATCGCATCATGATCATCAGTGTCTGCGTCTGTTTCAAGCGACCCTATAAACACTCATCGCACAATTTTTTATCTCCCTTTTGTACTGATATGTCAAGACACACACGAATACTTGTACAGTTTACTATACTTACACTTCTCTACATGTTATCAATTGGGTTCTCTGCAGGTGATTTCAAACAAAAGATGTCTGAACATTCTACAATAGCAAGATCAATCGCCTGATCCCTTCATCCTTGTTGGAACTGCTAAGGTAAAACAAGGCCTTTATCCTCTGCCTACGAATGGCACACCAGTAGCCCTAGAAGGCGAGGATGAATATTTGTGACACATTAAGAGAACACAACTACTTACATGATGTTCATCTCAAGGACTGTTACCGAATTTGGTAATCCCGCGAGGTGCACAACAGTTTGTGCGACATGTACTGGGTCAAACGTCGCCTCCACAACAACGCGCCCGTCAGGCTGAAGAGAACCGCGAGTATGTCCAGCAGCCATAGTCGTGAGTGCATTTCCTGGGAAGCAGAACAATGACAGTAAGTTGCGAGATGGGATGAGAAGAATGGTGCAAAAAATGTCAGTGGGAAAACGCACCAATATCGATTTGTGTCACAGCGATGTTCCAGTTGCGTCCATCAATTGCGCTTGCCTTGGTAAGACCAGTAACGGCGTGCTTCGAGCAGGTGTATGGTGCGGCATGTGGGCGTGGGACGCGGGCAGCAAGAGAACCGTTATTGATGATCCTGCCTACAACGGTGATTGTACTGTTGTGTAAGCAGCTGGGACAATGGAGGCGAAGAGAAACGCTATTGAGTGACCGCGTTCGAATCGCTCACCTCCTGTGGGGCTTTGTGATTTAAATACCCTGAATGCCTCTCGAGTACAAAGGAAAGACCCGACCAGGTTGACGTTGATTACAGACGTGAATGTCTCAAGGGAAAGTTCGTCGATAGGTGTTCCCTTATGGCTGATTCCAGCGTTCTGCACAGCGAGGCGGAGCCCAGTTAAAGTCTCCAAAACACAAGCCAAGTTTATGAGAAAAACCACACATTAAATAGCAGGTCTAGCCTCCCAAAATTGGCGACTGTTTCTTCAAACAGCTTCTTCACAAAAGGTTCGTCGGTGACCTCTCCGGCGAGTACGAGACAAGAACTTGGGTCAGAGCAGAGAGATTTTGTCTCTTCTAGCTGTTCGAGACGTCGTGCTGTGAGGGTCAGAGACCACCCAGCAGAAGAAAGCGCAATGGCTGATTCTCGACCAATCCCTTGAAGGAGCGAGGTGCTGTCAGGACACTGCAGCAGAAGGTATGCGAGAACGTACCAGAGGAAGCGCCAGTTATGATAGCGACCTTGCGCGATGCCATGATGATAGCCTTGCACTATAAAGCTTGTACTAAGGGCATAGAAAAAGACTAAACTCACTGAGACCTTGTCCTAACTAAGAATCCAGTGGAATATGTCCCGGACGCTCAGTCTGGGAGATGAATCTGGTGAAAATTGGCCCCGAGTTCAGTGAGTTACAATTCCCAAGATTTTATCTCTTACCGAACCATTGACTGCCTATTATTAGTTATTGCTCACTTCTCACCTTATCTCACATGTAAGTAAGTTTAGGACCTTTGCATATGACCGTAGCCAGACAAGCAGCGGACATCCGTTTCTCCGCCAAGCATCTCCGGACCGGCTCAGACCGAACAGCGAACCGTACAAAAAATACTAAATTAGCAACCATCATTTCAACATCATCTTGACCATCATTGACTATAGAGATTAGTCTCCCCAGTCAGACCAAATTACCGATATGACAGTCGATAAGAAGTCATTTCATTTTTCAACTTCCAGGTTCAGACGAACATTTGCATCGTGGAATCGGATGCAAACGATATTCACCTCGTTTTGCAAGAAGGTAAGCACTTCTTTGACCGTGTTTATTCTGCAAGTTATTGCAGAGCTTGTGTCCGCTTTCTATCACAAGAATTCATCTCGATCCCATCACAATCTCCCCGAGACTCTCGTCTTATGTCTGGTACCAATCTGACCTTCTACAAAGCCCACGTGACCCCGAGCTCATACAACTACTTTAAAAGGGCTTCTATTTCGAACACGCACTGGTATTGCACGAAAACATGACGGGACACGTCAAACCTTCAAAAAAACGTTCGAAAGCATGATGGTAAGTTAGTTATTTCAACACTGATCGACTATTGTGTATGTTAAGTGGACCGCATTCTCGAGTGTACAGTACGTGAATTACACTGCTATTATCTAATCTCATGAAATATATTTTGATGTCTAGTAAGAAGGGGATTCCAATGTTGTATCCTCAAAAGCCCAAATTATATGTATAAGCAATTGTCAATATCATGCAGCAAGTAAATAACGCTACGAGCGTTGGATGATATCATTTGGGTGTCATCAAACTCGGTGTGTTATTTCTGGTATGTATCAAAGGTGTGCCCGTCAGTTCTGGGTTTGACAGTATGCAGATGCCTGCCAGACATACCCCATGCGTTAGTGAATCGGATACCGCAGCATCGCGCTTTGAGTTATCTGGGCGGACAAGATGAAGATCCAAGTCTCCTGCTCCCAAATCTAGCCCCGCAAAAATATCGTCTTTTGCGCTATGTTCCGCACTTCTTTGACTGGCGGTTGTGCCACTGCTCTCTGCAGACATTCGCTATTGGACGCCAGCATTAGTTGCCTCGACCAAGCACCGGAACAAATCAACAACGAACTGGTAGCCCGCCAGTGCCCTCTCCATTTGGTAAACTCTGTGAGTGTGCATAGCTCTCGCTACTCCTGCTCCGCTCTATGCCTCTCCTTCGTGGAAAGTCTGTCAGGGCGACATTTGCTCCCCGTTCCAGACTCAGTGGGTGCAACCATTGGTGTGTTTAAAAGTAAAGTGAACGTGTCAGCTATAGATGATAAAAGTGGCATTTTAATGTGAGATAGATGTGGTGAGGGAGTAAAGTAGGATCGTAGCCTAGACATTGTCTGCATGATTCAGACCTTGTTCAGCAAGGCTTTCCATAAACGGAAGCATGATGTCATCTGGCTCGATCACAGATGTCACGTGATCACCTCACACTAGGCTCAAACTCTGATCCAAAGTATATCAGTATCGTTATAAATACATGCAGAAATTTATCGATGGGTAGCCAACGAGCTAAAGATTGTATATCGGTCATAACCTAAGCATCATCAACCCAAGCATTCTTCTCGCCTGTTCCACTCTGAGCCGTGGCGTCGTCAGGAACAATCGGCTTCACTGAGGCAATCTATCCAACCATGCAAAAGATCGCGTGAGGAAATTGTACGTTGTACCGTCACCCTACACCACAAAAGTGAATCAGGCATTCTCTATATGAACAGCTTGAACACTCACGATGAAGTTACTAGGGAACCCAATATCAAAGGGAATGATGCTCTCCAGGTACGTGAGATGTTCGGGCTTCAGCGTAATGTTCAGCGCCTCGATGCTGGAAAGCAGATGTTCCACCTTCCGTCCTCCGATAATAGGAAAGACGTATGGAGTCTTCTGCATCACGTAGGCGATAGCCACTGCACACGAATTAATACGGTCTCAGGCAAGAAATAAACGTTCCCCTACCAGCGGTGATATGCTTCGCACCAATCTCCACCGCAACCTTCTCAAGAGCTTTCGACATTGCCTTCTCTGTCTCAGATCGCTCCCACTGCGGTCCTGTCAGTGTGCGGCCCTTCTCTCCTGTCTGCCTACGTTTCTCCTCCTCTTCATCGCTACGCAGCTTTCCACCTGCTAGAACGTTCCATGGAGCCAGTGCTAAACCTGTAAGGAAATTGGATGAAGGGCAATATCTTGTCAGATGAATTCGAGGGAAACAGGTTTTGCACTCACCCTCAGCGCGAGCCATAGGAATGATGTCACGCTCGAACGAGCGCTCCGTCTCGTGCATACTGATTAGCTTTAGCAACGACCCAAGCAGGTGCATCCGAGATTCCCTATTTGCATGCATGGAGGCAGAGAAAAATGTACTATAGGCCCAATGGTCTGCATGATTAACCTCCTCTGGGAACTATGAGAGCTACATGACAAACCAAAAGAGTTGGTAAATCCCGATGGAAACAAACATACTTCATACCACAAACCTAACCCCACGACAGGGTCTTCACCAGATATGGACATCTTCATACCTTTTTAGGGGTGTCAAGAGCGATTACCGGAAATCGGAAATCATGACCATTGCAGAGTTGCTGCTAACCCACTTCAAACCCACTCCAGCCCGCTCCGTTCGACCGGCGATCTGCTAAGAGTATTTGATGCCCGATGTAATTTGTCAGTAGCTCTAATCTGCCACATAGTTATTCTTGTATACATACCTTTCATATCGTCGGGATTTGCCAACGAGTCAAAAACATCTGGCGCACATTAAAACAAGAACAGACGTTTCAAGCCCCCACGACCACCACCCAACACGTCGTGCTCCTTGAAAGCAGACTTTGACATAAGGCTATATCAGCACCAGTAAACCGAGCGAATAAGAGCTGACTGCGATTATGTATTATTTCAGATCTTCTGTAACACCACTATCGAAAAGTCGAAAATCGAGTCTAAACCATGTTAAAATTGAATGTTACGAAAATCGTTATGCAAGCAGCTGCCTCTTCACCGTGGTGACACTTGCCTCTCCGATAGCGACCAACCTATCGTCCACGGGAGGCCTATGCCTATGAATCGAAATGCAATCAGAACCTCCAAGAGAACCACAGAGACCAGATCTCTAAACCCTAACGATACATAAAATAAAGAAAAGTTTACACTAGCATTTGTATCCTTCCAATGAACTTGCTGTCTTCTTCTATCTGCCCGCAATGAGAATGCCAAATACAATGCCAACTATGGATCCGAGTGCGAATGTTATAGCCGCAATGGAGATCCGTGCGGCAGGAAAGATGCCCCGTGTGAGGGCGCCTTGTGTGATAAAGTACCGAAACAAGCCTGCAGTGACAATTTTTTACGTATGTCACGTGGGGACGATGTAAGACAATCGAGCGGCGATGAGGGCAACGAGCGCACAGGACGGAGCAAAACAGGCGGCATAAAATCAGCTTCATCGTGAGATACGAAGAGAAACAGCATACCGTGTAATAGAATCAGTAGTCCGAGGAGAACGACGGTAGCTCCGAGGGGTTGAGCATACTTTTGTAAGTTCATGCTATGTTGGCCAGTAGTACTATTAACGTTGGTGGGTTTAGATAGGGTGAAAAGCTGCACAAGCGCTGGATAGAGGTAAATGTTACTATCGCTAGCCAACGCTATGTAAAACAGCACGACTTACCAACGCCTGCACTGGCACAAGCGAGACTGGTTCGGACGTAAGCTAGGTAAGTTCGCTCCGAGGCAAGATGGTCACGAGCAACACTGCCAGTGTTCTCCAGAACGAGGTTTAGGCCTAGAGGGTTTTTGAGGGACCTTAAGAGCATGGTGATGCTGGGAATGGGTTTTGAAGACCCTTGATAAGTCGTCTGTGTAGCAGGTAGGTCATTATGTGGAGGACATGAGTGGGAGGATGTGGAAGCATAGTCTTCGTCTGGCAATATTTGCTCGGGTTCAGCGCAAAGCCTTGGACCTTCCAATGCGCCCAACACTGTACCGCTAGTCGTGTTTGACGGCGAGCGATGTCCATGTCTTGAGTAGTCCGTGTTCATCTCGTAAAGAAACAAGCCTGGGGGTGTGGGCTGGTGGGTTTTGAAGGATACAATGGTGTCGCTGCAGTTACAGTGGCGAAGATATGGGAGAAATGTGATACTAATAAGGACTATGGTAATAAAACACGAGGACCAGCCAAACAGAGTGAAAGTGTAAAACAGGGATCGAAATCATTCGTTTCGATGGTTTCGGAGCAATTCTGAAAGTTCTGAAAAGCGATATTCGGCAAATGAACCGTCATATGTGTGACCCGTTTCGTCACGATATACGGTCACTATGATGTAAAGTCACTGAAGGGTTATACTTACGAGAATAACCGAAATTGACTCTTCCACTTCCATTTCTTTGATATTTACGGGTGGCGAATTTGTAATATGTAGCTGCAGTATATTTATTTTCTTTGGAGTTAGAGATACCAGCATCTGCAGTCAGGTCCGATGTTAGCCGAGCGCAAAAAGCTGCTCAGAGCTCTAATAGCAGTTCACTTTTCCGCAGATGCAGCAAACTGAATTGATTCACTCATCATCGTTTTGAACTACTAGTACGTAGGCGTAATATACAAACATATCGTTCACTATAGGTCAGGAGTATGGGTCATTTTTATAACCTGAAACAAAAAAGTGCGGTGCCAAATGTACTATTTTAGTCTGAGTGTGATCAACTTGAACACCCCGTCATGACCTCGAAATCCACTGCCAGCGAAAAAGCGCTGAACACTGGTACCAATCCCGTTGAACACCCTGAGTAATAGAGATGGTCACATTCGTTGGCCATTGTAGAGTCAATCTTAAGACGTACCGTTTGCATATATTCTGTGTGCAGAACGAAATCACGGAGCGGGTCATCCATAGGAGAATTAACAATCCTTCTAACCCCGGCTTCGCAGGTGCCTGGTTGATACCAGGAATCATCGCAGCCATAACCCGAGCAGAAATCCCAGCAGTCAAAGCGTTTACTAACATCTCGATGATTATATCTATCAATCCCGCGGTTGGAATTGTGCCACGTATTTCGTCATTCGTAATCTTGGCTGAAAACCATTTTTGGGAAGCAAAGGCTAACGGCGTAGCCGCTGCCCCACCGATTGCAGCGCCGAGTGGTCCTCCAATAACATCTCCGAGAGTAACACCTATAACAACAATTGTGCTATGCGAGCATTTCGCACGAGCGCGGTACATTTTTTCCTGGTCAAAAATAAATTTCAGTTTAAAGAGAGGATCAACTGTACGCGATATCTTACCTTATCTCCATTTATTAGGAAGTGTCCCAATGTGATCAGGAATCCAGTAAAGGGTATCGGTTCCAATATTTCAAAAATGCCTTGCCACTCCTCATCATTGCTAGGACTTATCATAATAAAAGCCGTTAGTGTCAAAAACATTCAATCAGGAAGGAGAGCAGCTCACAGTTTCATCATTGCCTAATGACTATGAAGGTGAGATGTAGACAGGGATGAAAAGGCGGACGTTATCGACGTGCTTTAACGAGGGCACATGGCAACTTCGTGGTGGGAACCTGCTGAAAATGATGTTATCTTTGCTAGGAAGACCCACTGATAAGGAGTAATATTGACCTCGTAGGTGTCCTCCCAAGTTCCACATGATTCCCATTGCAGATCCGTACACTGCAGTCTTCCGAGTCTGAGGATCTGCGCCGAGCCAGGAATGTATAAGAAGTTTATCATCATGGCCTCGTGTCCGACTCGGAGCCTGATCACGAGCAGGAATTTGCAAGGACGCGGGATCCGTAGCAATTCGATACACGAAACAAGAGACGGTGATCATAACGGGTTCGTTATTGGTTCTTCTCAAGTCATCCAAGGAAGAACAAGCAACATGAGTCAGCTGACCACGAGCGTGATTTTGAGGGCACGAAGCACAAACATTGAATTAACAACACTTTTAGGGGAGAGTGTGTATTCCGGACACCATGCGTAATGATGGGCCAGGTATGACATAGGTACATAGGTAGGCTTCAGAACTGAACGATAACTTTATGGCGTCAACTTGAACATGCTTGCAGTACGCAAACTGGTAAAAGTAGAGCCACAGACGAAATCTTCTTCTGCAGAATAATTCCAGACAGAGTTCTTTGCAACAAAGAACCACATCTATGTTGTCCCGTGCATCTCCTCGGTTATCACGTGGAAGCAACATCTAGATAAGACAGACACATTGAGGATAAGGTAGACTTACGCGAGCAGCATTCGCTGAAGAACAATCCTCCACACTCAGCGCCAAGCTAGTCCCGCCGTTCTGTATGCTGTTACAGCAAAATCAGTGCAACGTTCATAGAAAGTATGAACATTCTTACAAGAAAGGATATGGAACAGCAGTACTTCTGTGGATGCAATTATCGAAAAGCATAATGTGCTACTGAGCAACAGGAACGGAGTGAGAGATTGGTGGGCAAGTAAACGTACCTCTCAACTCAACTGGCATGCGTGCTCTGCCTACACAGATGATTTATCGCAGTAACCGCACATCATTGCGGAAAAGCGACATAGAGGTGCAAGTGACTTTCGAAGAAAATGATACCCTTTCTTCGCGCACAGAAAACAAATGAAATCGTCAACACTTTGATAGCTCATCAGGGTGTTATAGGTGCCAGTAGAAAACATCCCCTGTGCACAAGTGCACATATCGCAGTGGTTCAATGAGGACGCAAGGGGGAGCCGAGACCACATTAGGATATCAAGAGGAATACATTTTTGAAGTGACCTTATATAGGGCCAAGCATGTGCATCCTTTCAGTCTGTGTTATATTCAGGAAGGAAGATATTATAGACACGAATGAAGTTGAGCCAAGGTGTCGCGGCTGTCGAATTGCAGCGTTGATATTCAAGCGGAGATTTTCTAGTTCTCCGTGGTCTCGTGCCGAGTATCTACCAGGCTTTTTGCCTACTTTTCGATTCTGATCGAGTTAAAGCAATACACTCTGTTATCTTTCGACTCTACCTCACGCCTATCTCCAAAGCTAGAATCATGGTCAAGCTAGGATCATCATCATTCATTCATCCATATTCTTGCACAAGATGTCGTATCTAAGCTGCAGTGGAACATTCTGCCCTGTGTACTAAGAGAAACATGACTAACTTTGGCACATGCGATTTCTTGTTCGTGGTCGACAAACAGGTTTTGAGTAGTAATAAGAGTCACCCCTGAACGACCCACAGACATTCCTTACTTCTGGTGATAATCCTTGTGCTTCACACCTTTTGACTTTGACATAGACTCCGCAGTATCCAAGATCCAGTCACTGGGTTAGTTATGGGTGAACAATTCCTCCAGTAATGCTGCTCGCGTGAGTCTTGTGCATATAGATGTGGGTGATAGATGCGTCTTGATCTTGAATTGCATAGGTGATTTTTGAAGAAATGCACGAAGGACAAGAACTGCAGCACAGCCAGGTTTGGTTTTTTCCGTCAATATCTGAGATGCTTGTAGAGCTCCTGAATTAGGGAGAAAGTGATCTATAGGTATCTCGCTAGCGCATTACGCGCTAAGATCTTGCTAGTACTGCGAGTGAAATGGTTTATCGCAAGAATGAACAAGGTGGATTACCGTGGTGTCAGCTATGCCAGATTATAACACAAAGGATAGCGGGGGACATCTTTCAGTTGATACGGACTGGGCAAGACGTGCAATGGTTTTCCAATTAGCATGCAGTAATTTGGAGACATGTTCATGGTGATTTTTTCTGTGGAATCCTAAAATTAAGCTTACGATGGTGGTCACTCACTCTGTTCTGATTTAGTCATACACCTTCTAGTGAGGAGCTCCTTCCGTGGTGCTCTACGCTTTTTTGATCAAACTGACTCTGACCTGGCGTTTCAGCGCCTCGGCTGATCAGTAGTCAACGTGAACGGTGGATATTATGTCCAGTATAATTAATGAAAGGAAAACGGCAATTTGTGTATAATAGAGGCATCTTCCTCTGAAAGTGGTGAACACCGAAAACGATGATCATGGTGACCTTTAACAAATGCTATGATACAGATGGGTCGCAAGATGTCTACTATCTTCCTCAGACACTTCTGATCGTTCTACCTAAATCCGTCACCACTCCCTTCACTGCTCTTCATCGAGCTCGTTCCGTCCCGCAACAAACCGTCTCTCGCTAGCTCCATCGATCCTAACCGCTCCACTCCCCCGACCTTGCTCACCCGCCATCCCCTCTCCAAACTGTTCAACTCCTTGCCCGTGTCGCTTCCGGCCAGGCTGACCATCATGTCTCATCTCCTTGCTCGACATGCCTTGGCCGGGGTGTCCATACCCCTGGTTGACGTCGGCAGAGGTGGCACCGGTGAGTGTGCTGGACGCGGTCGGGACGGGAGGATGGTCGGGCGAGGAGTTTGTGGCAGATGCGTCCTTGTCGACATACTCGTCTACCGTCACTGCAGAAGGCTCTGGTTGGCGACCTGTTCAATGGCATTAGTACCCCATCGATGAACACAATCCCCCAAAATAACCTACCCTCTGGTCTCCCATCAATGATGCCTTGATTAAAGTTTCCAGTGGTGGAGGTATAGTCGGCAGAACGGAGACTGTTGTTTCCCTCAAGAGAATGATGTTGTGAAAATTGTGAGCTGGACATGGTGTGGAAAATTGTGAATGAACAGGATACCGATCTATGCGACGGTTTAAGTAGTGAACCCAGCATCATGAAGTCATAGCGGTGATGTCATCCATATCCCACCGTGATTCACTGCAGCAGTAACAACTTTTGCCACATTTTCAAAGCTAGCCACTTTATATGGTTCAAAAACGAATATCAATGTATACATGGAGAAAATGCCAGTATTCATCATAGTAATACACGATGGAAAGATTTTGTCTGAATTGTCATCTCCCTATCGCTTGCTCGTCCATATCCTACTAGATTCCTAGCACTGGCAGCGCTGGTGACGCGCTCGGACTCGGAAAACATGCAAAGCATCCAGTGGGGCCAGTCTCCTCATATAATATTGATTCCACAACATTTGACTCACTCCTAGCTGTGGCCTCCACAATGCTGTTCGTAGTCGAGGAGCCTACTGGTGTCGCAGTTGCAATGCTCGTGTGGCCAGACTCGGAGGTAAACAATCGACTAGTGGGCAAGAGGTTGCTATCACTAGTCGGGGTGGAGATAAACAAGAGTAGCGTTAGTGATAGTTTTGGTGGTATTGAGATTGGACACCAACTCCATTAATTTTGGTCCTGGCTAGTGAACGCGAAATAAGCAAGCATACTTAATCAGAACCTAATCAGTTTCTTACTGCTGCTTCCTGGGTGCCAGGAGGAGTGGTGTTCTGCATACAAACAGGGTTGGCCGCGGTGGCCAAGCAGAGGGCGAGGAGAATGAAGAGACAACAGTTAAACATCCGTCGTTGAAAATTATAGAAAATGGTAGCTTGGTAGCGAACCTGCTACAGACGCGAACACTGGAGACTGACGAGGAGACGAGCAGGGGTATTTATACAGGACCGGAGGATGCCATCCACCGAGGATGACAGGGCTTGTCATTAGTTTCGCTGATGTCGTGTCGGTGGACGACAGTAATGTGACTAGGATGCCATCGAGGGATCAGACGATTTGGTGAATGGCATTGTAATATCTATCACTGGATAGTCGGTACTGGGTGGGCAGTTCCCTCGCTTGCTCATCCAGCTTTGCACATCAAATGCAATACATAATATGATGGACATGAGAGCAAGTTACATCTGACCGGTGAAAATGGTACCTAAATCATCAAGTACACTATCAACCTCTTTCTGAAAGTACTCCAGTCTCGGCTGGTATTTGTTCGTGAATGATTTCATGACGTTGCACTTTCGTCGCTTGAGCAGCACCCCTAGTGCTGAGTTACCTTGGACACCTGGAGCATGGTGATAAATATGAGAATAACAAAGTCAGTGATAAAGAAAACCCCAAGTCAAATCCAGTTACGCACAAGCAAGTGATGTACTGATGGTAAAACAGAGTCTTTCAAGTGTATTATCTATTTGCTGTTGCCCTTCTTGACGGGCCTCATTTAATGGCCCCATAACTCGATCAATGACACTGTTGTATACTATTTCATTATTTTCTTCGTTGCATATTTTGGACCTATTATTCCATTAGCTGTGTATTTATTTGATCAGTCAATATCTCATTTAAAATTGCCCACCTTCATCCGCCCGAACATGCCACTACCATGCTCTTTTGAAACCTTGTCATAGTGGTCTTCCAGCTCAGCTTGGAATTGGCTACGAACAGCGCTACTGAAGTCTCTGCTTGTACAGTTTTGTTGAACACTCAATTCTAGCAGAATAGATAGCTTATGTACGAACCGTTGTGCAGTAGAAAGTGATGTGAGATAACCTCGATGAGCAGTGTTCAATGACGGTTTTATTGTGTTCTGAATGAGATCACTAGATTTTGTAATTTGAGAGTGGATGGATTTTGGTGCCCTGTTACCTAGTTCAGAATTATATAAATCAAGGTTGATTACTGTGTGATAATGAAGAAGCTTACATATTTTTTTGAGCGTGTTGTCAAAATTTTCGGAAAGCTTCTATGTACAGACTATTAAGTATAGCAAAGGAAATTATCAATTTAGGATAACTTGCGAGTGTCAGAGTTTCCAGATGCATTGGGACGTTATGATTCACAATTGTGTTCCATTTTCTAGATGTGAGCGGTATAAGTTGCTACGGACAAGAAAATTCTCAGGGTCGTCTGCATACACGAGTAAGTCATTGCTGAAAATGTCCTTCGTCAGAGCACGGTTGAAATCGATGTTTCTCCACTCTCCATGCCGTCGCATGATTGCTGAGTATGTGTTGTATCTTTTATCTGATCCAAGATTATTCACTACATCGACACTTTTGAGAGCAGTCTAAACACAATTCAGAGTTCGCAGAAGACAGTCACGGTAAGTAGGTTATACTCACCGAATGTGCAGCCATACCGCAAATTGAACTCTAGTTCTTGCAGCTCTGTGTCTAGACTTTGCGTTGTCTCTTTAATACTTCGTGTGTTCGCCTAAGAGAAAACCGTCAATTACCAATATCCTTCACAAAGGTGAACACGTAGGATGTAAAGTACAAACATTACGAAGTTGACGAAGAAAGATCGATGCTGAATTCTCATAGTGAGAGAGCCTTTTGTCGTGTTTGTGACATGACTTTAGAAATGAGCATATCTCCTCTGTCCTTATTGTGTAAGCTCGAGATGCGGAGAATATGTAGTCTTACCCCTGCCATCATAAGTTAGAACCACGAAAATGACAAAAAGCTGGTGAAGGTACAAATGGACGAACATCGCTACCGGATAGTACCACTTTAGCACCAATAATGGCGTTAATAGCCCTACTTTTACCCACACCCGTTCTTCCTACGAAAGACATTTTGTGGGATTTCGGTGTTACATTAGAGAGATCAGATATGTCAGCCCTCCACATTCGGTCACGTCCGTTAGGTAAATGGGACCCTTCCAAGAGGTCAGTCAGACCTTTCATGGTCTCCTTTATCAGACCACATATTTGGTGATCTAGCGGCCCAAGCGGGCGAAAGATGTCAACTTGAGTATCTTGCATCACTGCATCATTGCTGTTTTCTGGATTGTCGGTCGACGTGTTGATATCGGTCCCCAGAAGTAGCTGTATCCGAGGTGGATGGGCTCAGTAAAGCATGGGAGAGATGTGAACTAGTAACTCACAGAGTATTTTGCTTTAAGACCTCCTCCCATGATGTTTCGATTCAACCCCAGGGATTCCCTCAGATGCTTTAGACGTTGAAGAGGACTGCCCCGGTTACTCGCCGATGCAATGAGGCATCACTCCCTATTAGCCTCGTTGCATCGGCTACTTCCGCCACTACAAGGATAAGCGCTGAGCAATGGTTCAATGAATGTATATATAAAGAGTGCGGTAGACCGTAGGGAAGTATGTAGTGCAAGATCCTGTCTGAATATCATCTCTCTCTCTCTCACACACACACACACTTGCTTCTCAATACACGTACCCAAGTAGCTTTGTTGACCAAAACACCACTAACGCGTCTACGGGGTCGCTGAGCTGACAGTGTAGAGAATTGACGTTGTCGCATGCGTAACACATGCAACGCATCCAGTAGGGCCAGTTTGCGAATCTAGCACCGATCTCACGGCACTTGACACACTCGGATTCACATATTGTCCGCGGTCGAGGAGCTAGTCGAGTCGCTGACACCGCCACTGGAAGTCGGGCCTGTTGCGACAAAGGTAGTTGGCGAGCCTACCATCGTCACCTCACCTGTTGCAGTCGACGCAGCTACAATCGGGTGCCTAGACTCGGAAGTAAACACGCCACCAGTGAACGGAGTGATGGAAAACTGGCCATCGCCATGAATAGCAACTGACACTGCAGGGTGACCAAGAGGAGGCGTGGTCAGAGATGTTGCTGCCACTGTCGTAGCATAGAACAGGGCGACGCCACGCGCAGCGACGGGGTACTCGTGATGATGGCGGCCGTACTGCTTGCCCTTCTTGGCATTAATGTTGGGATCCCGTAATTGTTCGCCGAGCTTGGTTCAGTGGACTTGCCAGTACCTTTGACAGCGCGAATCTCGATATCATCCCTTGCAAGCATACGAGCGATGTCAGCACCAGGGGCGGCCACTGCTGCGAGGCAGAACGCGAGTAGAACAACGAAACGACAGTCGAGCTGGATCATTGTTACAATTGGATGGAGCAGTCTGAGCAGATGTTAGGTAGTGGTGAACGTATTGCAGAGGCAAAGAGAAGGGAGAAATGACGAGCGGGACACGGAGTATTTATACATGATCGGAGCATACAACGTTTGTTAGCCCGTCATTGGTGTCGGTGATGTCGCCACCCACGGTCTAGCGAACTTGAATAAGTAAAACTACATAGTGCAAATTTGACGGTGTAAAGACAGCTCTCGGTTACTTCCGACTTTGATGATTCACAACCAAAACACTCATCCACATTTTTGGATAGAAGCCATGGTTCAAATGAATGGAATATATAAAAGAGTGCAGTAGATATAGTAATATGTGGTATAGTATGGTGTCGAAATTCCATCTCCTTGCTTGCAATATCCATATCAGTTCTGTGGCACGTTTGTAGGCTCCAGATTCGCATTAGCAGTAACGTTGAGTCCACCAGAAGTAGCCGAAGGTCTGGTAACAAATTCGGTCATCGTGAGCTGGCGCATACGCAAGACCATAGCCATCGCGGCGCTGGGGCTAGCTGTGTCACTAGTCGAGTCCGTAGCACTGGCACTGGAGGCCGAGTCCGTTGCGCTGGTGCTAGTGATCCCATCCACCACATCCATCGCACCATCTATGCTTACGGTACTTGGTAAAACAGGGGAGGCCGTACTGCTAGCCGTGACGGAAGAGCTAGCCGAGTCCGTGTCACTGGCACTCGAGACTGAATCTGTTGTGGAGGCGCCAGTCAACTCGTCCAACGCTGTAGATATGCCATCCATTACCGTCGAAGCAACCGGGGCAGACATCGTAGTAGTGCTGGCAATACCGGAAGACATGGGAGTATACAAGCCGTTGTTGAACGAAGGGTTGGGAGTATACAAGCCATTGTTGAACGAAGGGTTGGGATGGTACTGACCATCATCGAAACTAGCGGTGGTGGCTGATGCAGATCCGCTAGAAGCGGGGGTAGCGGAAGGTGTCCCATCGGTAAACGGAGTATACTGACCATTGTTGTACGTGGTAGTGGGATAACCAGGGTGGTATTGACCATCATCGGAATAGCTGCTGCTGCTAGAAATCGCAGCGTCTTGTCTCTTGCCCAATAGATACGGAACCTTGTAATCCTTTGTGGCACCTGACTGAGCAGACCTGTCGGTTCCTCTGGCAGCACGAGCTTTGAGATCGCCCCTTGTAGGTATGCGAGAGTCGTGGGCTCCAGTGGCGGGATGAACAGTACCCCATTGGATCATTGGCTAACGAATAGGACTTGAATAAGCAAGTATACTGCGATGGATCAAGTGCTTACCGGCGGGCCAGTGGGGGAGGCCACGCTTTTGCCGTCAGCGGGAGTGGGCCTCCGATTATGTGCAGGAGAGGCGGCGACGACGAGGCAGAGAGAGAGAACGACGAAACGACAGTTGAGGTGGACCATTGTTGCAAATGAATGGAGCAAGTGGTAGCCAATAGTGAACCTGTTGGAAGACAAAGAGGGAAGACAGGGGAATAGCGGGAAAGTGAGAGGTATGAGGATATTTATACGAGAGCAGAGGATGCCAACTGCCATGGAATGATGTCATGTTGATCGTCGGTGGCTGACACGAACGGTGGTACCCGCGACGATTGGCGGTGGTTCAGCGAGGTACAATCTCTCATCGCTCGAGATACAAGCTTCTGCCAGTCTTAATTGACGTGTGTCTTTCGCACAAACCATCAGTGCAGTCTGCCAACATTTCACGCGTATTAACTCCTAGACTAATTTTACACAGTTCATCTTCAGGTGAGTCCCAGGTTGCCAGGGCCAATCTGAATAACTAGCAACTCATCAAGAAGGAACACCCAACTATAAGCTTTCATCCCCATCAATTTCTTATCTTTCTTGTTAAATAGAAACCTGTCAGCTCTCCCCAATGCATATCAACAACACTGCCAGCGCCTTCCGTTCCCTGCATCGATAGCAACCATGCCATCCTCCCCACTCAACTATGATGTCGTCTCCAACATCATCACTTTTGTCACTAATGACCTTTCGTACAGCTCCTTGCTGGCTCTAGCACTCGTCTCTCGTGCATTCCTAGACCCCGCTTTGGATGTCTTATGGGAACGACAATGCTCACTCGGGCCTTTGATTATCTACACCCTTCCCAACGATTTATGGGAACTGGGGCCTCAGGATGCCCAAGACATAGTTAGTCCATCTCCACCAAGCCATGCTACCCACTTATCACATTCTTTAACAGCGTTTCAAAAGGCATCCGGTTCCCTCAGACTGGGATCGCCTCGCCTTCTATGCCTACCGCATCAAGACTCTCGACCATAGCATTCGCCGTCCAAAACTCCCAGACTATTACCTGCACAAGTCAGCCCTCCATACCCTGTTAAACACCTACCCAGCGCCTTTTCTTCCCAACCTTTTGGCCTTGCATTCTGCGGTCATCACCCACACATCACCCATCGACCATTTTTTGACCAGCTTCCACTCCTTGCTTACTTCAAAAATAAAACGCTTGACCCTCGAGTTACCCCAAAATGGCATAGTCGAGGATACTAACTCCTATCTCAAATTGATCATATCTCAGTGTCCCGATCTGGAATATTTATCAATCAACTGTACAGTCCCCGTGGTGCTAACATTGCACCAATCACATCTGCATCGTCTTCGTCACTTCCACGTGCATGGCCTGCTATCCTTGTCCGCAGATGCCGTCTCTTATCTTTCCGCTCTACCCGATCTTCGCGAACTAACGCTCGGCTTGAAAGGGCAAGAATACCTCATTTATGCACCACAATACACCGTCAGTGCGTTTCCCTCTCTCAGGCGCATTGCCCTCCACAGCAACCTCATCACACTCTGCACGCCAATCATCTCTTCTATATCTTCCACTCTCTTGGAACAAATCACTTTGGACGTCTACCACACCCTCCCCCCACCCACTCTCCACGACTTCCTAGGTACCCTATCATCCAACCACGCTTGGCACCCCACCCTCCACACCCTCTCCATCCGTCTTCACGGGCCACACGACAGCCTCGGCACTTTCTCCAAATCCACCTTTTTCCCATTGTGCAAATTCTCGAACCTGAAATGTCTCGCACTTCAAGAAATTGGCACGATTGATCTGGATGACGGGACGGTGGTGGATATGGGAACTGCATGGCCGTTGCTCGAGACGTTGTCGCTCGTGAATGCGTCCAGCCCGGCTGAGAGTCAATCCCGGATCACTTTGAAGGGAATGATTTCGCTGGTGAACCATTGTCCCAAGCTCCATGCACTTCATCTGGGTCATGATATCATTATGGCATCGCCACGCGCAAAGGATGATCTCCTTTGAGCCGAATTTAAATTTTTGCTTATGGTTTGAATGCCTGGATATATATATGTGTGGTTTCGAAATAACTATCTTTGTTTTTGCTGATAGCCCTTGACGAAGCTTGCGAGATGCGCAAAGGGGCCAAAGATGACCAGGGCTTTTTAAAGTTGGCAATATTAGTACGTCTCAGTAGTCCACCCTACTACTTTGTTCTTCTACTTCGATTGTATGTCATTCATCAGCGTCGAGGAATGTTACCTATGCAAGAATGACAATGATATTTTCCATAATTATTTCCACACAATTTCTAACGATACATAGTGGTATGTGGTGACAACAAAAAAAAACACGACCGCGATTTCAACACTCTAGCGATATAAAGTTCTATGGGGTTCCAACGTTGCTCTCACTTACCCGGCTTATCTTCATCCTCTGCTTCGCCCTCTTCTCGCCACTTCTCTCCCTTGTATATCACCACCAATATCAAGAGTTCTGTAATGATCAACAAGCCCCCCCATAATGTGTATAAACCCCCGTCACCAATGGCGTTCTTGAGATACAAGTTAGGGTTTTGGGACGGGCAGGAGAGGAGAGGGCGGGATGGAGTAACTCACCTGAAGAGGAATCGCCACTTCAGCGGCCACGAAAGCTGACCCACCTCTGAAAGCGCTGTTTGCTGCGACAGCGGTGGACGAACGACCCTTGTTTGCATCAACTATGTAAGCTAGTGTACTTGTATATATCCATCTGGAATAAGCATCCAATAACATTAGTATTACGTAGGAATCCCGTCCTGAGCAATTGACTCACATAGAGAAGAACCCAGCGAGGAAGAGCGTGACGCAGATAGCAGCTACGTTCACGTGTTTCTCGCATATCCAAGCATAGGCTATGACGGATAAAGGCAGAAATGGCATGGCTAGTTTCGTGCTTTCTAAACGCATCTATAGGTAGGATTTAATGTATCAAGTGATCAGTCAACAGGTCTGCAAGTGAGAATTTACCCACCTCTGGATAGCTTCGTCCGCCGTTTTGGGCCTTGAGTTTGGCTAATGTTCGGTCGGACCAGCGACCGCCTAGTTGACTGCCCACGATACTACCTTTAAGTGATATATTCAGCTAAATTCTAGAAATGATCACCCCCGAACTCACCTACACCGAGAGACAAGAGGACAAGGCCAGTTTTTAATGCATCATAACCATACGAGTCCGCGAGGGTTCGAGCACAAGTATATGACATACTATAACTGAATGCGAAAATCAGACCTAGTACGGATTGATCAAAAGATTAACACCAGCGCATGACGTAATTAAGATGATTTGATATTAAATATCATTTGAACACACCTGAAGGGATGAGGATAGAGATGTTGTTCTTTCGTTTGAGGATTTTCCAGAGCGGCGGAAAGGGGTTAACATCTTTGAGGGACAGTTTCACTTCTGTTAAAGCGGGTGGTGCCGGGGTACCGCCGCTTTTCTTGGTTTGTGCTTCGAGATCCTGAGGCACGGCGTGGTCAAGCTCAGTACTATGCCCACGATCCGTCACCGCTTCCTCCGATCCCACCGTCTTCTCAGCAGCAGAAGTGATCACCGTCGCCTGACTCGACCTCTTCGAATGCTCATGTGCCCTCTCCCTCATCCGCATCCTCAAAACATGTTGATACGTCAGACTGCGTTCCCTGCGGAACGTGTCTTTGAACAAGAACAGGAACGCCATGAGGATGATGAATCCCCAGACGACAAGGAACCAGAATACGGCGCGCCAGTTGAAGCCTTGCGTGAGGGCGCCTCCCAATATAGGGCCCAATGAGGGGCCCAGAAGGGGCGCCGAGTAGTATATACCCATCTTTGTACCGCGTTCATGCGATTCATATATATCGGCTAGCGTCGCAGCAGCAATGGCCATCACGGCACTGGACCTAAATAATTCATGAGTGATACTACATCCGTCTGGTGCAAATATCGAACACGCTTACCCTGCGGCCTGAAGGATTCGCATGCCTATAAGGAGCCCGATAGTGTTGGAGGTGGCTACTACAATCGACCCGATGGTAAATAATGAAATGGATAGCACGTACACCAGCTAAAACGAGGGCATGGATTACATTGCGCCCTCGGCACAATACGAAATATCGACATACCATTCGGCCTTTTATTTCGCTAATGGCGCTCCATATTATAGGGAAGTTCCCTTGGACAAGAATGAATAGAGATAAGCTCCAGCTTATGTTGCCGCTTGTCGTGTGCAAGTCTTGTTCGATTTGTGCATTAGCAGCTGGTTGACAGTTCAAAAGGAAGCAATGAGCATACAGTAGGTAACATGACATTAGGCACTCACGGTTTTGAATATTTGCAGCAAGTCCTGCGATCATAGAGGCTCCAGAAACAATTGCTAATATAGCATTCTAAAAACAGTATTAGTAAAGGTGAGACTCGCACACATGAACTCTGCTACCTTTCTGGCTGGCCCCCATTTTCTAGGATCGTCTTCTACAATAGCATGCTCGATATCCGGTTTCCCGTGCAAAGGTTCGGCAACAATAGCCGGTTTCTGGTTGTCCGAGTCAACTGTATGTGAGATGGGAAGGGCCGTAGCGTTCAAGCTCGTACTTTTGCTTCCGTCTATAGTCGTAGCCATTGCCGTTAAAGTTCGTTAATTGTCGTCCAGCCACTCGATCCTAAAAAGAAGTACTGGAACTGGGAGGATGGGAGGTATTGCAACAATCATGCGAGCTCTTTCTTTCTTATATATAAGTAAATATTTATGACAAACCGTGCAGGCCGGAAACAGAACCGGTAAAATGTTCACCATGGACCTCGAATCATGGCATTATCATGCCGGGGAGGGCGTTATTTTTTGGTGGGCTGTTTCGAAAGTCGGATGAGGCGGCCGATGTACACATATGACAGCATTTCCCACTCACATTTTCATCCACAACGTTGCACTCCCGTAAGGTTAATAGTTTGCCGGTGGCTTTTTGAGATCTGAAAGAACGTTCAGCAGTCGTGTTTTCTAGAGAATTTCGTGAGCGAGTCAAATGCCAGTGGTTGATTCGGACAAGTAGATTGCATGCCTTACGCCTTACCAAACGCAAGGAAAAGATCAGGTATTAGATCTTTTTCAGAATCACTACAAGTCCCATGATCCATGGTACCGTGTTACAGTGTTTGTATCACTGGTAGTAGAGTTGTGAGCATTCTCAGGCTATAGATCTCTATAAGTGTAACGATCAAATTCTGCAATGTGGCTGTTCGTTCTCAGGCATATCTCAGGCGTATTGTACTATGCGAGTTAACGCCATGAGGTGCCAGCTCCGGCCACGATACTAGCAAATACTTCGCAGCACGCTTGGTCCTGCAGCACTCTAGACATTCCAAAGCCTTGCCACAAATGATGTAAAACGGATCAGATCAACTCCTGATGCCGCATAAAGCGCTCGACAGAACAAAAAGGCATGCAAGGAATGTTCTATTTGAACGTATGTGTCTTGTTCCCGCTTTTGACTTCCCGATAAGCCTGGGGTGGGGCACGAAAATTGCCGTAGTCTATCGCAGCTTCTGCAATCGCTCAAAGTTAACTCGGCCGATAAGTGGTATCATTACGTCACATGACATACCTCTATTCTTTTTCTGCGCCCTTTTCAAGTTACGCTTATTTATACCCTCTCGAGGAAGATGTCCGTTATCGAGCATATTCGGAGCGACAGAGTAATCGAAAGGTTCTATGTCTGGGCTGGAAGTCGAAATCTCCTTTGCCTGCTCCCTCTCTTCTTTCTTGGCTTTTTTAGGGTTTGACAGTGCTCCTGCATCAGATTCATCTGGGGCAGCTCCAGGTTCCCTTTCATGTGCATTCAGGGTTTTCGGCCGCTTTCTTTTCTTTTGCCTGGCTTGGCCCACGATAACAATTGAGTCATCGATAGGCTCATCTTTCAAGTTCGCCTGCCGCTGACGCTGAGGGACGTAAGGGATTTCCATTGGTCCTGCGGATCCATTAGGATGTAAATCCGTATGTGATATAGCAGCAGTCTTAGTAGCCGTGGCAGTAAGTGTGCTGCCCGTTTGCACGACTTTTTGGTCAGTGGTTTCCACAATTTGGGATACAATCTAGATCGGAACACGATGAAAATGAGGCTAGGCGGTTATCGCGTGACCCAAATACCTTGGGTGCCGAGGGTACAATTACCAGCGTGCTGTGGATGCGCGAAACGATATCTTTGAATTGAGTGTTTACATCCGATGGTGGAACCTGGAAGATGACGGAAGAGTAAGTAGATGAGAGTCATTAATCTGGCACGAGGCCATAGTTAGGGGATAGAATAGCTCACCGCTGGAGTCAATTTGGGACCAAAAAGCGAACTTCGTAGAGCAGAATATGCGACTTGTCTAGACTTCACGCTGCTGGATGCGGTAGACCCAAGTAGGGAAGATGACTGTGTTGTTATTGAACTCGTGGAAGTTGCTATAAATGATTTCATAAGTTTGACGTTTTAGAATGAAATGGCTATACCGACTACTAGGCCACAGCCTTGAAATGGCTGCTTCCACCGCAGGCTTCCCAATTTGATCCACTATATTTGGGGACGGTAAGTCTGTGATAACTGTATCTTCCGATATCGTAATAGATTCCGTTTTCTCGATAAGTGTGGCATTACTACCGCCATAGCGAGCTACTGCATCTCTCACTGAGTCCAATAGCTCCTTTGCACGACGTCGGATAACAGGAGGAACATGTTGGAAAAACGCCAGTAATGCAGGCATGTCCGATGGAGGCTGTTCTGCGAGTTGAAAAAGGTAGTGGTTGGGTAATACATACCTAAAAAAGACAAACGAATGTTAGCAACTGTATGCTATGCTCCGAAGTTGTACGACTCCGAAACAAGTGGCTTGGTAAAAGGGACCAACCTTGTGCTCTCGTCCTCCTCTCTAGACACTCTATCTCTCCACGCGTGAACAGATCTATAAACTTCTTGCCGCACACTTCCTCTCGCAGAAGCCATGAGTGTGCCTTTATTCCACTTTCGTGCTAACCCGTCCCACCCTCCCGGCCCGCTTCCATCTTCGGCATCATACAGTTCTCTCTCATATACGCGCAGCGCAGTTTCTTCAGAACGAAAAAGAACTTGACGAATGAGCGCGTGAGCAGGATCAGCTGCGGGCCCAGAGGAAGATTCGTTCTGCGATGATTGGGCACGTGACTGAGCAAGGTCGATGAGTGCATTTCGGAGATTGTCGTAAATGAAAAGGAGGTAATGAGTGTCGGAGCGTGCGTAAGCAAGCATTTCATCCGGGAGGGGCCTGCAGCGTGGACATTACATGGGCAACACTGGACAAGTAACTGACGAGAAGCACATACCTCATTCGCCAGTCAGCTAATTGGTACTGTTTATCTGGTGTGAAATCACAATACATCTCGAGCAAGCTTGCAAGACCGTGTTTTGGAAATCCTAGAATAGCACGACGTAAGAAAAAGTCTGCTGTAAAGTGGGATGTACATACCTATTGCCTTGGAAGCATGGAAAGTGTCAAATAAGTTGACAATATAAAGATTGAAATCCTGCTGAAGCCACACGATGTCGCTTTCGGCTCCGTGGAACACCTAGATATAGTTTAAAACAGTGGGCTAATTAAATTTTTCAAAATAAAATAAAACCAACTGAACCCACCTTTACGATCCGTGGGTCCGTAAAAACTTCGTTGAGCTCACTCAGTTCTTCTCTCAATGCCAGAGTGTCCACTATGAAATCCTCATCCCGCGTGCTGATCTGCATCAAACAGAGGAAGCCAGAGAACGTTCTGTAACTGTGATGCTCCAAGTCCACTGCCAACTCGGTGGCTTGACGGAGCTTTTCTAGCATAGCGGAGAAATCAGCTGAAGTAGAGACCCACGACAACGGTGTTTCTTCCAATATTTTAGGAGGTTGGGGAGAACGGATTTGGAACATCGACGGCGGGTAAGGTGTATGTTTGATTTCATACTGATAAGGGTGCAAGTTTCTAGATCACAGATTTTAGTACTCATATACTATGAGCCTACAGCACATACAGTTTTGTTGAATCAGCGTCCTCCTCGGAATCACGATAAATATAACCAAGAGGAACCTGTGCATTGTATTTATGTCGTAATGTAGGATGCCATGGTGAATCGACGGTATTATCGACTTTGGTTTTGAAAGATAACTGTGGCTTGGGTAAATGCGAAGCATGTTGCCATGTAGGGTCCAAACGGCCTCTCGATGCGTTAGGTTTGTGCGACTTTAGGTGTGATAAGATTATGAGTACTACATGTAATAAAACTACCCACTTTTTGTAATGGCAGCTGTGTAGGATTGATGGCTATGGCTGGTGCTTTTCTGCGCCCCAGGAACTCGTCTAGACACGTATCCTATGTAAATTGACATTTAATTAGATCTTTATCTATTCATTGACCATGTAAAGCTCACGGTCCGCTCCAACAACTGATCCATTGAATCGACCACCAATGAGTGAAAGTTATCTACGACATCATCCTGGCTTTCTAACTTCATCTTGCCCTTTGCGCGAGTGCTGTTTGAGGACCCCGTTGTTTCCACCAAAGCCAGTAGATCATTGGCCATGGAAAGTACTCTTGATGAGAATGAATCCAGGTCCTCGGCAAGGTCAGAATTCATGGTCTGATGAAAAGTAAGATCGGAAGGAAGAGATAGTGCATATTTAGTTGCTTTCAATGCAGCGGCTTGAAGTTTTGCGTTGTAGTCATCGAATGAAGACGGCGACAGACCACCGCCTTGGTTCTCCATGGCTAGGAATATCTAATCAGCTGAAAGTGACGAACAGAAATTCCTTGATAGTGGATTGTATAGAAATTGTGCGATGCAGACTGAAGGGAACCACCGTCTTGACTTTGCTCCAGTCAAGCTTTGCGGTCTCTGCTGCCGCTGAGTGAGTGGAAAAAACCATTGCTCACGTGACGGACGCGGAAACGATCCTTGATTTCAGCAGTTTGTCTCGAATATACATACTCCAGCTTTGATGCTTATCCACGCATCTACAGTACTAGCACGTACACCAGCATCTATATTATCACACCTATCAAGGATAGCTGCAAACCATTCCAACGATAACGTCCTCTTCACCCTTTCTGCCAACGCGCCAGAGCTCTCAACGCTCGTTTCTCGGCTTACCAGTATTTCGCCTTTTCACATCGGATGCCTCTCAGCTCCATTACCTGGCCTTCATTCTCAAGGCTTGATTGCGTGCTCTGTCTCCGCTTTTGATAGGAAGTCTTCTGCTTCGTTCAGGTCGACAATTCCTGGCCAAGTGCCACCCCAAGTTGGTCGGTGGCATGCTTTCAGGAAGAAGGAAAGTCTACCGTCGGCTTCAACTCTGGATCTAGAAAACATCAGAAAGGAAGACATCAACTGGGAAAACGTATGGGACAAGCATTCCGGGGATAATATTCTCCCCGAAGGCTTACAGTCCACAAGGTCGTGCTCAGTGATTTCTTAGCCTATATAGTACTTATACCGATGCACGTACAGAATCCACGATGTTAACACACTGATATATATATCTGATACCGCACCAGAAGGCATCTCAAATTGTTTAGACAACTTTCCAAATGCTACCAAAGTCAGTGAACAGCTCGTCTAGGGGTGGAACTTACCTAGGTGCTATTGAAACTATACCAAAGCTTGGCCTCATTGCTTCCTGGACACCTTTTGTCACTGGTAGGCCGGTAACATTGTTTCACGACAAGAACATATACTCGTCAGGGGCTGTGGGTATAGCTTTGACAAATCGCGAAGGTGCCAGCACACCTACCGTTGGTGTCAAATTTTCGGGGCTCACAAGCCTCACACCAGTTTTGAAAGTTACCCGGTCAGCATGTGATCCTTATAATTAAGAGCTCGAATTCTCACCCTTCTTCAAATTAATAGGTCTGAAGGAAACCTCGTGAATGAACTCGATAATATGAATCCTTCGGAACTCTTACTAAATGCCATCAGAATGCATGGCATTGGCGACAGTCGTTCACTCAAAGAAGATAAGTTTTACTTGGGGGCAATGAAACACAATAAAGTATATGCTATCTCTAGAACACGAGACACCTTTTAATTGATGTCCGTATAGCTCGATCAGGTGCACCGTATCCTTGCTGGTGGGCCTTCGCGCGGAACAATCGCCTTGCAGTCTCAGGCAGCCCCGGTAGAGGGTACACCAGTCCAGGTATGTCGCTGATTTTAGTCACACGACTTTAACTGACTGTGTGCAACCAGCTGTTCCATCAACCCAAGAAAGACTCCCCGCAGGATCCTACGGTGTCCCAATGCCAGCCGCCAGGGAATCGCAGCTTTAGCTTCATGGCGACCGAAACGTTGACAGACATAACCCCCGAGCCGAGACACGTGGACCTTGAAGAAGAGCCAGACCGTCTCCTGCTGAACACGTTCTTAGCCTCCAGCGAAAACGGATTCATTCTCAGCAGAAATAGGAATGGTACAAATGAGCCTGTGTGGAGATGTACTGCAACAGGATCGTTGGCCAACTTAAATTGGGCCCATACTTGAATGAAATCCGGGTTATACGGACACATTGAACCGTCGAGGTCTAATGCTTGTAACAACTCTATAATACGAGTTTTTTTACCCGATTCCTGATAGCCTTTCCCGCGTTTCTTCCTTGAGGAGCCCCAGCGCGGGCCATTGTCTTGTTGTGGCAACTAATCCGGCGCTTGCCGAGTGAGGCGTCGTTTCCAGCGCTAAGGGTTACTCATCGCCGCCAACGTCGTTCCCCAACCACCATCATCGTTCTACGCTGTGCGCTGTGGAAAAGCCATTGTATTCTTCCATCTTCTACAATCGTCTTATTGTCTCAATAAGTAACGGCTTTTCTTGTTTATAATTCTACGTCTGCTTTTAAACACCCAACTTGTCTGACAACTCTCTTTGTAAAGCTCTATTTGCTCTAAACATCCACCCGACATCCAAATTTTACAGCGATAATGGGACAAAATACTTCCAGAACCCGTAGCCCGGACTCTCATTCTCACCCGGAAACTCCATCAATGACAACGAACTCGCAGGCCAGCGAGGCGTTCCAAGGCGACTCAGCTCCTCGGGAAGGCGAGAGCTATGGTGCTCGTTCTCCAGCTACAAAGCGTACTCGTCGCCAGTCAATCCAAAGAACCATCATGAAACTCTCCAGCTCGAAGTCTATAAGTGCTGGACGTCAACGGACAGAAAGCGCAGTATCCAGCACGCAGGCATCACGAAAATGGTGGCGGACGTCTAGGAGATTGTCTAAATCCCCCGACGAGCTGAATCGCCTAACGTCAGAAACACCTCTCGATGTTATTCCTCCTGTTGCAGCAAATGCTTCTGAGGATGCTGAGGCGGCGTCATCTCAATCGTTATCTTCCATCGTCGACAAAGGCAAAGAAAAGGAAAAGGAGCCCATAGTAGAGGATGTCATCGATATCGCAGAATCTCAAGCATCGCAGCATGTCTCTCCTCTACCGTTTTCTCAACCCGCTGAATCCTCGTTTTCTACGACGGAACATCTTGGCGCCCCAAGTAGACGCTCTGAAGAATTTGGAGAATCTGGATTAGTCGATGATCCTTCTGAATCAAAGCCTGAGTCGTCTGGGGCACAAGGTCTACCTCTAGATGCTCAAACAGATGATGACGTGGTCATTGGGCCGTCGATCAAATCTCGTGATACCACTACAGATGCTGTGACGGTGGAAGACTGGAGTTCTTATCGGGAGCCAGAGCACCAAGAAACTGAGACGTCCATCCCTTCATCATCGCCTCCATCCAATCCTGCACCTGGCACAGACAATGCCCACACCCATCAAGGACGTCAGTTCCCTCCTCCAGGTACGCTTGTCGTTGTTCAGGGTGTAGTCCACACCACAGATGTTTCGCGGACCGGTATGAATACAAACGCAAACGTCAACTCACGCTCGTCTCCTCGAGCTTCTTCTGTACCTCCCTTGGGATCCCAACGGTCGTCTCTCGCTCCTCCTACGCCATCAAGTGAACGAAGCTCGATGCGGAATAGGCTCTCTGCTATTATACCACGACCGTCTAGCATGCTCTCATCAATCCCTTCCTCCGCTTCAGCGGGTGATATACCTTCGTCAGCTACTTCGTCAGGAACCGAATCCAGTGATGCTTCCTCACGTGCAGAATCGGACACTACAGAAACTTCGCCGTCTAGCTCTGCTCCCGCTCCAGCCAACGCTGACCGTTCAGGTCCTGCCGCTGATAACAATTCTTCTCCAGGATCCTTATCGCCCAGTAGCATCGACGTTCTCGGCACTCTTCTAAGGTGTGTATGAGATGCTAAATCTTTTCGATTCTCCAAACACTAACTCATTACGTGCAGCGTCGCCGCTGCGGCCACGGCTGCATCCCTTTTAACAGGGTCATCAGAGCCCATATTCTCTTCAGGTCTCGCTCCTCCATCTCCAGGTAATTCAGCTCCGCATAGTCCCACGCAAGGTCCACTAAATAGTTCCGATCGTCCTACTTCTCCTACACCTACTGCAGGACTTGGCGGACTTGGTTCGTTTTCGGGACTAGGTCTCGGCGGCAATGAGCATGCATCAGGTCAAGGGCAAAATTCACGTGATAGGATGAGGCACGTTTGGGGTAGTCTTCGAGATCGCTTGGGTCTGAGAGGTGCAGGTTTACCTGGCTCTCGTAATGGTGAGTCAGATCTGGGAACCAGAACCAGGCCTGATGGAACCCCAATGGATGCGAGGGAGATTATGCTCGCAGAGATGGCTAGAGCATTCAATCTTGGTCTTGGGATTAACAATGGTGCTGGCAATTCCCCTCCTCCTCAAACGAACACCCCAGGGAGTACTGTTAATCCTACCACCACGTCTCCCTTATCTGGCGGGGGCTCAGGCTCGGAAGCCCCACAGACTGAAACGATAGCTCCTTCACTGCCGCCACCAGATAGCTTCGAACGTTTCTTAATCGATCTGCAAGCTGATCTCAGAGTGGCCTTGACACGTGGCACAGACACCAATCCTTCACCTCCCGCACAGGCTGAGAACTCCAGTCAGCGGCAATCTGAAGAGGAGTCTCCTGCCACCACCAATGGTACAACGGAAGATCATGTTACAGACGAGTTGGCGGGTGATCGTCCTCCCCCCTTTGCAAATGTTTCGGATTCAGAAGGCGAGGGTGAAGAAGTTGAAGTGGGCGAAGATACTAATTTGGAAGGATCTCGTGGCCAGCATGATGCAAACCTTGATGCAGGCGCGAACGTTATTCCTGATCTCACTCCCGGGTCGACGTCTCGCACTCAACATACCCCAGGAGGTGGCATCAATTGGTGGAGAATGTTCCGCTTCCCACCGATCACCTCGCCCCAAGGGCAAGGCATAGGTCTTCAAAACGGGGGTATTCCTTTCTTCTCACCAATGGCGTCTGCACAGACCTCTGGTACAATCCCCCAGTCCCACTCTGCTCCCACAGCTGCGACACCGTCTGCTACTGGGGAGACGGACGCACACCCAAACACCAATGAGAATAGGTCGAACACGGTTGTACCAGTTATAGTGGTCGGTCTTCAATCGGTTAATATGGACCAGAGGGGCGAGCACGATCATGCTCATGCGCCTGAAGGTGACGGTCCCGATGGTAATCACGACGAAAATGGCCACATGGATTTCGATGACTTTGAAAACATGCCTGAGAATATGCGAGAGAACAGCGGTGATTCGCCCACACCTCGTGGTCGTTCATGGCAATCGCGCGCTGCTAATGCATTCAGGAATCTGAGACCTGGGCGAAGAGGTGCGGCTCAAGCACAAGCAACAGACGCCCCCGGGTCGAGAACATTCTTAATTTACGTTATTGGAGGTACGTTCAATTTCATTGGTAGAATGATGATGATATTGATATGATTTTATATATATAGGATATTATCCACCTGATCATCACATCATTACGGGTGCAGGTAATCTGGACTCGTTTGAAGCTCTATGGTGAGTTATTTTTCCCTTTAGATATCCGTCGGTGATGTAGAATGCTGACTACCTATTTTATAGGGAGTTAGCCGAGCTCCTTGGACAGGTTAAGCCGCCCACTGTCACCAAAGAAGAAATCGACAGGTCAGGATTGGAGGTCATCAAAGCATCCTTACTACAACAATATGAGAAAGATAACAAAGTTGCCTCAAACTGCGTAGATAGAGTACGTTAAGATATCTTTTCTCGTCATCCTTTTGTCGCTTATTGCCTTGCATGATCCCGTTAAGTGCCTAATATGTCTGGATGACTACCGTCCTGAAGAGGATTTACGTGTCCTAGTATGCAGACATGCCTTCCACAAAGGTTGCGTGGATAAATGGCTCCAAACGGGGCGCAATAATTGTCCTGCTTGCCGTTCCAAAGTGAGTTTTGATTCTCGAAATCAAAGAAATAGTAATTCTAATATTTAAATTCCAGGGAGTCGGTAGTGAAACCGGTACCTCTGTACCAAACGTATCCCCCCACGCACCAGCAACTGCATGATCTTACTTGCACCCATCTTTTCATCTCCATAACTTTGCCCTTCTGCGATCTCAGCATCTGACACCATGTAGCATCTCTTTCTCTGTTTCGCTTTCTTCGTTTACTAGTTTCACTACGTGAACATTAATATTTCTTGCTTAAAACTCCCACAAATGATGGCCCACTCAGACATGTACTTTACTGCATACTAGAAATGGACTTAGGAAAGCCATTGATACATGTGGTCGACGCACTCTCGGCCTGGGCCGTCATCGCGTCATCACCAATGGCTTTAGGCCTTTACAGCGGTGATTCCAGCCTCCTTGAGTTTGGCAATCAGTTCATCCACATTTTCCACCTGTTCATAACCGGAGATTTAAGAACTGTGGCAGATCCATGAACGTTGATACGACCTACCTTTCCACCTCCAACGCGTTTCGGCGGTTCTGTCACCTTAAGGGTCTCCAAGCGAGGGGTCAGGTCCACTCCAAGATCAGTCGCAGAAAGCTTTTCAATAGGCTTCTTCTTGGCTTTCATGATGTTTGGTAATGAGGCATACCGAGGTTCTATGAAAACGTCAAGTATAGGGGGGCGAGCCTCAACATAGTACCGGTCACATACCATTAAGGCTAATGCAGACATGCCACGGAGGCCGTTCAGAAAGAAGCTCATACACGTGCTGAAAAACTAACTCACCGGAGATCTGTGGTTACAACAAGAGGTAGCTGACATTTCAACTCTTCCAGACCTCCATCTATTTCTCTCGTGACGTTGGCCACCTTGTCGGCCGTGTTCACCTCTACCTTACTCGCAAATGTCGCCTGAGCCCAGCCCATAAGTCCAGCGAGCATTTGCCCCGTCTGTCCTGCATCGTCGTCTATAGCCTGCTTTCCGAGAATAACGAGGTCGACCCCTTCTTTCTGACGCTCGATGACTGCTCTGAGGGCTTTTGCAATACCCAGAGGTTCTGGCGGTGGGGCAGAGTCTGGGATCTCGACGTGAATAGCGGAGTCGGCACCCATGGCAAGAGCTGTACGCAGAGTCTCTGCTGATTTCGATGGGCCAATGGTGACCACCTTGATAGACTTGACAGCGTCCTTTAGTCGCTCTCGTATCCGTACAGCTTCCTCCACCGCTAAAATCAGGAAGTGAGGATGACTACCTTGAGAACAAACCCCAGTGTGCTACTAACCAATTTCATCGAAAGGATTCTGGTAGGAGGATGGCGTACTATAAATTAAATGAATGTACGTAGGAAATGTCAACTAACCATGGAATGTTTGACATTGAGGTCGATGCCAGTCTGTTGAGGATTAACACGAATTTTAACAGAGTAGTCCACCGCCCTTTACAGCTTCTATTTCAGCATCCTAATAACTGGTCTTAGTTGTCAATGTACTCACCGTTTGATTGGCACGAGGATATTCAACAATCGGGCAGCAGAGGGCCTCATGATAATTAACAACTAGAAAGGCTCGGGACTCGGACGGAACAGAAATTGGGATCCGTACTCATCCCGCCTATTATGTAATGGAGGGCACAGATTTTCACAAGTCATACCGGGGAAACAAATTTCAAGCTGCAGATTCGAACACTAGTATTCACATGTTGTAAATTTCGAAAGAAAATCAAATTGCGTTTCTTTATTCAAATATGACAAAATTACTGCAACCGAGGACCTAACCAACTTGAACATCCCATTCGAAAGGGTTGAGACAGTGGCCCAACAGAATATCAACCCGAAAACACAAACTCAAAGCCACGTAGGCGTGTTTCGATCAAGCCCCATCGGAGCCTCGTTTTCCTTGACGGGTGTCTTGGAAAGTATAGCGGCATGTCTGACAGCTGTCATTGTTCTTCGTGGTTCAGACGCTTCGTTCTTATCACCGACAGACTCTTGGAAAGTCACAGCAAGATCAGCTATCTCCGGGTGTTGTGGTAACGTTCGAGGAGGTATAGGAGGCCCTTGACCAAAAGCAGTTTTTGCGTCAATTAAGCCTAAAGAACGAATCCATTGCCCAACGGAGGCAAGAGAAACTCGAACTTCCCATGAGCCTCCTTCCTACATAGAGAAAACGGTGGCAATTCTGAGTAATCAGTGGCCTGTGATAGGATACAATACATACCGTGACTGTCTTGCATAAAGCAGCATTGATGCCGAACGCAAGGAGATACCCTGATGCGTGGTCTATGGCTTGCATGGGTAGGGGCCTAGGTAATACTTGTTCTTCGTTCATATAATTCGCATAAGCTCGACCTTCGGCGACATTGAATCCTGTGGCGGTTTGGACTAAAGAATCGAACTGTTTTCGTAGTCAAAAAAGTAGATCAAGATACACTCATACTCATGTTGTACGTACACCACGGCGATCTTTCCAAGGGCCTTCCCAACCATATGCGCACAGATTTGCGCACACAATGCCAGGACGCGCTTGTGCGAGATCTTCTGGTCCAAAACCCTTTTCTCGAAGACCATTTGGTCGATAACCCTGCAAAAAGACGTCAGCATCTTTGGTGAGAGATATCAGCTTTTCTCGGTCTGAAGGCAGTGCCAGATCCAACTGAGTAGTCCGTTTTCCTCGTGACGTGTCAATGTCAAGCTGAGGCAAGTCAGGAAGATTTGCCGACGTAACAAGCAGCACGTCTGCTCCATGGGCTAAGACGATCTTTGTGAACCGATTTTGATAGATGCAAAGTTAGACACCCACCTGCCAGCGTACGGCCGCATGTCGGACCAGCAAGCACACGAGTCAAATCCAGGACTCGTATGCCATCAAGGGGACACTGAAAGTCACCCTTAATTTCTCTCTTTGGTGCTTCTCCGATTTTAACCAGATAGACAGGGGGCATATTCGCCAATGCTAAGGCTTGCGGGTGCTTATCCCACTGGTCAAAGGATCGAAGGGCAGTAGCACACATGTTGCGAGATGCAGCTTCTTTCTCGAATTCCACTGCATTCCAATTGAGCAGAGCACTCTGAACAGATTCTCGGGTTGCCTCACACCCAAGGATATCGAGGATACCTTGGCGGTGGCTACAATAATATTAAATAGGGGTCAAAGGTATTAACGAAGCGGCGCACTGGGGGAAATTAGTATGCACTCTAACCCAGGTGCCGTCTCCAGTTTTGTAAAGTCCTGCAATTGGATCCCAAAGCGAGCCAGAACCACTCAGCTTGCCTTCCACAGTGTACCACATTTCACTCTCTATGGAAACAGCTCTCTGAACAATATATTGTATGATAACTTGTAAAGCACTTACTAAACTCTAGAGTAGCATGCCTAGCATCTACGCTAACCTCTTGTTCTACTCCTGTCCGTAGAGTGTGAAAGTACGCGGCAGCTAGAGCAGACAAACCGATTGATGTCTGAAAATGTAAGCAATGACATAAAAGGCGATACATATAACTCGTTGAGAGGCTTGCCTGGGAAACACTACCAATCCTGAAAGATGAGTCTACAGCAGGATCAGGATTTTCACTGAGCTTTAAGTTCGTCAATAAGTCTGGGGGAAGTTGGTTGTTTAACCAGAGTGATCGTGCTGGAGCGTAGCAGTCTGACGAGGAACTGGTCATCGTAGACATCGAAACTTTTGATACCAGTCGCGATATGAACCTTTGACTTATATGTCTGTGTCTCAATAGTGAGCTTAGTCTAACAGATAGTTGAGCGAATATGTCGGGGGTTCGGACACCAGAAGTTGCCGATGTAATCATGAAAACAAAAGGATGAAGTGTGCAGGCTTTATAGATGTGGGAAGCAGTCGAAGCCTCGGTGCACTCCGAGTAAAACCGACGCCTTGAAGCGCCTTGACCCACTCTATGATAATCAAGTCAGTTCCCGCATATAATATCAGAAAACTGCATAACTTACTAGACCCCAGACTGGTGCGTAGCGACATTATAATCTTCGAAGTAATCACGTCGCTTGTTGGAGTTGCAGTTAGTCTGTTCATTACCGTAGCCGGAGGAACTGTGGAGGAGGAGGCATTGATATCCCGTAAGATAAAATCTGCATCACATTGTATACAGCTAAACTTATAAGTGTAGTAGACGGTAATGAGACAAGCTTGATACTGTAGTAACGAAACTTGAACGCGCTCAAGAGAAAGCGCGATAACAATTCACGTGACAGCTCTGAAATCAGCGGAGACGGGTCGGAGAACGAATGATTGACGGCCAGTGCCGTGTCCTGCGACCGAGAACTTCCGACTTGTATAATATTTTGAGTTGCTGCAAACCTTCAATCTATTCCGAATGGTCTCTCGAACGGTGTCGGCGTCGCTTGGGCGTGTTCTCAGGAGCGCAGCGCGCAATCCTGTCAGTATCATTTGTCTCTTTTCAAGAGAAAAACAAGATTTTAACCCATTATTCGTTTCTCAGAGGTCTTTACGGTCATTCGCGACCGCTGCAAACGTTCCCTCACCCATTACAGAAGTTACAACGCTTCCGAATGGCTTGACGGTCGCGACAGAGGCTCACTCACATGCTCAGACAGCGACCGTCGGTGTATGGATTGATGCTGGTTCACGAGCTGAGACCGACAAAACCAATGGAACCGCTCACTTCCTTGAACACATGGCTTTTAAAGGCACCAACCGACGGAGCCAATCTGCTCTCGAGCTTCAGGTCGAGAACCTTGGCGCGCATCTGAATGCTTATACTTCGCGAGAGCAAACTGTATACTACGCAAAGAGTTTCCGCAAGGACGTTGCTGCTTCCGTCGACATTATCAGTGATATCTTGCAAAACTCAAAATTGGACTCCTCAGCAGTTGAGAGAGAACGAGATGTCATCTTGCGGGAGCAACAAGAGGTTGACAAGCAACTTGAGGAAGTTGTTTTTGACCACTTGCATGCTGTTGCCTACCAAGGTGAGCTTAAACCCACGTCGCCTTACCTCCGCAACTAATAGGTCTTCAGGCCAGCCTCTTGGCAGGACTATCCTCGGCCCCAAAGCCAATATCCTCTCAATCAAACGCGATGACCTTTCTTCGTACATCAAAACCAACTACACCACTGACCGCATGGTCCCTAGTTGGTGCTGGCGGTGTTGACCACCAAGAGCTAGTGAAGCTCGCAGAAACACACTTCTCATCTCTCCCCGTTTCCTCGAACCCCATCCCTCTAGGCAAGCTTGCACATGCTAAGTCTGGCTTTGTTGGTGCAGACGTTCGTATTCGTGACGATGATGTTCCTTGCGCTCACGTTGCCATCGCTGTCGAGGGTGTCGGCTGGAGCTCGCCCGACTACTTCCCTATGCTCGTAATGCAATCCATCTTTGGTAACTGGGATCGTTCTCTCGGTGCCTCTCCCCTCCTCTCCTCCCGCCTCTCCCACATAATCTCATCCAACAACCTCGCGAACAGCTTCATGTCCTTCTCCACTTCCTACTCTGACACCGGTCTTTGGGGCATCTATCTCGTTTCAGAAAACGTGATGAACCTCGATGATATGACTCATTTCACCTTGAAGGAATGGACCAGAATGTCCATGGCGCCTACTGACGTCGAAGTCGAAAGGGCAAAGAGTCAACTCAAGGCTGGCTTATTGCTCAGTTTAGATGGTACCACAGCCATTGCGGAAGACATTGGCAGACAGCTCGTTACCACTGGACGCCGCATGACGCCTCAACAAATCGAAAGCGCAGTTGATGCTGTTACGCCCGATGAAATCAAGCGTGTCGCGCAGAAGTACCTTTGGGATAAGGACGTAAGCAATGTTCATTAATCCAGGTAATTATACGTATCTGACATTTACCATGGCAGATTGCTGTTGCTGCCCTCGGTCCCATTGAGGGTCTGTTGGATTACAACCGTATCCGCTCAGACATGTCCTCTCTTATCTACTAATCTGCGAGGTACAGAGTCACCTAGTCCTCGCGGTTCCTGTGGCCAGTCATTTGGTAGCGCAGTTATGATGAGGTCGTAGCTCGGGTCTTAGTATAGATAATACTGTTGTGCACCGGTTTTTATTCTGAGTAGACCATGGAATGAAAATTGTTAATAATTCTTTCTTTTCGATCTCTACGATATACTGTACAGCAGGTTTAAAATAAGATAACAAGAACTGGGTATTACATCAATGCACAAAAAGCTACTTCTGTATGCTGTCAGTGCTTACTGTCCTGCCCTATATGTCTCAAGTGTACCAGTACAGGAATCGTGGAATTGTGATATGTACATGTGGTGCACCTGAACTTGAGCTTAAAGGCCTCTTTTGTACACTAACGCAGACCCATAGTCCAGTCTATCAACACGTCGTTGAAGTTGGGTACGCATAAACAGGGATAAATGATCATCGCGCTGATGTCTACGCCTCGCCAGTACTCTTTGATGTCCCTTTGGACCGGTACTTGACAATCCACGGGTGCTTCAACACATCGGACAAAGCTATCCGTTGTTGGGGATCGTATTTCAGTAGCTGGATTGAACGTGAGCACATGGACCTTGTGAACTTCCTAGCTTCTTACTTTGTAAATAAGATCCCTAGCTTCTGGCGAGATATGTGCAGGTATTCTCAGATCCACCTTGGCAATTCGTCGGTAGGTAGCTATACAGACCATGTTAGTATATTGGAATACACGAGGACAAAATAGAGCTAACCGTTGACGCTGCTCCTATCCTCGAAAGGTGGGTTTCCAACCATGAATTCGTAAGTCAAAACGCCCAATGCCCAGTGATCAACCCTCTCATTATGCTCCCGCCCTTCCACCATTTCTGGCGGTAAGTAGTCAAGAGTACCGCAAAGCGTCATGCGACGGTTGCCAGGTGCGTGGACACTCCATCCAAAATCACCGATTTTCAGCTCACCATTTATCCCAAGTAACAGATTCTCAGGTTTGATATCGCGATGGATAACATGTTTCGAATGCAGGTAAGACAGCGCGTCCGCCATCTGGTCAATGTACCGCGAACTCCTCTTCTCCGAAAAGCAGCCGTGCTTGCTGAGCTGCTTGTAGAGCTCTCCTTTACCTGCGAATTCGAGCATTAAAAAAATCCGCTTTTCGTCGTGGAAGTAGCCATATAGACGCAAGACGTGGGGATGACGTAAATTCTGTTGAATTTCGATTTCTCGCCGAATCTGCTTCTCGACTCGTGATTGAACAATTTCCGACTTGTAGAGGCACTTCAAAGCAAGGATGTAATGAGGTTCGACCTTGGTCCTGACCATGTAGACACGACCAAATTTCCCTTTCCCAAGTGGCCGACCGATATCAAATGCAGGCAGACTCCACTCGCGAGTGGGTTGCCTACAACGACGTGTGAGACAAACCGAATTCCTCGCCATTTACACATACCTCGAAGTACTCGAATCCAGGGCAAGATCTACAGCAGCCTGCCCGTAGACTTTCTCTCCCCTCTTCTCATTATCAAGCTCAAACCCTCCATCGTAACTACCAATATCAAGTCCTCCTTTCCGTGACGTGGTGGCGTTTTTAGTGGACGACGCTGTAGGCTTCGTTCCGTTTGTCTGGTTGCGCAAAATCGATGAAGGTGTGGGTTTGACGGCGTGGGGGTTAGGAGCAGCATATTTTGACAAGAGTTTGGAGACGTTGGTTTGACTTGGTTGTTTTATGTGTCCAGGCCGCGAAGGCCCTGGTTGTTTCTTTGAGGAGATTTCGAGAGCAGCTATCTGCTTCGTGACCGCTCCGATAGTAGTCATTGTAACAAAAAGGCAGAGAATATGTATATAATGATACCTTCCAGGAGAACAACAAGACAGACAAGGCCGAAGGAGTGGCTTAAAAGCTGTGGACAGCAGATAATTGACGGACAAGCCTCGAGGCGGAACAAGATATTGGTTCGACTTTTCATTCTCCGCTGAACCCGCAAACGCGTCGCGGTCACATGACCGTAGAACTCCCCTGTCTTTCTGTTTCAGCTCTTCGAACTCGACACTGACTACCTTAGCATATACTTAGGCAAAGCTATCCAGACTGAAAAGATACGTATACTTTTTGTATACAAGACTACAGCATAGTCAAAAGTCCGTAGATTTGAGTGAAGAGCTATCCAGGTTATCATGATTGTAGCTTCAATAAACATATTCGTAATCGATCCACGATGGTCTACCCAAGAAAACATCATCCATCGTAAAGTTTTGTGCTTGTATGTTTGTCAAGATGTGATCCTGTGGTACCCTTGCCGACGTATTCCCTCCCAAACCTTACGGCAAAAAAAAATCAGCCGACCGACCTTATACTCTGTAAGAGTAGTACTCACCATATGAATCATATTCTGCATAGTAAGTTGTATTTGGGACCGTGGTTCTGTTGGTGGTGGAGTCAATCTATTGCTACCGTCATCGAGGAAAACGGGTACGCACTCGCCATCCCAGGGAGTGAAACCTACGGGTTGAATACTTTCATCCATATACGTTCGAAGGTACACTGCTACAGCAAGAACATTCCAAGGACGACCTGAAAATTTCATCCTGTTACCACTTGGCCATACTAAATTTGCAGAATGGGTATTTACCCAGGTAGCACGAATAGTCCGTCACTGTAGTAGCGTTCGCGTCCGGTGACTGAAATAGTAAAGTTGTGAGATATGCAACATAGCAGTTATGGCGTACATACCCGTATGATTCTAGAGTCGGAGATATAAGCTCCGTATCTGGTATCGTTGGTTCCTTGCCACGCTGTTATACCTCCGCCACAAGCACGGTTAGCAAGCGTGACGGATTGGAACCATCTATCTATCTTGTTAGCATGGTTCAACATAGAACTAAGAAATTGTCTTACGCTGTGCCAAACCCGAAGAGATCTAAATGCATGCTTTATGAGGAATCGTATTCAAATGAACTTTGAAAAAACTTACAATCTGTTTGACCATAAATAATACTATCGACAGCGTAGGTACTCGCTCCATGGCCCGTGTACCATGTATCTTGATAGCTTGCAAACGCACATCCATAGAACGAAGCATTGGCATACATGATTGATGTCACCAGAGCTTGAGATATGGAGTAGTTGGCCTAGATATAGGTAAGTTCCTGGACGAGGGAACGATACAAAATAACACGGACAGCACGGTTCTCAAAGTCAATGTTATAAGCTCTGAAATTAACATTGCCGAAAGGCTGGCCGGCGGGTGCCACGGTCAGAGTTGCTGTCTCTTCGTCGGTCAAGTTATCCTTGACATATAAGTTGTTCCAGATTTGTACAAGGTTGCGAGTAGATGCATTACCAGCTGGATCAAATGCCGTGGAGGGATCCAGTTGGCCCTGTTCGTTAACGTTGATGTTAGGAAGGTGAGGTTGCCAACAAGAGTGCAGTATATACCAAAAGTGTCAAGGGATCTGTTCGTGTGACGTTGACCATCTCAAAGTATTCGCCAGCCCCGACAAGGATTGTAGCATCGCCTGAGTCGGGTCTGTAGACATACCACCGAAATAAGAGGATATTCTGCTTCTATCACACACACAAAGGACATACAGCGATAAGACAGCCTGCTGAACACTGGTATAATTTGCGCGTGAGTCGCTCGGAGAAACGTAGAGAGTGCCTGCAGGACATCCTTCCAAAGGTGATGACGATGCGGGTTTTTGAAGCTGGCAGTCTATGAAGGCCGGTGACAATGCGTAAACACGCGAAAACTGAGAAAATATGGAGAGGAGTATAAACGCAAGTGCTTTCATTTCTGCGAAGACTTCGTACTTGGTGAGCCAGGAAAAATAAAATCATGTTAGTGTAGGCTGTTTATGTATGCAAAACAACTGGATGTGTGTTTAACCTGGGATTTGGTACGGGCCGCTGCTAGGCAGCACCGGGAGCGACGATGCCCAGGGTGTGATCACGCGCTATCATAGGCTCAAAATAAGTGGTTGGGAATATCTGTTCTGGCGTTGTCCACATTGTTGCAGACAGTTTGCAGAGAAAACTAGCGCCGACGGACGCAAGAACTTATCGTGGGTCAGATTACACAGCCACAAAGATAGTGGATTATGTCAGCGCACCGTGACCGACTTTACTGAACAACCTTCAAAGTTTCTAATATTCCTGCTCCATACCTCGCACCCGTATCAGGCATAGTATAGTGGTAATACAGGACAGTGGAAAGCAGGTGGAAAGCATGTCGTATGCCGACGAATCCCGAATAGGAACTCTATACATGGCACTCAGAGAAGCTCCATCATGTCCTCCGAGTCTCATAATATTGGCTGGATCAACAGCTGATCAAGCCCGGGCCAGAGGTGAATATTCGGCTAAGTAGTGCGCTGCGACATATAAAAATGAGCTTCAAGGCTCAAGCTCGGGAGAACGACAGTTTGATATGTTCCCACTCTTCCTACCCATCTTTCTGCTGGTCTCCATCGTTCGTGCCGATGTCGTTGAGGTCCCAGCCTCTTCTTTCAATAGCTATGGCGAGCTGGAGACTTACTGGGATTACCTATACCCCTGGGGCTCTGATCACAATGGAGGTAAGTATGACCGAATTTTGGCCAAGTAGATGGCATGAATATAAATTACTTTTTACAGCGGCACGCATGGTTGGCAACTCGACTGACCATTCCCGCATCAGCGTTGCATCTGGAACACTGACCTTAAAAGCTACTCCAGTGACTGGTCAACCTCCCAGCACCGCTGCTCCTTATCCCGCTATCAACTATTTCTCCGGCGCCATTCACGCCAAGGAGCAAATTAATATTAATGGAACCGACGCTGTAGGATACCAGGTCGAGGGTGAATTTAGTTCTCCTACTGCAGTTGGCGTAAGGGTATTCATCATCGCTCTATTTTTCACCAATAATAACATTTTTTGCAGTGCTGGCCCGCTTTTTGGCTCACTGCCGTCAATGGCTGGCCGGTATGTTCGCGCTAACGCTACTGTGCTCGATTGTTTTGCTCAAGGTGACGTACCATTAGCCTGAAGCAGATATAGGCGAATGGAAAGGTATGCAATAGCGTGATAATGACTTGGGGTCTCTTTCAAGCCTTTCAAATTTATAGGTACCAACAACAGCTGGTTCAACACATTCAACACCTCAACCGTAGTGGACACGACTATCGTCAGTTGGCCTGGAGACTACTCCTTCCACTCTCTGAAGGCCGTCCTCCGAGTGATCCCGAATAATACGCAAGACCTTTCCATCGAATATTATAAGGACAACGTACTGGAGGCAACTCATATTGCTGCTAACTTCTATGGAGCACCGATGTGGCTGTGAGTAGATTTTTTCTTCTTGTGTGTCGTGCTCAAATGATCTAAAAAACCGATAACATCAAACAGCATCGTGAATCTCCAGGTGAGTTCACGTTAGAATAACGTAGTATTGGACTAGATCTAATACGCATGCTTAGATGGAAGGGAGTTCTGGGACTCCAGGTCCAGCAAATGGTGCTACTTATCAAGCTCGTAACGTCCAGGTCACCCGTTTAACTACTTAGGCATCGTTCATGTTCGGCTTTTTTCTCCGCTGTTTGCTGTTGTACATCCTATGGAACGTGTATTGGTAAAACCATTATAAGATAAAATGCTTGGTGAAACCACAGATCGCACAACTCTCCTCGCCAGTAGGCTACGCTGGCTTTTCACAGCGTGACCATGGTTCTTTCCTTGTTCTTGATTATGTACGATACTAAATCTTATACTTTGTCCAGATCTCAAGATATTCCTTAACGTGGAGGCCATCATATTCAATCATTCAATCTAACATAGTCATTGATCTTCAAGCTTCCTTTTTCTCGAATCAGATACAACACATTCGTACGCTGCTACATCGGTAACATTTGTGATTACACTCTCCCTATCATCCAATGTGCTTTTCTTGTCTTCAAACGTATATCGTATATGATGCTGCAAGTCCTGAGGCTTGGGCTCGTCCTAGACTTTGTGGATATCCCCGCCTGAATCAATGCTAAAGAAAGCAGGTGAATAGTGGAAGATGCCTTCTCCAACGCAATGATACAATCCTTGCTTACCAATGACAATGGCATAGTAAAGCTGTGGACAGCGGTGCTGAAAAAGTCGATGCGGATTACTGGATTGGCTTAGTAGCACCGTACCGTATGCTATGTAAAGCATCATAGCAGACTACATCGCTCCGCTTCTTCCACTCTTGCTTATTAGTCTTGCTTATAGTTGCACACAGACTTGAAAGGGTATAGAGCCGCTGAACCGGCCAGAAAGCTTCGTTGTTTTGATAAATAAAGACGTAGATAAATGCGAATGTGCCCCATAACTAATTAAGCAAGTTGAACCACTGATCTCTGCATTATAAAGGGTATATCTCGTGAAGAACGTTTAGTCGAAGAACGTTTAGTCAAGTGCGACATCACGGCTTTGCAAGAGCGACTCGATCTCGCTCACGGTGCTCTGAATTTCAGAGGTGACTTCGCTGGAGAGATCGGCACGTTTGCCAGCAGTAGATCCAGTCAAAAGCGACTTGATATCAGCCTCGATGATGTTGATCAAGCTCTGGAGACCCTCAGAGGAAGCCGAGCTGAAGTTAAAAAGTGATATTAGTAAACCATCTCGTGGATATACGTAAGGCTGCACATACTCGATGAGTGAGTCGAGGACGGTGGCAGCACTCTGAGAAATAAGTCCCTGTTGCACGCAGGTGGAAACGAGAGTCTTGAGCTCGGTGGCAGCATCCTGACGCTTGGTGGGCGTCGACTTGAGCGAAGCAGCGGCGCTCTGGATGTCGGTCTCGATCTGAGTTAGCAGGCTCTGGAGTTCTTGGGCAGAGGGAGCAGACCTGGAATGATAATATAAGACACAGCGATACGCAGTGACGTCAAACAGTAGACTTACGCAAGGGCAGAAGTAATGGCTGTGGCATCGCTCTGAGAGATGATACCTGCAGAAACGGCATCTGCGATGAGGGTTGTAATCTCTGTAGTAACGTTCGCCTGGCGCTTGGTGGGGATAGTCAAGGAAGAAGCAACGCTCTTGATGTCGTTTTGAATCAGAGTGAGCAAGTTTTGGAGCTCAGAGGAGGAAGCAGCGCTGCAGATCTGATCGATGACGTTGGCCTCAGTCTGAGAAATCACACCCTGAGAAACGGCAGAAGCGACAAGGCTCTCTATCTCCGACGTGATGTTCGCCTGGCGCCTTGTGGGGAGAGTAGTGGGGAGAGTCAAGGAAGAAGCGACGCTCTTGATGTCGTTTTGAATCAAAGTGAGCAAATTCTGGAGCTCAGAGGAGGAGGCAGCGCTGCAGATCTGATCGATGACGTTGGCCTCAGTCTGGGAGATGACACCCTGAGCAACGGCAGTGGCGACAAGGCTCTCGATCTCGGATGTAATGTTCGCCTGACGCCTTGTGGGAAGAGTTGCGGGGAGAGTCAAGGAAGAAGCAACGCCCTTGATGTCGGTCTGAATCAAGGTGAGCAAATTCTGGAGCTCAGAGGAGGAGGCAGCGCTGCAGATCTGGTCGATGACGTTGGCCTCAGTCTGGGAGATGACACCCTGAGCAACGGCAGTGGCGACAAGACTCTCGATCTCCGACGTAACGTTCGCCTGGCGCTTGGAAAGTGAAGCACCAGAAGCAGCCTCTGCGATTTCGCCCTCGATAGTGGTCAACAAACTCGCCAAGTCAGTAGGATCGGTAACGCTGTTTGCTAAATGTCAGAAAAAAGTTTCTCGACGTATATGAAGTACAACTTACTTGACAATTTGACCAATCGAGTTAGCTTCGGATTGGCTCATAAGGCCCTGCTGAACGGCACTGCTCACCAGGCTAGTGATCTCGGACGCAATGTTTTGGCGTTTGTCGCCGTGCCACCAGGTGGGGACGGGGGGAGGAGAGGGGATGGGAGGAGGACTCCAAGTAGGGACTGGAGGGGGAGAGGGAATCGCAGGAGGACTCCAGGTAGGGACGGGAGGAGGAGAGGGAATCGCAGGAGGACTCCACGAAGGGACGGGAGGGGGAGTAGGGATCGCGGGGGGCTCCCAATCCTTCACATCTCTCTCCCACCATGTAGGGACGGGAGGGGGAGAAGGAATAGGTGGTGGTGTCCAAGAAGGAATGGGAGGGGGGCTAGGGATTGCAGGGGGAGTCCAGTCCCTCTTCGAGCCAGCAGCAGATTCAGCGCTCTTGATTTCGTCCTCGACAGTGGTAAGCAAGCTCTCCAAGCCAGAAGTGCTAGCAAGGCTACAAGGAAAGTAAACATCAAACGCAAATAAGGTTTTATTTGAAGCAGATCTTACCTGGCAAACTGCTCGATCATGCTGGCGTCGCTCGTAGACATGATGCCGTCCTTTACGGCCTCGTTAAGGAGGCTAGTGATATCAGCGGAAACATTCGACTGACGCTTGTCACCGTGCCACCAAGTAGGGACGGGCGGGGGGGAAGGAATGGGAGGAGGGCTCCATGTCGGGACGGGAGGGGGGCTGGGGATTGCAGGTGGGTCCAGTCCCTCTCAGCGACCCTCTTTCCGTGCCACCAAGTGGGGATGGGAGGAGGCGAAGGAATGGGAGGGGGGCTCCAGGTCGGGACGGGAGGGGGGCTAGGGATTGCAGGTGGGGTCCAGTCCCTCTCAGCGACCCTCTTTCCATGCCACCAAGTGGGGATGGGAGGAGGCGAAGGAATGGGCGGAGGGCTCCAGGTTGGGACGGGAGGAGGGCTAGGAATAGGAGGGGGGCTCCAGTCTCTCTTCGAGTTTTCTTTGGTACTGCAACGTGTAAGGTCAACTTAAGTTGTTCACGGATCACGAAGGATGAACTTACGGAGCTGCGAAGACAGGTGCAGCAGCGGCCACCAAGGCGGCTGAGATGGCAATGGAGGAACGCATTTATAATTAATATCCGCGAAAACAATCAGTAGTGATTATCGTGATATAACGAAGGCCGTGGATGGGCAGTTAATGAGCGAATGAACAGACAGACTGGAAATCAACGTTAGTGGAGTCGGAAGGAGAAAGGACGAGAATACTCACTAGCCAGTACCTGCGTTACTAGTTGAACCGAACGAAAAGAGGGAGAATTGTTGAAAAAGCATCGATTGACGCTCTTTTATAAATGCTGACATTGCGGTTAAATTTTGATGTAACACATATGAGCCTCATGCTGTAGTAGTCGCATAGCCTCCACTAGGCCAGACATCACAGCCCCAGCGAAGAGAGACCTGACACCTCCTGATACGCGTTTATAGATGGCAATGTGATGCCAACGTCAAAAACCTTGGTTACGGTGAGTAATCTGCACATGGCTTAGTGATAAAACCGACATCATCTCTCTGGTATGATGCACTCACTTCAAATGGCTCCAATAACTCCGGTAGTATGATCGAGCGTATTCCGGAACACCACACCTAAAATTCCTCGAGACTTGTCACTCACTGCATTTACACCAACATTGCCACTACCACGCAACAAGTTCAAATCTTGTGATATCGATATAGTACTATAGTACTATGGCTTGGCTTTCATTTTCCGTCGAGTATCGCTCAAATCAAAGATTGTCTGGTATATTTCTTCTTGAGTGTCCGGATCAATGATCCTCTGGCGTCTAACTTGATTCCACTCGAGCAGCCGGTACCATACGAAGATGTGGAAGACCTGCTACATCCCAACGGTCTGATGCGCAATCTTCGTCATTACCCGATCAATTGTAAAGTTCTTCCCTTAAGAAGCTTGGAACACATTGTACTAGTAGCACGTCGAGCCCAGAGATAAGTATATTGGAGCGATCATGAGCAAATTCGTAAGCGGAAGCGTTTCAGAGACATGCAGTGGGGCCCAAATAATTGACACGGAGTGGAGATAGGGAAAAAGCAGATTCGCATCCCCAGTGTTCATGTCAGCGGTGCCAATACACGTGGGACTTGGTGGGGCGTGTGTAACAAGCGAGCGAGCTGACATCGCTGACACCGGAGACTGGCGCAAGTGTCATCATTGTCACATCACTCAGTAGAGCTGAGTAAGTAACTGCTGTCTGTCAGTTGTAGTATCTGATAGGGACTATTCAGCTGTCAGCGTCAGACATAGTTCACTTTACTGTACTGGAGCATCCAAAATGGGTATAAGGTCGACATGGATTCTCTTCAAGATGGTTGACTCATTGTTGCAAAGTGCAGGCACTCAGTACACGTAATCATAATCAATCCACTGAGGCCTCTCTAAAAACACCCCATCTATCGTAAAATTGCGTGCTTCCGAAGTGTCCAAGACGTGCTCGATAGACACTCTGGCTGACATGTTAGCACCAGGTCCTGCAAAACATGGTCAACTCTATGACAAGTCACGAATTGTTGGCGAACTTACCATAAGAGTCATATTCCGCATAATATGTCGTGTTTGCGATGACAGGTCTGCACGATCTAGTTAGTGACATCGACTCCCTATATCTCTGTGAGAATGTCGCACCGAGCGCTATCGAATGGCTCAAACCCAGCAGGTTGTACACTGTCGTCCATGTATGTCCGCAGGTAGACTGTAGTCGCGAGGTCGTTCCAAGGACGCCCTTGTAATAAAGCATAAACAAAAGGCTCAAAAAGCCAGAGCAAGAAAACCAACCTAACCAACACGAATTCTCAGTGACAGCGGTAGCATTAGCATCAGGCGACTGTTGAAAAGAAGATGGTGAACACTGGTCACAGAATATGGGCAGAAGTATCGTACGCGAATAATCTTCGAATCCGATATATATGCTCCATAGCGATTCCCTGGAGCGGCGGTGTAATTAGATCCTTTCCATGCAACAATTCCTCCACCACATGCCCGGTTAGCAAGTGTTATTGACTGAAACCATCTATGCTATCGATTAGGTATTCTTATCTTTCGCGACGAGTTTCAGATGGCTTACGCTGTGCCAAAACCAAATAGATCTGCCAACTTAGGTGATAAGAGCGACAGTCTCCAATAAGTGAACGGGACTCACAGTCTGTTTGACCATAAATAATGCTGTCAACTACATATGTACTTGCATTCCGGCCAGTATACCACGTGTCCTGGTAGCTAGCAAAAGCGCAGCCATAAAACGAGGCATTTGCGTACGATATATCTGTCACCAGCGCCTGCGAAATCGAGTAGTTTGCCTGATGAGATGAAGATGAGATTCATCTGAGTAGGCAGTGCGCATAAGGTTTGACACGAACCGCCTGATTTTCAAAGTCGATATTGTACGCTTTAAAATCCGTGTTTCCAAAGAGTGGCTGAAGAGGGGCACCATTGGTTCCTGCGCCGATTAGCGATGCATTGAATGATGGTGCAACAGTCAGAACGGCAGATTGCGCATCATCCATTCCAGTGAGTACATATTTGTTGTTCCAGATCTGCACTAAGTTACGACTAGACGCGTTTCCAGCTGGATCGAAGGCAGTACTGGCGTCTAATTGACCCTGTTTTCAAGGTGACATGCGAATCGACTTCAAGAGAGTATCACACTTACGAGAAGGGTGAGAGGACCTGTGCGAGTTACATTAACGGCTTCGAAGTACTGTCCTTCACCAATCAGGATAGTTGCACCCCCGGTCTCGGGTCTGTGACATTTATACAGCATGAGTAGAGTGACATGAGACAGCACATACAAAGACTCCACAGCTTGCTGGACAGTGGTATATTGGGCTCTGGGGTCATTTGGGGAAACAAATATGGTGCCTTCAGGACAGCCCGCCAGAGGTGATACTGTGTCAGCCTTTTGTAGCTGGCACGCGATAAAGGCAGGTGACAAGGAATAAACCTGGGCCACAAAAAAAGCAAATATGAAGGCAAGATCCTTAAGCATTTTCCGTCCAAGTCCAGTGTACAGTTTCGAGGCCTCTCCGGTAGAGTTTATATGAAGGCAATGGCGGCCCGCCACATCCCGTCGATTGAATCGTTGAACACACACTCAAGTTTACCCAGTATATCACGAGGGCACTAACCAAATATAACATGAGATAACTGTAGCCCAATGACCGCTATGAAGCTTCCTGCAGGTCGCTCGAGAATTTCAGTGCAACTTGATATATCTCATCAGGGTCCGGCAGATTGGGTCAGGGTAGTTCATTGCAGCGCCGACGAAGAAAACCTGAGCAAAAGACAATTAAGGTACGTCAATGCTTCGTGGCAAAGCGCAAGGAATGTTGCAGCTCTGAGGGAGCGAAAGAGACTTTGCTCGCCAAAGACAGAGGAGCTGTTGTGTCGTGACCACGTGGCCTCGTGGCTCCCATGCGCCACTGGCACAACAACAGTGGTGGTTCACATGCCATGAACGCCCAAAGCCGAACGCTGCGCTGAGCACTGTGGCCTGCAAAGAACTGCGTTGACATTCAACTATAATCTTACCTCTCTACTATTCCGCCCTCCAGCTCGTCATTCTTTTATACGTGCTACACTAAGCCATGAGCTTTCAAGACATCGAGACTGGACTCGCTAGGCCCGCCCAGGCCAATTCAGTCACCCCACAGTCACGGGAAGACTCTGCTTTCCTAAGCTTACAATCTTCGCTATCCCTCCAAGTTTTCAAGATCAATTCCAATGTACAAGGTATACTCAAACTCGTTGATCAGTTGGGGACCAACAAGGACTCAGCGACTTTAAGAAAGTCCTTGTACGTCTGTCTATCGTTCGTGGGCCAGCTGAGTAACAGACCAGAATGTTTCTTGACCTTCAAGGCATGATCTAACAGAGACGACGCGGGCGATGGTGAAGCGTGGCTCTGATGACTTGAAGAAGCTCGCTTCACTGCAAACCAGTAACGTGAGTGTTCTGGTTATTGCTCTCCCTTAACTTCACTCGACAGTGACTAACTGAATCTATTGACTTTTGGACGTACGTCACAACAGCCACAGCACAAGACATCTCTACAGAAGACCTCGCACGATTTGCAATTGTCTTTGGTGGCTTTTCAGCGCGCTCAGCAGGTTAGCGCGGAGCGTCAGCGAACCGTCGTCGAAGGCGTCAAGTTGGCAGTGGAAGACGAGACACCGTTCGTCCGATCATCTTCTTAAGAGCTTCGTCTGGAATTTCTGATGTAAGATTATCAAGTCGCGAAAGTGAGGTAAACAGGTCACCACAGCAACGACAAGCTCAGCTACTTCAGTCCCAGTTATCTCCTCATGAGCTTGCTTATCAAGAATCTCTGATCCATGAACGAGAAGCAGAGATTCGAGAGATCGAGACCGGCATTCATGAGCTGAGCGAAATATTCCGCGATTTAGGTACTCTGGTCAATCAGCAAGGTAGCATGTTAGGTATGTATCTGTAGCTAAGAAGGTTCGCCGAAATTCCGGGTACTCACAACTTGCCATTACGCTCTTAGATAATATCGAATCCAACGTCTATTCGATTGCAAATGATACGCAAGGGGCTGCCGAGGAACTCTCTACTGCATCAGAATATCAGCGAAAAGCTGGTCGAAGAGCGGCGTGCCTAATGATTATCATGGTTGTCGTCATTGCGGTTGTTTTGTTGGCGGTACGTACTTCAATATCATTAGCACTGATAATGTCTCTAAACGGCATAATCTGGTCCTTGGCAGATATTATCATAGGACAGCATCGTTCCCGATCTTTATGTCATGCAGTTTGTGATTTTTCTATTAGAAGGACTTACGTTGGTATTATAATTTCTCTCTGTGTTTATTCATAATGTCTATGCCAGCGAATATCTGATCGTCAATCTGATGTACCTTGCACCCCTGTCCCACAGACTCATTCCCAAAGCGTTTCCTCTTGTAGGTGAGTTTTTCTCATATTCAACTTTACAGCAAGTCGCAGAACTGCCTATGCTTTTAGTTGATCATGAGTGTAGTCTCTTTGGGACAATTTAGTTGATGTTGACGCCCTTTAGAATTTACGGGTTTTGCCAGTGAGACTATTTGTGGTTATCATCTTCCATGCGATATTTGTGTCTTCTCTGTGCGGATATTTTTTTGCTTCTACAGGGCCTTGAAGTTGTCGAGAAAGGGCGTGTTTTCGTTGATGCTTATAATATAAGGTAATACACGGTGGATACAGCTGTTGGACTGTGTTTGTAACATTTGGCATAGCTGCCGATGGGGCATTATGACATGCCATGGCAGTTCTTTGTTACCCCAGATCGTTCCTTCGAATTTTCTTTCCTGAAAGGGGAGTATGATGGCGAATTACAACGCAGTCACAGTTGCACAGACACTACAGCACCTGATGTCGGACCTTACAGCCTCCATGCATGTCGGTGACCTAATATACGGTGTAGTGGGCGCTTCTCGGCCAAGGTTTATGGATATAAGAGCTACCCTTTCCCCAATATGTCTACAGCGTCATTTATTGAGCGTTTTGCCCCCTCACTGACAGTCTCGACTCTCAGAGGTCTTCTTTTTAGCGCTGCGCCGCTTAGGCCATAGGCTCACTTCACTCGAAAATGGTAGTGCCAGCGCTGACTGAGACAACCACGAGCTTGGCTGAATTTCGGAACGCGTGAGTGTTTTTAGCAGTAGTGGTCTCGCAAAGCTCGTTGATGCCCTTGTCACATTGTCCAGGTACAGTACAATTGTAAGGTGTCGCTTTGACAGGAGCGACAGCATGTTAACACCGAGTCGTATATTTGGACTTGCAGTATGTTGGCTTGGCAGGCTTCACTATATTAGTCTGGGATCACTTAATTACATTTGATGATGAGGTATGTCTCCACCTCTGTGAGACACAATGTTAATGCTCAAAATCTATCCTCGCATTATAGGTGGAATTTATATGGAATCAACCCAAAGGCCGCTGTGAGTCACTGCTTGCGACATCTCGTTATATTTCGTTGACATGATTCTTTGCAGTGATATATCTGTTTTTCTTCGTACGCCCCTATATTATGCGAGATTTTGTGGCATGATACACTGAACGGTAATACTTCCAGAATCGGTACATTACACCTCTTGGGTTTATCGTCAACCTTGTTGGTACGTTTTCTTCATCATGAATATTGTGTTAATAGAATTGCTGACGGGCATAACTACACTGACTGTAGCATATTCATCGAATTGGTCTCAAAGCGTGAGTTATTTCTGTCACCACAGCAGCTTTTGCTAGATTAACGTTTGGTTATCTATTTTGCCTTAGACGTTCGTGCTAAGTTTCATTTAAATTATCCGCCGATTCTGATAATAGAATGTAGGTGTTCACACTTCGTACGATATGAAGGAGCCATGACTTTGTTGGGCATCCTCGTCGCAGCGTTAATGATGCTAATTCGGTGGGCTGCTGTGTATCCTATCAAATTCGGCTGGAAAGTGACATGAGGCTTATAGAGTTCACGGCATGTACCACAACAACAAGTCACTAATTGCTGCGCTCGTGCTTATTTTCCTTGCATGGACGGGTGTGAGTGCATGGCTACTTGCAAAGGCTGGCTGTGAGTATTTTCATTGCTATCTGCACGGGAAAGTTTCTGAGCCTTTTGCAGCTGTACCTCACGAGGGTATATCATGTAGGAAAATTCAAGTGCTTTGTTCACCTAAGCTAACATATACGTTATGACAGCTTGCACTATGCTATTTGATCCAAATATGCAAGTTGTTTCATTATATCCTGAACCGCAGCTACTTATACCTCGGGCTATAGGCTAAGCCACATAGCATCATCTTCAGCATGGTTTCCTCTCATATTTGATACTGTTGTGTTTATCGCAACGATGTATCGAACGGTACCATCAATAAGACAAAAAGAAGCTGGGTATATTCTTCGAATCATGCTTGAAGATGGTTTGCTGTATTACAGGTATGTCGAGTGAAAGATAGTGGTATTATATTTACTGACAGGTGGAAACAGTATCATTTGCGGTGTAAATCTTGTTTTGACTATCATGATTGTTCAGGCACCTTCAGGTTTACAAAATATCACTGCCCAGTAAGTGATCACAGCCAACCATGTGTGGATTGTTGCGCTGAACATAATGTCACTAGACTTGAATTACTGTGAGTCCTCATAATTCTATTTGAAGTATGCTGCTGACATAAACCCAACCCTCTTGACGAGTCTAGTCTCACAGTACGGCGTTTATTAGTGTCTCTTTCAGCTTCACTGACGTCTTCTACTGTAAGGTCACGATGATGTCACGCATCACTTTGCACTTGAAGAAACAAGCTGCCCGTGGTTATTCCAACTCCGCAGGTTCTATAGTTCATCCGATATCCTTTGCACGCCCTCGCACCAGTTCCCATCATTCTGTGCGACCACCGTCGATAACAACGTTCCGTCCCAGAGCTGGTTCATCGTCGTCTGCAAAATCCCTTGGGTCTGCCATCAGATTCCCGGAAGCGTATGATGGAAGACAGGATCAAGGCTTTCGCCTGAGCACGATATTATCCGAAAGTAACACACCTAATGTTCGAACTCCAGAGGATTGTTTGACTCCAGCTGACGAAGTTGGACCTTCATGGGAAGCGCCAGGATTCTACGAGATGAGACAAGCTAGGGTGGAAAGGGACATGGATGTGGAGGCATAATTGCATTTCACTACTTGGTTTAAATTTGTATTTGGTGCCTGTTTTGTAGGAATACGTGTACAGGTACTTGCATTAGCAACACATACTAGAAGTATGGCGTTGTAGTAATTATGACTACATACATGTATATATCAGTAGTATTATTGGGATGTGGCCATCCATTGCCAGTGGCATGGACCACTTGTAGATTTTTTGTTAGTTTAGCTTGGAGTTCAGGGTTTTGGAAAGCTCTAAAATAGTCAATGAATCATTTGTGTATTGTAAATAGTGAAGATAGGGTGTGTGAGGACACATTTTCAGGCAGTCAATCCTGAGGTAATAAAAGAATAGTCAGAGCAGGCAAGCTGCAAGGGGAACATCACAGCTTACTGATCAAGATCAGACAGACAGCTAGGACTTGGAGCTAGTAAGGTGCCAAAGGCCATAAGTGTGAACCTCTAAACCTTCAGACATCTCAGACTGAACTCCCTTGTTGTAAAGTTTTTATGGCCTTATGTGTTCACTTGGTCTTATAATTTCCTCAAACTTTCACACAGGTGAACTTAACCATGACCTTTGGAGTTGTCGGAGCTTGTAGGGTGAAGTTACAAGGTGAGTGTGGAACAGAGTACGGGGTTGTGAGTTGGCTTAGCTTGTGTGCTAGATGTAAGGACCATTTATTATTTTCTCTATGTCGTGGTTTTCGAATGCTTTTCCCATTACACCTCTGGCTCTAGGGCTGGAGGTATCATTTGCTATTTTACTTCTCATAGCCCTCACAGGCTTTCTCAACCATCATTACCACTTTATATCGCAGATCAGAGACTGGGTATCACTCCCAGCCAGCCAGCACAATGGGTAAGGGCTGGTGGTAGACATCTCGCCAACCAGCTCCAAGCTCCATCAGTGCCTGGAGATACTAATAGACACTTTAGTCAGGATCATACCTCATCATGAGGATACGGTTCCTGAACACGTGTGACAACACTTATTATTAGTACACTTTCCCACCTGCTGATTAATCTTCAAAGTCGTACGATAGTTATCCTTTTTCTTATTGGTTAATTTTCCCTTCAGACCACTTTCCTTTTATTCTTCTTTTGGTCTGAGGGATAGACGGTTAGCTATAAAAACCCTACATACTCATGTATTGTTCTTTAGCTTTCTATTACTTGAATTACCTGTTTTACTCCTCACCAGAAACCTCGGAGTCTACTCCCATATCCTCTACTTGCTATATCAACTAGCATCTGTCGATCTTCAAGACTCATTGTACCTCTTACTCCCTGCAAGTGCAGTTGGAAACGGGTAGTGTTTTTGTTATAGTTTATTGTTGCCTCACACTAGACCCTTCCACTCCCCGTGTTCACTCCGTTGAGTTAGGGACCAAGGTCCCTGGAAGGGTCTAATGCACAAAATCCTTGTACTCTGTTCCACACTCACCTTGTAAGTCCAACAACTCCAAAGGTCACAGTTCTGACAGATCTGCTACTTCTTGTCGCATCTATCATCATTACATTGTACTGTACCCTCTACTCCGCAAGAGCTAGGAAATAGGTATTTGTTGTTGATATAGCCTTGCATTGATTTATTGTTGGTAGACAAGAGGAGAACTTGCTGAGGATTCTCCAATCGCTTGCAGGGTATATATAATGAACAGGTATTTATTGCATACTATTTCTGGCTAGGTACTATACAGTTATCTATTAGTGGTGGCTGATGATATCATGTGGCCAGTCTTATGACTGACTCCACCATCAGTAAATATCTATAGAGTAAGTAAAGTGCTGTGTGTGTCAGAACTGTGACCTTTAGAGTGATTGAGTTCAGAGTATGGAGATGGGGTGGGGAGCGGAATGGAGTACAGGATTGGGAGTTGATGTTGGAATCATGAGCTTGAGGGATACAGTGCAAGCATGCACAAAGGACGAGCACCTAGAAAGGAAAGTCAGCATAAGGTAGAGTTGGAGCAATGCAACACTCACCAATATATATCCATCAAAAATTTTATGCTTCTGTTTTCACTTATAAGCCATACACTGCCACGTACACACCAAATATGATAATCAGAGTCCCCCATTAACTCTGAGATTGTTTACTGTGTATAGATCAAATAAAAGTTGACTTAGCTTGTATGCTAGGCCCTTCTGCAGACCTTGGTCCCTAACTTGACGGAGTGAACGGGTGAGAGTAGAGGATAAAAGGTGGAGAGGAGTAAAGGTCCTTCGGAGAAGGACCAGAAAACTTAGAAGAAGACTTTGATAAAGGTGGGAGGAACTAGCTGATATTCAAACTGCAGGAACGGAGTACAGGAGCTACAGCTTATATACTATTGGAGGGATTGGAGTTTGTAAGGAGTAACCTGTAATGTAGGTACAGAGTTCTATGCGGACAATTATGTAGTGAAGGTGAATTGTATATGAGGGGAGTGTATCATAAGGTCTAAACTAAAGAGTCCATGAGGAGTATGAGAATGTGTGGAGAAAATGTATGCTAGAAGTCTGGGGCAGGAGAGTCAGAGCAGATATCTGGAGTACCATGTGGAGGGTATGTTAGCTATAAAAACATCATAGTTACTCTACAGTACACATATACTATTTTCTTTCTTTTCTCTTCAACTAGAACGTGCTGATTGCCTGTTCTACTTTGCGCTTTTTTACTGTTTACATAATAGTCACTTACTTTCCCACAAATCTTTCTGAAAACTTGCAATTGCCTTGTTTGCAAACCTCAGTATTCTTGTTACAGGACTGAGGTATGATACTATAGTATTCCCTTATCACAGGACTGAGTTCTCCCAATAGTTCTCAACTCAACAGGTTATGAGTCCAGCTAGCTTACCAGATAATTCCTCTACCACCACTTTTACTGTACCCAAACTAGCCAAGGATGGCTCAAACTGGGTTACATACAAGTCATGCATAGCGATTGCTGTTGGTGCTCGAGGCCTCTCAAGGCACCTGTCCGGAACTGCCAAAAAACCACCTCTCCTCGAATACACTAGAGACCCTAATGGTGTTGCAACAAAAACCAATAGCACCACTCTAAAGGAAGAGGATATAGAGACCTATGAGACTAAAGTTGATGAATACACTCAGAGAGAGTGCCTTGTCATTCAATTCTCTACTATTCACAATGAAATCCTGGTACAAATTTTTAACAAGTCCTCAGCTGCAAAAATCTGGGCTGCAATATGCCAAATGCACGATGGGAAATCTGAAATGATGCAAATTGATATTTGTCGACGCCTACATAATATGAACCTACAGGACAACGGAAACATCCAAACACATATTTGAGAGATGCTAAAAATGCGAGAACAGTTAGCTGGTATGGGCACAGCAATAGAAGAGAAAGATTTTCAGCCATGATTCTAGCGTCACTCCCAAATTCATATTGACCTCTCATCTCGTCCATGCTTACCACTGCGAGAAACACCAAACATCCACTATCTTCCTCAGACATCATCATACAGATATTCAACAAAGCAGACAGTTGTGGTGTATCAGGTTTAGCTAGAAATGAATCTGCAATGACTGCAAAAGTCAGTGCAAAGGACCAGTACCTCATGTATTTTAGTATATATATAGGAGTAATACATGGGGAAGGACTCAGCGAGTTCTCCTGTTGTTTACCAACTAACTAGGTCCTACCTAAGGGGTAACCACTCCCTCTCACTACTCCTCTGCTTGTCTGTTGTTGTGCTCCAGTGCCCCAAGACTGTGTCTTGTTGGTGTTGTCACATTCAATGACTACAAAACCATTAAGCCAATGCCTATAAATGCAGCAAATGATGAAGTCATGTACGCACGAGGAGAGGGAAATGTCTCAATTTTATTACCTAATGGCAACAATACCTCTTGTGTACTGCTCAAAAATGTCTTACATTGCCCAGACATGACCTCAACTCTCATCTCAGCTAGCCGCTGGATAAAGTAGGATTCTCTCTTCATATCCAAGGAGGAAAGTGTGAGATACATTCTCCACCTCCTAGCTGCCACACAATGGCCCAAATCCTGGAGTCTAAAGGCCTTTATCACATACTCAAACCTGATCACATACAAAAATCCACTCACCTCACCATAATGATGTCCATAAATGACCTTCATGGTTGCATTGGTCACATTGCCCACAATTCACTTAAACACCTTATCAAATCAGGCTTAGCTGAAGGCATATCCATAGATGAGGCCAAAAAGATTATTTTCTGTGAAAGTTGTGTATGCACTAAAGCAGTCAGAAAGCTGTTTCCAAAAATGAGCAATACAAGAGCAAAGATTTACGGTGAAAGGACTCACTCAGACCTTTGGGGACCTGTAACCATACAAGACTTCAAAGGAAAAAAGTACATGCTGACATTCACGGATGACTATTCCCGTGAAATGCATATCTATGTTCTCACAACAAAAGATGAAGTCCTGGGCATCTTTAAGAACTATGAGGCATGGTTGCATACCCAAAAGGACGGCACCAGAATAAAGGTTCTAAGATCTGATTGCGGGGGAGAATATATGAATGCAGAGTATGACAAACATTTTGCAAAACAAGGCATAGTGAGAAAACTCACCACACATGATTCACCCCAACAAAATGGTGTCACAGAATGCTTAAACTGTACTCTCATTGAGTGCGCCCATGCAATGATAATTGGGGCCGGATTGCCTAAATTCCTCTGGAGCGAAGCATTAAAACATGCGGTCTGGATCAAGAACCGAGCACCTACCAGAGCACTAGGTGGCAAAACACCATATGAAATTCTACATAGTGTAAAACCAGACCTACATGATATCCATGAATTCGGATGCACAGTATTTGTGAAAACCCTAGGTGCAGGAAAATTAGACCCACATGCTAAACTAGGAAAATGGGTAGGATATGATGGTCAGTCCAAGGCTCATAGAGTTTACTGGCCAGACAGATGCACCGTAACGGTCAAACAGGATGTCATCTTGAATCCAGATGAACATTGTCGATGATGAGAACTGTTGTTAGAAAACCACACACAAAAACAAACTAACACACAATCCTCCCAGATTCCACAGAACTTGTTTATGGGCTTTGCCTCCTAGAACAGTGGGTGCTCTGGTTGTTCATGGGGTGGTATGTACGATGATCCTTCAAAGTCAAACCCAAGGATGTATGGGTGTGGGTTTTGAGGAGGAGGGATAGTTGGAAGATAAAGATAGGGGCTTTGTGACGAGTTTGGACGAGCACTACCTTGCTAA